AACAAAATATACAACTATGAAAATGTTAGTAAGAATGAAAAAACGGTTTCGTAAAGCTACTGGTATAACTGCTGAAAAGTTTAACATTCTGCTGAAATTTATTGATCCTGGTGAAGAAAGCTGCAATATCAAAATGTACGACACTTCTAAACGTCTATCAGACGAGACCTGCACTTTGACGGAAGAGGATTATATTCACAAATCAGGCAGAACACCAAGACTAGATCCAAGAGAACAATTCTTCCTATATTTGACATGGCTCAAAAATGGATTTACTTTGGAACACATTTCTTGGCTCTTTGACATTTCGTTATCAACAGTATCCAGGTACATCATCACATGGTCAAATCTATGCTATTTTTCGTTAGGATCATTGGCAATCTGGCCCACAAGAGTGCAAATTGATGAAAAAATGCCTGAGAGTTTTAAACGAACATATCCAAGTACCCGTTGCATAATAGACTGTACTGAGTTATTTTGTCAAAAACCAAGTTTACTTGCAACCCAAAGCTCCCTTTATTCCCATTACAAGTCTCATGCAACCTATAAAGGACTTGTTGGTATTTCACCTGATGGATCACTAACTTTTATTAGCCAATTATTTGATGGTTCAATTTTAGACAAAGCAATTGTACGACAGTCAGGATTTTTACAAAACTGTTTTTGGAGTAATGGTGACAGTGTAATGGCTGATAGAGGATTTCAGATCGAAGAAGAATTGAAGCCAAGTAGAAGACACCTCCCAGTAAGGAATACCTCGCAAAAACAGTCACCTCCCTATAACAGACATCTCTTAATTACGGACGCCTCCCAGTAACGGACGCCTCCCAGTAACGGACGCCTCCCAGTAACGGACGCCTCCCAGTAACGGACGCCTCCCAGTAACGGACGCCTCCCAGTAACGGACGCCTCCCAGTAACGGACACCTCCCAGTAAGGAATAGCCTCGCAAAAACGGACACCTGCCTATAACGGATATCTCTCAACAACGGACGCCTCCCAGTAACGGACACCTCCCTTTAAGGAATACCCTCGCAAAAACGGACACCTGCCTATAACAAACATCTCTCAATAACGGACGCCTCCCAGTAACGGACACCTCCCAGTAAGGAATACCCTCGCAAAAACGGACACCTGCCTATAGCGAACATCTCTCAACAACGGACGCCTCCCAAAAATGGGCACCTTCCAGTAAGAAATCTTTTAAGATAAGATGATTATGAATTCATTTATACTATTTCAGTTCAATTATTGTCTATTAATATGGATGCTATGTGGTAAAGGAAGTCAGGATAAGCTAGAGAAAGTCAAGACTAGCCTATTCGGACTTTTCATCTTCGTACAAAGAATTACTTGATAACTCAAAAGGAACTACCATACATATTCGATCAGTGAGAATTTTAGCGTTTGAAGTTTATGAAACGCTTAACAACCTTAAACCTGTTTTCATGAAAGACTATTTTGTACCCAAAACAACAGGTCATAGCCTTTCGACTCAAAAACCCCCTTGACATTCCAAAAGCCAGAACGACCAATAATGGTATCAGATCATTAAATTTCCAAGGGCCTAAAATCTGGAATTCACTCCCAGAATCAATAAAGACAGCACAAAATACTAGAAAATTCAAGAATTTGATCAAAACTTGGTTCCTTGAAAACAAGTGCTCGTGCACGTTTTGCAGTAAGTAATCTGTCGTGTGCTTGAAATTGCTTTATGTTAGTCTTAATTAGTATGTTTTCACTATTGCAAAAACTAACATTGAATAATCTATATAATACAATACGATACAAAACAATATAATGCAAAACAAAACAATACAATACAATCTTCCGAACGGACACCTTCCAAGTTTCAATTGCAGAAACCTCCCAGTAATGGACACGACTACACAGTGTATAGTTCCAGAAAACGGACATAATAACTTGTTGCGATTTCATCCCTATTACCAAGCTTAGACACCTCCATATAATGTGATGGCTGAGTTGTGTTTTTAAAAGATGATGATGCTGCTATCTTTATCGTCATTTTCCATGCTGTCGTATTTTTTATGTACCAGTGTCCCATTTTAAAGTGCAAAGACACATTGCTGTTTCTAGGACAGTAAATGTGGGTTTCCATTCCTAAATATACCCCCAACCTAACTACTCAAGTCGTATTATTCAAAACTTTAAGCTCACAAATGTCCCCTTGATCATGAAGCTACAGTATCCTTAAGCTCAGTGGCATTTTTTTATCTACGTTCACGAAAGCCAATCAGATTATTTTATTCTGTCAATGTTTAAGTCATTAATTAAAAAAGCCATTAAAGTGGAGCAAGAAGTGTTGTAATGTTGGGCAGGATATGTAGAGAAAACACAGTTGTTAACATAACTGAAACTCCGATTTTATTTCATTTCATATTGATAATTCAAACTTTTAATTACAATATACTGATAATACAATTTAATATTAATTAGGTAAGCTTAGGACACTTCGAAAAAACTGAGAAGAGCTATCGAGCCAAGTGCCCTTTACACAATTTAACAACAATTTGCGATATAAATGAAACAAATTATGTTCATAGTAACATAACAACAACAGCTAAGAAAATAAGACTAGATAAAATAAGAATATTAAACTAAGCAAAATGGAACTGAAATAACAGAATTAGGATCGGGAAATCAGGATACTTGCTAGTTTATTATTCAGAATTAAAATTAAGATCAAAAACGAAAAGACCAAAATACAGATGTTTATTAAAAACGATTTGAGAAGGATTTTTAAATAAGACTATAAACAAACATGAATATCAACCGATCGAGCACTGTTGTTTAAAAGCCATGCTTTATAGTTCTTCGAAAAGATACGTTTATTATTAGATTGCCTTATATCAAAAGGTATACTGTTCCAGATTTTAACTCCGATGCTTGATATTAGTTCTTATCGCAGGCTGTACAAACAAGTCAGAAGTTGCTTGTCTAGTTAAAATATTATGTTTATTTTTTGCTAGCTGGAAGAGATTACAGAAGATTTTATCTAGTTTATTATTAATAATATCATGCATAAATTTGGCACATTCTGTTTTATAGCAGTCATTAAGACATAGAACTTTTAATTCGTTAAAAAGAGGTTTACTGTGATCTGTTTTTGGCTGAAATGTAATCAACCTTACAACATGCTTCATGCTCTTTCTTACAGGATCTAAAGCAGTCTTGTAGGTCCCTCCTCAATTAATAATTTCCATAATTAACGTGTGGCTGTATAAATGCATTATACATATTAACAAGTATATTTTTAGGTGCATGGTGCCTTATGCGAGCTAATATACCAATACTTTTAGATATTTTTGAATTAATCTGCTGAATATGAGCCTTCCAGGCTAATTTATTATCGATCAACACACCTAGATATTTGACAGTCTGTGCTTCACTTAGTTTAACGTTGTTTATGAAAATATCCATTTTTAGATTTAGCATCTTGTTTTAAAAATGGCTTTGAGCAAACATTTAGTAAACTAAAGCTTTTCGTCTGACACTCTTCAGAGTTTAAAACGTCAGAACATAGATCGGAAAATCTACGCTAGGAAATATAAGGGGATTTTAGTTTACTAAATGTTTGCTTTTTTCAAAGCCATTTACAAGTTTTGTACCACCGAAAGATCTTGTTCTTTGGAGGAATAGTTAAGAAATTAGATTTTTTTGTATTCAGATATAGCTTATAGGCAATCAGCTAATCAGAGATTTTAACTAACTCGTTAGTAGCTTCAGATTCAAGAGTTTCCAATTTTTCATGTGACATAAAAAGGCTTGTATCATCAGCAAAAAGGTGAAAATCGAAACCTTGTGTTGATTTAGCTATATCATTAATATAAAGAAGAAATAGAAGGGGGCCTAAAACACTACCTTGAGGTACACCGTAAGTGATATTTAAACTATCTGAAAGTTCACCCCCAACGCAGACTCTTTGAGTTCTGTCTTTGAGATAAGAGCGAAACCAGTCCAGGGCAATACCCCTGATACCATAATAGTCTATTTTTTTAAGAAGAATTTCATGATCAACAGTATCAAACACTTTTGCGAAATCAAGGAAAATACAACTACAAGAAAACTCGATTATAGAAAACTACAAGCAACGTCCAGCTCTTAAAAATGGCTTTGAAAAAAGCAAATACTTTATAACATATTGGCTAAAAGCTTTTTCGTCGAACACTTCTCAGAGCATACGTCAGAATAAGGTTTCGAAAGAACACGATGAAAAATATATCCCCAGTTGTGGATCAAAATAGGTCAATCAGAAAAACGCAAGCACAAGACCGGTGTAGTTGTCCAATCAGTTTCGCATGCCTAAAGAAAAATTACCGCTGGAGTCCAAGAGAGAAAACGAACTCCTTCTGTCTACACAATAGTGGCTTTTTCGTTTGTATGTAGAGCGATTCCAAAACTGCTAGATGAAAAGACGACTGGGCTCTGCCAATTTTCTGAAACATGCCGTCATAATGGAGTTTTGCACAATCTGGCAGATTTGCAAGAGTTTTTGTTGAAGTAAACATTTCCTTTTGAACTCTGAAATCGTCCTATCCAGAAAGGTATTTTTACAAAACTGTTAGCAACAGTCACAAAAAGGCTTTAGGAGTGATCCGTGTTTTGTTGGAAAGGTTTCTGGGGGATTCAAAAGACAGAGATCTCGTTAAAAGCCAATCGCATTATTTACTCTTGGCTATATAAAGATGTATTTAAGCAAACCGGCAGTTTTTGAAAATAGGAGCTACAAACAGAAAGTATGTTTTGCAATACAAACTTATTTCAATAGATTGAACTTGTTACTGTCAGCTCCAGTCACAAGTCTATTTGAAATGTTTCATGCAAACGATCTTTCCTTAGAACAACTTTAAAATTGCTGGTTTTTCTATGATTTGCTAATATCTTCGGAGAAAATATAGTCACTGATCCTTTTAGCTTGCTGCTATTTACATTCCCGAACAAATGATCTTGACTTCAAACCAATTTCTTATTTGTTTACAGAATGAAGATGGCAAGTGTCTTTTTAACTTTGACAAGAAAGTTACAGCTAGGATGTTAGACATGACAGGAGATGTGGAGAGATCTACTTAATAATCTCCAGCTCAGTAAGTTTGTTTATCTTTGAGGCCACATTCATTTTTCAAAAGAGAAATACCAATTCACTCCATCCATTTGTAGTATCATCGTAGTGACGCGAACCTTGTAATTGCACAAAGTATTTGATCCGCTATTAAAGTTCGACTTGAGTAAATCAAACAAATTCTGCTGATTTTACCATCTCGAATAATATCAAAAAATTACCTCATTACTATGAATTTGATTGATAAGGGACACTCAGGATTTTCTCATTAGAAAACTCTTGCAAAGCAACTTTCTGTGTGTTTTTTTTTATACTTCTGTACTTACCTTGTTGTTAGTACAGTTGACATCCACTATCTCGACTGCCCGCTATCTCGAACAATTTTTCGTTTCCATTCAGAGTTCGAGATAGCGGATGTCAACTGTAGTATGCTTAATTTACGTTTAAGTTGTTTACTATTTTGCTTGTTTTTTGCGTTGCGTTACTGTTTATGCTTGCCCCATGTTTGAGTACTTGTTATTGTTGTTTTGTTCTCTGTTATTTTCGTTGTCTTGGGACTTGGTAGTCGCAATTCCCGCTTTGTCGTTGTTAGAGCGCAGTGGTGCATTCGCGTTTTATATTTCCGTTGAGGGTTTATTTTGTGAATAAATGTCGTACAGTGTCTGTGTGTGTGTGTTATTATCCAAGCCGTACTTTAAAGCAAACAGCAAACTTTCGGTGAGTTTTGTAAGATGTTATTACCTTGTTCAGATGCTATTTTGTTCTCTGTTGTTGTGGTTGTCTTGGGAGTCGCCATAGAGATAGGATAATAAAGACGCAATGCCCGCTCTGTCATTGGTGCATTCGCGTTTTATATGTCCGTTGAGGGTTTATTTTGTGAATAAATATCGTACAGTGTCTGTGTGTGTGTGTGTTATTATCCAAGCCGTACGTTTAAGCAAACAGCAAACTTTCGGTGAGTTTTGTTAGATGTTAATACCTTGTTCAGATGCTATTTTGTTCTCTGTTGTTGTGGTTGTCTTGGGAGTCGCCATAGAGATAGGATAATAAAGACGCAATGCCCGCTCTGTCATTGGTGCATTCGCGTTTTATATGTCCGTTGAGGGTTTATTTTGTGAATAAATATCGTACAGTGTCTGTGTGTGTGTGTGTTATTATCCAAGCCGTACGTTTAAGCAAACAGCAAACTTTCGGTGAGTTTTGTTAGATGTTAATACCTTGTTCAGATGCTATTTTGTTCTCTGTTGTTGTGGTTGTCTTGGGAGTCGCCATAGAGATAGGATAATAAAGACGCAATGCCCGCTCTGTCATTGGTGCATTCGCGTTTTATATGTCCGTTGAGGGTTTATTTTGTGAATAAATATCGTACAGTGTCTGTGTGTGTGTGTGTTATTATCCAAGCCGTACGTTTAAGCAAACAGCAAACTTTCGGTGAGTTTTGTTAGATGTTAATACCTTGTTCAGATGCTATTTTGTTCTCTGTTGTTGTGGTTGTCTTGGGAGTCGCCATAGAGATAGGATAATAAAGACGCAATGCCCGCTCTGTCATTGGTGCATTCGCGTTTTATATGTCCGTTGAGGATTTATTTTGTGAATAAATGTCGTACAGTGTGTGTGTGTGTTATTATCCAAGCCGTACGTTAAAGCAAACAGCAAACTTTCGGTGAGTTTTGTGAGATGTTAATACCTTGTTCAGATGCTATTTTGTTCTCTGTTGTTGTGGTTGTCTTGGGAGTCGCCATAGAGATAGGATAATAAATTCGCAATGCCCGCTCTGTCATTGGTGCATTCGCGTTTTATATGTCCGTTGAGGATTTATTTTGTGAATAAATATCGTACAGTGTCTGTGTGTGTCTTATTATCCAAGCCGTACTTTAAAGCAAAAAGCAAACTTTCGGTGAGTTTTGTAAGATCTTAATTAATGGATTCAAGTTGATGTCATCAATTTTGTATCTCGCTATCTACGGATCTTTTTTCAAAAACGGAATTCAGAATTGAAATCTTCATCTTTAAATTAGTTTTTACTGAAAAATGCATGTTGTTTGGGCCGTTCGGTCGCATGATACTTTGTTTCGAATATTTAGATATTTCTTTAGAGTTGACCGAAACTTGCTGCTTGCAGATTGCAGGAACTTCACCGGAAATTTTTTCACTGCAGCAACAAATTCCATTGAAATATATAGGAAAAGCTAAATTTTGAAAATGGGGTAATTCGCAGGCTGACGGCCCAAACAATTTGAAATTTTTTGGTACAGACTAATTTCAATATGAAGGTTCCAATTCTGTTATCCATTTTTGTCAAATGTGAAGATACAAATTTCTCGAATCCGAGAATACCTTGTTCGTTAGTTTGTTATTTGTTAATGAGTTTATATGATACTCAAATCTGTTGATTTGTGCTTATTTTCCTAGTTAATTCTTTACTTGTTTTAGTAAATCGATATGATCACTTTTAAATAAGTCGTTTCCTGCTCACGATTTCCAAAGCCACACTTGTCACGAGGGGACTTTTTCTAGACTTATTGAAATGAATACTTCACCTGCCCTTAAAATTTAAAGAACTTTATTGTTCGGCTAAAATGAAATTACTTACATCTGGCTAGATGGAACCCCGTTTGAAACCATATTTAAAGGGGCTGTGACACAGTTTTGTAAACCAATCAAATACACGGGACATTGTGCGTTTTTGGCCTGACTTCCACATCGGGATAATGGAGGCTGATTATCCGGTGCACCGATAAGCTCGATAAATTATATTTTCTGAGCGTATTTACCGAACATGGAATGGACAATTACTATAGTTCTGCATATGTACCAACTGTCGAAACGAAGAGTGTATGCTAATTTGGTCTAGGCTAAGGAAATGAAGCTTCATTCAATCATGGCGAAGATATTCCGTTTCTCTTGGTGAATTTAGATGGAATTAGACACTCTACAGCAAAATGTTTTCTCCAAATTTATTCTGTAAACTTTAATAATGTTTTCGCTCATACTTTACATCAGTAAGGTAGGCTTTTTAGTGTCATTTCGGCCAATTTCTATAAACAGCTCCCTGTGAGTTGCGGTATCATCATCATCATCAGGTACCATCTTCTTCTATCAAAAGGTTGGCTACAATTCCCAACTATCCAAAAATCTGAGTTTTGGTTCGTTGTCATGGTCATAGATAAAACTGGTCATAGATAGTTGCGGTACCCTTGCCGTAAAAATGGCCTTTGTTTTTGTACGCCATCCTTTATATAAAGAAATATGGTGATAAGACTGAAGAAAGAACCTTTATAATTCGTTTTCTATCATAAAACATCAAAAAATGCAAAAGCTTCGCACGATGAGCACGGATACAAAAAACCGTTTTATTCCATATTGGTTTTTCTATTGAACGTAGGTTGCCCACCCAAACAACTTTCGCAAACTGGCGTGTTGCCACGCGGGATGTCCCTTGTGACACTGCCCCTTTAACTTCTTTATATCGCATGCACATGCTTTTTTCAAATTTGTCCTTTTGTCCTTTTAAACATCGTAAACAACCTACTGTAGTTTTGTACGTAGTTCTCTGTACTATCACTTCAAGAAACCGAATTACCTATTTATTTTACTGCCACGAAGACTTTCCAATTCGTATTGAGTTTGAAAATGTGCACATGTTGCCTCTTAACCCTCTCTTCCATGACATTGTTGGTTTGTTTGAGTTTTTGCATTACCTCTGTCCGTTATTTTTAATATAGTCAATTCTTTATTTTGGTAAAAAAATTTTGGGCCCCTCTCTCCCAATGTCGAGTGATTTATAACCAAAGACAACAAACTATACATTTACTAACTCTAACAATGTTTTTCACCACTTGCTGCTAAACATACGCTTAAAAACTTGCTGCTAAACATCCTACTAGAATCTCTAAGGTATATGATAAATGAAATTGACGATAGCTCCTTTTAGGCCTTTATCTTAATGGTTACTAAAGAGACTATTTATCCGAAAACAATAGGATTCAAAACACTAAAAAAAAATATCACTGAATATCAAAAGTGTAACAGTTACTAGTTTGACTTGACATTTACCTTTAAAATTGCCCAATTAACTAATGGGAGTTTTTCAAGAATCACTCAACCAACTCGACCCGGTTCTGCATGATAGCCTATCTTACCTGCAACAGCAAGAATGAGATATCATCAAAACATTATTTTATATTTATTCTACTTCGATTTTTTTTTACTTTAATGCAAAAGCCAAAATGAATGGCTTGCATCAAGGCTGAACATTTTCAATAGATAATACATTATTTGGGCTTCTAGTTTAGAGTTTCCGATAACATTTTTCGCTTCTTCAACTTGGGGATTAAATGGAATTCCGATTATGCTTACCCCACAAATGACCAACTAAACATAGGTTTCCCTCGATATTGCTCTACGAACAAATTACTCTAATTCAACGAGCCCACGATTTAACAAACTCCGGTTACAGCTAATTTATTTTTTTGTTCCATTTCAATTTTTTTATATCTGTATTGCACTTATTTGTCTTGCAGTTCCTGGTAATAGTCACCTAACTTAAATTTCCTCGTGGCACTCGAAATGAAGGACCTAGATCCCAGATTGGCTTAATTCAATCTTACATTGCAGTTGATTGGTTGTTTCTGGACTGTAGTCATAAGTTTTAAAATGTTAGGTTTTGCTGGTGTACGCAGTTGATTTTGGAGAGAGAGTATTTCCCTAAATTAGTAACCCCATCCCTAATTGTTTTTCCTAATTGATTTCCCTAATTTTGACCATTGTTGTACCTCTGATCGTTATCTACCATTTTGTACTGAAAGCGAAGCCGAAATTCCTTTTCCTATTTTTTTCAAAACAGGCTATTTATATTTTTTTATTTACTCATCACCAATCCTTATTTTCATTGTGAAATGTTTTCCGAAATTTAATAATATGAGTTATAATGTTTACATTGATCTCCGCAGTCACTGTTCCTGGGAGCTACTGCATTGTTGCAGAAATAATTAAATTAAATGTTGCTCGAGATATTCAGGTTTTTCATTAAACTTGGAGAATCAATAAACTGTGACATGATTTCAACTTATATTAAGGATGTTAAGTTGGTCGAATCAATAATTTTTGGTCACCAGAGAGGAAAGTATAGGATTATCATCATTTTTCTTTTCCAGCATACATTATTAATTTCTGCTGTGGAAACTCTCAGTCTTCAGTTCTTTATTGTTGTCAGCTCTTAGAAACTGGTTGAGACACAATCTGGCTGGTCCTATTCAGATGTTAACATGATATCGTGAAAAAAGTTGACACTTGTTTGCTGCACAAGACGGACATTAAGCCAGGTTTTTGCCTTCTGTTGCCACCCAACCTCAATAAAAGCTCTGAGAGTTCCACCATGTGTTATTGAGAATTACCTTTATCATCACATAATTTATTTAGTTGGCAGACAGATTTTATGCAAGATTGTCTGTTATTTGAGAAACATTTTAAGTTATGCTGAACTTTTCGTCCATGTTGATAAAATCGTAATATTGATTGAGCAATATACCATCTCTTCCGGAATGCGATCTTCCTTGATTCTTGTGAATTAATTTTATATCTCTATTGATATCCCGGGTCAAAATTTCAGCCCCTGTCTAAAGCAATCAGTTAGCAGCAAAGCTAAATTCGTGTCATCGTTTGATCAACAGTTTTAATGATTTTGTATACAGCTGCTATTCATATGAAGATACTGTTTCTAATCGTCATAGCAATTACGCCAAACAATCCTTAGAAGCAACTATTTTATGTTTGGAATAAGACTGCACGAATGCCATATCTTGTTTTGTGTTGGATGTATAGATGTAGACAAGAACGGAGATACCAGGGGGGCCGGGGGGCGGGGGGGGCTTGAGCCCCCAAAAGACTTACGTATGAATCACGAGGGGTGGAAGGGCCAGTATATTCGTCAATAAGCACTGGTTCATGATGTTCTGAAAACATTGTTCGGAAGCTAGACAGTATTCTTCCTGCATTGTAGACGAAATTCAAATAGCCACCGCAGCATGCTTAGACAATTCGGTGACTTAATGGTGTTTTCCTAATTCCCAAATATCCAGACACGTTTAATATTCAATTAAAAAATGACTAATGGTGAACTAAACAGTTCTTTTAGTCTTCTATAATATGCTGAAAGGACGCAAAAGTGCAAATTGGCTGTACAAGACGTTCCTATTAGTACTTTACAAATCGCAGACAAGTCACGGCTAAATCTTACTTATTTTAATTTCAAACTATACCCTTTATAAAACTTTTTAAAGCTAATATCATTACCTGGTGAAAGATAAGCATATTTCCTGCAGTATTAAAATATCATGACCTGCGAATCGGACTGATATTTAAGTATGTTTTTGGGGGGTATTTAAGTTTATCCCCAGTGCTGTTTTTCGGTTATTTATTTTCCAAAAAGGTTGAACAAGCAATAATTCTTAATTTGCTGTTATTAGTTTCATTTTCAAACTTGAGAACATAACTAATACAATCTATAAAATAGATAAATGCAATGATGAGTTATTGGCTAGTTGCTCGGCATAAAAGAAAAGAATTCTCAGTACCCATGCTTTGATAAAGAGACAATGTTATTTATTGCTTTTTATTGAAAATTTAGTTGAGCATGACAGAAATAATAGAATCACAATTAAAAGTATTTTTATAAAACATCCTGGAAATTTGAAGATATTTTCGTCAAAAAATCGGTTTCCTTATCTAGTCGTCAATATATTTGTCATCAAAGGATTTTATTGGCATGAAGCTTCTACATAGTTATATTTGGATTTGACTGACAACGTCATCCAACGAGGAGACTAGACTTTTCTCGCAAAAATTATATGTTGCTAATTATATTTTACATTTATTCTTTTCTTCTTAATAGTGCTACATAATTTCATCCTGTGACTCTTGTTTTGCTTTAAAAGCTGTTAAAATTATTTTTGCTTTCTTTTGTAAAATCATTTACGTATTTCTAAAGTGTTCCCTTCGTGGAAGTCTAGCCGTTGTTGTCTCAAAAAAACACTTCGATCAAAGAGACGATAATCTTATCAAATTCTTAAGGGCGATCATTCCTGTTGGTTGAATTTCCAGGCAACCTACTTAGGACTTGCGGTTCCAGTTAATTAAACCGCGGAGCTTTTCCGGTGAATTTCTAGCTGTAAAGTTCTGTATGAACATCAATCGTTTGCTGGTTTTGGCAGGTGCACAAGACACCTGGCGTTGTTTGCTGCAGCTCTCAAAATAGCTTGCTCGCACGAGAAGAAACGTCAGTCAAGCCACTGCTAATTTGAAGCGGACGTCGCAAGAGCCAACAGCATCATGGTAAGACATTTTAAATAAATTGCATATGTTCTGTTCTATCTATTACTGCATCATTGCATTAGCTCCAAGCGTGTCTGCTACTCTATCTGTTCTTTTCTGTTCATGTTTCGCGATAAATGAGCAAATGTTTTAACAGCAAAATCAGGATTCGTCACTATACGCAGCTTATAAGCTTAGTGTTGTTGCAGAGCAGCTAACTAAATACTAGCTGCTATATTGTGGACATTTCTCTGTTTTTAAAGCTTATTGTTCAAGCCATGGTGTTGTATTATTGGATGTTGAATAAGAGGATCTTGAAAAATACATCCAGAGTTAAAATATGAGTACCGTTTTGGGCGTGGTCTCTTTTTGAAAAATATTTTTCTTAGTTTGCAGCTTTATTAACAAGTTAACAAGTTTAAGTTCGCAGAATGACAATTAAAGTTGGTAGTTTATTGTCACCTTATTGATTATTTCCTTAAATTGTTTCTAAATTTTTATCATAAAAGACGTCTAGACATAACACATTGTTTTTCGTAAGTTTTATGTTATATTTTTGTATGCTCTAAAACGAACTTTGTATGAGAAGAGAATCCATATCTGAAATTATAACGCTGCTCTTCATGCCATACATCGACGAATCTTTGAAAGAAGGCTTTTAAATTTTTTTACAGAACTATTTACCAGATAACTTTTTAAGTGAGGTTTACTGCTCTCAAAGCACATAAATACGTTTTTAAGATCTGTGAATAATTGGCTGCAAGATGTTTACGTAATTGGATCATCCACATAAAAGTAGGTCTGAAATGAAGATAACCTTGGCGAGCGCGTTTTCGCTAAATCCTGCTTTGATATACAGCTGCCGTTTAAGAAATAGCGGCCGCTAAAGGCTATTCTAACTGGCATTGGCACAATTGTATGTAATTTGAACACCAAGTGAAAGTATCACAAATCGGAGAAGCTACTGCAGTGGACAACAACTGCAGGAGCCACTAAAGGTGTTTTCAAATTTCATCGAATCATACTTGCTCGAAAAATGCCGCTTTGCATCGGCTATGGCTGCTTGTTTATAGATCCTGTTTGCAGCTGAAGAATGCAACGGATTTCATTTTTTAATGATAATTTTGGTCGCTTTTGTTTTACGTCATCAAGTTCTAGATACCTGTCGACAAAAAAATAAACAAAGGCACGGTTACAACACCTAGGCTGCTTCCTTTTCTCTTCATTGAATAATTTTTCCATATGTAAAGTTTTGCTTGTTATCTGCGATTAATTTTCTGTATTTCCTTGCATGGAGTCGCGTGCATTCTTAAAGAAAGCAAATCAGTTTTCTTCGATTTTCCACTATATACAAAAGCTACTGAATTCTCCTGTGGAATTGCATTATTTAAAAATAGCTCAATGCTAGCTCTTGTATTTGCAAACATTAAGATCGTTTTTTGCTTGTTTATGCCGACCTTGCTGGTAGTGCCTAATCTGCTTGTAAACAAAAATCATCACTTGTTTTCAAAATAGTGCATGTGATGAAGAATGCTTCTATATTTTCACGAATTTGTAGATTGCGCTGGGCGTATCAAGAAATTGCCATCCATTAGCGACTGTAGAGAACGTTTGTTCTCTCCTGGCAATTAGGTTATTGTTAGGTACGAGGATGGCTCGGTGGTATGGGTCGCTGACTGGGGTATGTGGTTCGAGTCCCTGACATGACCAAACTTTCTCTTAGAGTGAAGAGGAAAGCTGCTAGCTCTCTGTCATTCCAGGTGTATGAATCATGAGACGTGGTCACATCGATATAAAGGACCAGGACACTGCTCGATAAACGTAGCTTTTTAGTGTGCTAAAACTACCTTTGGAAGCTAGGTAGCAAACAATACAATACAATGTATTGAAGCAAAGATCACCTTGTCTTAAATGCTTGCAAGATTCAGCTATGCAAATTCTCATTGTGTTGCTTCCAGTAGACAAGGTGTTTGCTGCTTCAGGTGCCTGTCCATGGTCAATAGTTGTATACAACGTTATTATTACGCGACATTAATTGACTCCTACACAGCAGCGGGTGTTTAGCATGCATGTACCACCAGCAGTTGAGCTTGTAACCCTATTGATCACCATTGTAAAGCGATGAAACAGACGTCAAGAAACTGATTACTGCGCAGCGTATGCTTTGTAATATCTCTGTTGGGTTTCGCTACTTTAAAGTTTCGTGTTCTTAAACCTAATATGCAATCTAACGAAGTGTTCTCAAATAACGTTTTTCTAAAGTCGGGCTTAGTATGAATCAGAATTATTTAGAAATTGTATGATTTACAATAATCAAGTGAGAAGCAGATGAAATAGGACAAAGTGGCTTACATTCTTCAATATCTTTGAATGGAATCTTGACGAACAGTAAAACTATATTTAAAGTTTATGAATAATTTACATCTTGCCCAGAGAATATGGCAGTCACGCAGCTATAAACTGCGAAGAAGAATAATAAGAAGCAAGAGAAATTATTTATTCCCATTCCCATAACTTTCGAAATATTGAGGACCTTTATGCCATACCTAAGACTGGAAGACGCCTTGTTCCTTCTTTAATGATCGAGAAGCTCAAGGGTATTTTCATAATAGATAAGGAGCATTTCCCTTGACTCTGCTTCTATTCAAATGCAACCTGTGATAGGAGGATAAACAAGCAATCGTGATCCCAAATTGTTGTTAGCTCAGGTTAATGTTTACATTTGCGAAAAACTAGCAAAGCTTATGCGCTATTAAACTTGCAGGCTTTTTGACCAAAATACTACCATCTAAGTTTGCTAGGGTCTAAACCTTAACGTGTGAACCTATCAGAGACAGCATTGTGCCAATGTTTCAGACGAAATAATCGCCAGGTTATTTATCCCGCTTCAATGCTCTCAACATTTCCCACACTTTATGCGGATATCTCATTCGCTAAAGGTCTGCCAAGTTTTCTTTATTAGGTTAGGTTTCTGTGCTTTGTGTTTGCTGATAACAATCCTTTTTTCTTTGTAAATTCTTCAAGATATCTGATTTCCAGGATCTTTCATCTGTCGCTCCAAAGATCGCTGAAATAGATCTTAGCATTTTCCTTTAATTTAAGCAGTCTTGTAATAGACATCTCCTTTGCGTAGAATTGAGCTTTTGTTATGGACTCCATAACATGAAGACGCGAGTGATTGATTTTGTAGATTGCTTACATCGCATTTGTTCTTTTTGTTGAAAACACATGATGAAACTCTGGGTCACTACTGGATTTATTGAGTTTGAAAGCGCAAAAATTGAAATTCTGTCTGATAAAGATCTCGATTGACTTCATATTCGCCGATTTCTTCATAAATTGATAAAGAAACAAAAATCACTAACTTTGTTAGTTTCGAACTCCAAGAAAGAAGATCGACCATCTGCTTGAAATTGAATTGCTTCAATTAGAATAAACTATACATTTTCTCTTTTACTAAAATATTCAGTCATTTATTGCTGCAATCTTTTGCGCCTGATGTATTGATTGTGGAATAAAGAAATTTTTTTCATTTGATTGCGTTTGCGTCAATACTACATAAAAGGTTTGACCTCGCGTCTTTTTAAACTATACAACGGGCAGGGCCTATAAGTTTCAGGTTTTTTGTGGCTCATTGATGTGATAAGCTGGCTAATGCAAGGAGGTTTCCAATGAAATTATCACCTGAACACATTCCATTGGCATAGCATTGTATAATGTTTCAAAAGGAAAGGTTATATTTTGGCTGCGTTGTGGAGCGCTGGGATAACCGACTTAGCATATCTCTTTTTTCGATAAGCTTCAACAAGAACAAAGACTCAGACAAGAATCACTTCACTGACAATTAACATAACCCGAACATTGAGACGCGTTTTAAGTTGACACTAGCCTGTGCCCTACTCCACAAATGCTGTTACATTTATGGACCGTGCAATATTGATGAATATCCTGCCCACAGTTTCCACCGGGATCTGGTGGTAATTTATGCAAAATTATGCAAATAGTTGAAATTGTCAACTGTTCCAACCTTGTTGAACTTCAAACTGTTCATGCACCACCTTATCAACGTCCTGTGTGGTTTCAGTGAATATTTCTTTGAAAATTTTTCATGCAAATTTCAATGGTTTCATTGCATAAATTATTTTCATAAACTAGACCCAGCCCCCTGTCTAGACAGAATATTTATCAATATTGCACGGTCCATAAATGTGGCAGCATATGTGGACTGGGGCGCAGGCTAGTTAACACTCGCTAAAGTCTTTTTTCCGATGTTTGTCTGAGTATATTAAGATATGAATCTCTGATTGCAAAGATCAATATTTTCTATACCGTATCTTCATGCAATATCTTTCTATCCTTTTTTATCCTCTGTTTCCGCTTTTCTGAGCTGTTTAAATGTTTTGCAATACCAAAGCTATTTTGACCATTTTTAGTTGGTTTTGTGCCAGCAAATGATTCTCGCAGCGAAGCGATTCTTGCAGCGAAGCGACAGGCCGACGCAATGCCAGTAAAGTGCTTAATAAGTCAGATTTTTCTCTATGTGTAAAAGATTTAGATGGCTGTAAACAAACTCGTAAAGACACTCAGACCTTGATCGCCGTTTAGCATATTTCCTTTCTCATCTTAATCATGCGATCTCTAGGTTACCTATAATACAGTAATTTAAATTTTAATCTGCCATCATCCTGATAAACCAGTGTAAGGGCTTCTAGGCCAGGTTTTAGTAACGATTTGTGGTACATAATGAAAATAAGACTTAGTTGTTAGGACCTCTTGAATTTGAAAAAGTGAAATTTCTATATTTGTTTCTAATTAAAGAATAGCACAGTAGAATTAGGTGAATACATAAAGTTTGTTGCATTCGCTGTTAAGGAACCATGTCAGCATTAACCACTATTGATGGGATGAGAATGCGAAAAACCCATTGCCTAGATGGTATATAATAACACATGTTGCTTTTTTGAAGCACAATAGATGTTGGTATCCTTTGTGTACTGCATTATTTTTCCCGGAGTAAATTTCCGCCAATGACCAACTTCGAATCTCTTGACACAAAATGTTCTCGGAAGTTTTATTCTGCTAAATGATGGTCTACCTTTAACAAAACCTGCCGTTGAAAATGAACATTTCTCTTTGCATTTACTGCTTCTTTCAAAATGACTGTTTACTGTTATCATAACATTTGATTTTGCTTATTTTCCAGGGTAGCCTAAGTCAAGTTGAGAGAAACGGTGGGTAACGTGCCAATGTCTTTAATCTGCTTACATTTCAAAATTTCACCAAATAAGCGTCGTTTATTTTGATGATATTTGTAAATTCCGTTTATGTGCTAAACTATTCAGATAAGAAGATTCTTTGTCACCCAGATTCCTGTATTGGCTGTAATACCATACCTTATTTAAGTGGAAAGTCTGTTTGACTATCAATATCTTCTTGGACTTTAAATGGCGATTCTCTTACTAATAGCGCTGTTTTTACTTCAGAAATGAGAAAAGTTTTTGATGCCATCGACGTGGATATGAATGGAAAGATAACAAAGGATGAGTTGAAGCAGTTACTCGAAAGGCTTAACACGGATGCAACAAAAGACTCCTTGGATGCCATGTTTAAAGCGGCTGACAAAGATGGTATATTTACATTAGGCTAGCTCTTTTAAATTAGGCTCCTAGCTAAGCTTTTTTTGTTCCCCGCTGACCTAATTGAGTCGGTTTCTCTATTTCTGCCATTGTCACAACTGTTGTTTTTTACTTTTCCTTGTTTTTATCATCACCATCCCTTTCACCATCCGTCATAACATGACTATCTTCATAATGATTGTCATTTCAATCGTCGTCATCAACGACAAAAACAGTGTCATTAGTCAGCATCAATCATTGCTGTCATTCAATCAATCAATCAACCAACCAACAATCAATCATTCAACCAATCAACCAATCACTCTAAGGAATCATTAAAGTATAACTGTTACATTCATAACAACGCTATCCATATCCTATCACCTTTTCTGTTTCTTGCCCTGTGTTGCTTTTCTGTTCACGCTAATTCCGATTTTTATTAACAGGAAGTGGAGCGATTGAATTTGACGAGTTCTTGGAATCGCTGCAGACTGTCATGTCTCCGCCAAGCAGTGAAGACCTTTCCCAAGCTTTTGCCATGATGGATGAAAATGGTGATGGGTTTCTGACCAAAGATGAAATCAAGGCAGGGCTCATCAAAGCGGGGGAACCTCTTAGCGACGCAACCATTGAGGAAATGGTCAAAGCAGCTGATCAAAACAATGATGGAAAAGTCAGCTATAAAGGTTTGTTTTTAGTCATCTACAGGACCGTTCTTTTGATGATTATTGTAAGTGGATTATACCATTGCTGTTACAATGAAAGCTTTCGAGTTATTTCTAATCAGAGTTCTATGAGGGAAATAGATGATTCCTTGGTTCACAGATGAGCCAACAACGTTGCTCTTTTACACATTGTTTGTAGGAACTTTTCTGCCTGTAGAATTTTTGCATAACATTTTCTGCACTTGTGGTTTGTCTTCAGAACGTTTTGATTCCTAAACTAGCTTACGTCCAAAGTTTTCTTTCATGCCACATGACCTTTGGCGGAACTTCTACGGGTTATGATTTAATAGAAAAGGATAATCCGGTGATCGTGATGGCAAACACAAAAAATGTGATTCAGGATGCACAGTTGCCTTGATTGGTGATAATGCAAGAAAGTAGACAATAGGCTGAAAAATACACAAAAACCTCTTTAAAATACTGTTTTACAAAAGAACCATTACCATTGGATTAGTATGAGCCACCTTGTCAGGAAACCCTGGGACCTGGAGAGGATTCTCCCCACTTTGTGTTTTTATTGCCCTTTCCTCCCTGCTTGTGTCAATGCTATTTAATCAACACTTTTTGAGCCCGCTTGAATTTTAAACCTCGCAAATACTTATGACAGCATTTGTTTTATTTAAACAAAGGCCATCTAATATCAATTTTTTTTGGTTTCATAAATTTCTCAATGAACCAAATATTTCACATATATTTCTCCATTAATCGTTTTCCAATTTTATATTTTGTAGAGTTCACTGCCATTTTGAAGGGCTGAGAATCAAGGGACAAACAACTAGTTCTTGGAGGCCTGAACTGTCACATTAGTTAGCAATTTAAGATTAGCTTTCACAAATATTTATTCCCAAGTACTGGAAATAGGGATTATTGAGTCCAATGATTATCAAGAAGAGGAGAAAACTTTTTAGGAAAAACTGTTACTGACAGATTTGTATCACTTATGCTAGTTTTTAGGCAAATATTGCAAGCTGTTACATGCTAGCTGAGCACGTGGCCAGAACCATTATTTCTTTGATATTGTTAGATGCTGTTTGCTATACTGTTACTATCACTTAGTCATAGCGTTAATCGTTATTTCAATCACTTAATCATAGTATTTTTGTCTCTATTTTGTTTTCGTTCTTCAAGGTAGTCATCAGATTTCATGTTCGACCATTTAAGACATGGTGTTCTGGAAAGAACAAATTGAGTTCTTGGAAAACATATCTCAAACAATGTAAGGACATCGCATTTTAATTGTTTCAAAATTTCCAGGGGAGCACAAACTAATTTCGGATTAGAATGGCGCCAGTTAGTACTACATTTACAAACTGAACCTTACTGAAGAAAGAATGAATGTTAAGGATGTTCCTTTGTTCGTGTGAATAGTGTAGGAACATGAATGCGCAAATCGTGATACAAGCATGAAATTTGGTAAAGACTTACAATTTGACATACTGAAAAAGATGGAATCGGGATCCAGTCTGAGAAATACCCTCAAGAGCTATTTTTAGAATGCTTAATTGTTCTCAGACTCCTAAATTGATTATCTCTATAACTTTGTTGAAAATGAAATCTATTACATGAAAATTGGTATAGATACTAATCATAACACGGTCATGTGATTTAGATTCACATCCACGGCGTCAAAATGCCCCCAAATGCTATATTTATGCCATGAACTCGTCCCCAGACCTCTAACACGCTTATCTCTACAACTCCGCTTAAAATAAAATCAATACCAAACAACTTGATTTAGATTATAATTATAGCACACTAAAAGGATTTTTATCGACACCCACCTTCAAAATACCCCCAAATGCTTTTTTTAGAATGCTTGATTGTTCCTACTCCTAAATTGATTATCTCTATAACTTTGTTGAAAATGAAATCAGTGAACTGAAATTTAGCAGGAATATTAATCATAGCAAACAAGAAATTTAGAATGATTTGGATTCACACACGTAAAGGATTTAATTGACTTCCATCTTCAAACTGCTACCCGAATGCTGTTTTTAGAATGTGTAATAGTTCCCAGGTCTCGAACACCCTGGGCAAATTAGCATTGCTCACAAATGATTTTGCACTGGGAAAGATAGGCTTCAGTACTCAGTTTAATAGAACACTTACAAAAAGGCCACTCAGTTTGTAACAAGACTCACTATATATAAAATAAATTATTATTATAATTTTTATTATTATTATTATATATTGTGAGTCTTGTACCCGGGGTACTCGGTTTGTAATGAGTCGACTCTTTGCAATCACGAGGAGGTAGATACAAGCCATTTTTGATAGATTTTGTTATTATCGTAATTACTAAATTTCCATGCTAGAATATCTAAAAGCTTTGGGTAGAGTTGGCTACTGGAAAAACGGGGATGATACCGATCCAACATGTTTTTCGGGCAACGTTAGATACTGTATTCCATGTTTCGGTTTGCACCATCTGTTTTTGGTACAGTTAAATCGTTTGCTGGTCGAGAAAAGCCTACTGCATGGCAGGCATTAAAGTCTTCCCTTGTAGAAGTGAATTCTTCAAGCAGGTCATTAGTGCTAGCCGACAAAAACTTTGCATTCATGAGCAGATCGAGGTTCGTTAGTGCCCCCAAGCACTCACCAACCTTGGTGCCCCCTCCTTTTACCATTGACTCAAGGCTAAGAAAAGGGGAAGATGATATCAGGTTTGTTGATTTTTGTTTTGAAAGAAGACAGGTTATAGGAATCTGGGGTGCAAGAAGCGCGTTCCAAAGCGTTTTAAAGATTACAAGCTCTATGTAAGCAAGATGAGGAAATGTCCAAGTTTATCTTGAGGGATCAGGGATAAAAGATCAGATCTCCTGGAAGCAATGTGTATGGAAATAACTGTCAAAAAGGAATTGGTTAGCAATACAAAGCCAAGGAGAATAAGTTGCAGAGATTTGTAAATAAGCGCCAACCCATGTATGAGAGCAATGCACCAAGAAACCATGGCATTAGACCTATCAGAGATAATGCTGCCTAATGATAGTGCACTACAAACCATACATATGGTGTTTTCTGATGAAGAAGTTTTCTGCCAGACAAAATCAAAAACCTGAGGCAAGAGGTGTAGGAGATCACTCTGCAGTTACCAAAGGAGTCAATAACAGAACTAAGCAATTGCCAAAAGGAGTCAATAACAGAACTATGCAATTACCAATGGAATCAATAACAGAACATCAAACGTGAGCAGCATGAGCTGGAGAAGCCCAGGTAGACCATGCTGACTAAACCCTTCACTAATTGGTTACTCAACAAAAGACTAAAGCTCAGACAAGGTGTGCTGGAACTCCTATAACACCCCCTAGACCTGTCACTGAGTGAATACAAGCAGTTTCTCTAGATTAAAAAAGTAAAAATATATCGAAGTTTGGAGATAACTACTTATACTAAGTGCTTATAAGTTATCTGTTTTTAAGTGCTTATAAGTTATCTGAATATAGAGAAAGAATCAAAGAAGGTGATTGGGATATTCTTACTAATGCAGTCATGGATACCGTACACATTACATCTTAGACACAGAGTTCACAGGAAAATGTGACTTTGTTAAAGATCATATTGACCAGCAGATGCCAGAGTGCAATGAGCTAGCAGTCCTTATTTTGGTAACCTGATCAAGAAGCAGAAAATTTACATCAATCTGTAATAGTTTTGTCGATTTCTTTTACATTTACTAGAGAACATAACATGACCAAGAAACATAATATTTTGAACAATTTACATCTGCTTTGCCACTGCCCTTACGACGCTACATGCGTTGGTACTATGGTTCATTACCTAAATTTGCATGTTGCTGGCAGTATACAAGGCAGGGTAAGTAAAAAGTTAAGTTAGATTCCTCCCCAGTTATAAGATTTCAGGGCCACTGCCATGACGGGTGCGAATTAAAGACTGTTTGGCATTGTTATCATTACTTTTTAATTCAAGTTGCTTGTTATTGATTTCATTTTTAGCGAAGTTGTAGAGATTAACGTGTTAGAGGTCTGGGAACGAGTACATGGCCTAAAATAGCATTTGGGGTATTTCGATGACGGTTGTGAATCTAAATTACATTACCGTGTCATGATTAGCATTTATAATAATTTTTATGTCATTTATTTCAATGATTTCATTTATTTTCAATCATTGAATTACCACAACAAATTCATACTTTTGGTAGTATTTGATTAAATGCTCATAAAGAAATTCCTACTAAAATGAACGAGGTCTTTTAATAATGTCTTCTTAATATCTACAATAATTTTATAAGCCCACTCCCTCGTATAAGTCCCCTCCCCCTCGAATAAGCCCCTATCCAAAAATATAAAAAATATATAGGATTTAGGGTACTTCTGTGTCACTAGATTTTCGAATTTCTACAACAATATTATCTCATTATATCAATGGAGTTTTACAAAATATCTTGTTATATTTTGGCTCATAGAGTCCTCAACGTGTCCCTTCCAGTAGTATGTGTACAAAAATATACCAGATTATACTTACTGGTTGGCTTTTCATGACGTAAGTCCCTTACAATCTTATAAGCTCTAACTGGCCTTTGAACGTTTTCTAGATCAGCACAGGATCAACATTTCTGTGCTGATCTAGAAAAATATGTTAATGTTTACTTTAATATTGACGGTTTCTTTTAACTCCTATGATATCAGAAAGGCATAATACTATTTTAACGACTGGTAATCAGCTAATAGAGTAAGCCCTTTTGTTGTCGAAGGGGGAAGCATTGATTTATATCTTAAACTAGAATAATGCTATTTCAGGAAGACTAAACCTGGTTGATTATCCAGTAAGGTGCAGCTTAACGTTATCTGTCTAGATTTGTGCAAGTATAGCATCTAGCTAAGTAATGCCTTATTGTTTTTCCCTTATGTGTGCCTGATTGGTGCCATTGGTAAGATATAACGCTTTACCTGTGTAAAGGTGGATCAGGTTGAAACAAGTATAGCAGAATCAACCATATCTGCTGTCAAAGAAATTGTTCGAATAATACATCTGGATTTTCTTATATTTTCTTTTAGTATTAGTTGGCTGGAAAAAGTACAGTTCACTGTAATGAAAGTTTTGAAATGTCAGTTTTATTTGGATTTCAAGGGCGACTGGGATCTTTGTGATCTGTATAGTTAGATCGAGAATGTTTAAACGTCTTTTGTTTACAGTAACGTCTAAATTTAGCCCTTTTACGAATTCACGGTTGCTTTAGGCCTTTGTTTTGATAAGAAGAAATTTTTGATAAAAACTTTTCGTGTAAAGAGAAGTTAAACAGACAGTAAAACTTTTGACTCTAGATTGAGCCAGCATGTTAACTTTAATGAATCTTTTAAGGTCGAGACAATAAACTGGTCTAACATTATTCTGTTAAAGAAGACAATTGGATAGAAAGTTTAAGGAAATTCGATAGTTTGATTGCAATTACAAACAAATTAGCACAAATACCAGGTTAATAGATGCATAGTTGATTCAAACAATTAATACATCTGAATCTCTTAGTTCCAGTTTGCAGGTTCTCTATCTCAATGAACAGTGGCGTAACGCAGTTTACGACACCTTATTTCGAAAACTGAGGGCCTATTCATTAAGGCCCCTTAAATTTTTTTCATGTTAAGGGCCCAAGGCCCCTTAAATTTTTTTCATGTTAAGGGCCGAAGGTGCCTCCGCTACGCCACTGTCAAAGAGCTGTACTTTTACATTTTAATCAGAAACAGTTCTGATCCTCCATGATTAAAAAGATTGTTCAATAGCTGATATCAAAATCTTTTTCGTTTCCGCCCAAGAGGCTGGTTTAACTGTATCTAAATCTGCTTGCTCTGTCTAATGTCTCTTTTTGATGGAATAGCTTTGTGTGACCTTGATGGAACTGTTAAGATTGATGTCCACGATCTGCTTCCGTAGTCCACGATTCCTTTTGAAACTTCCCAATTCAAGGATACCAAATAAACAAGACCACTGAAAATCTTAATTAAAGTGCGTTGGAATCAAAGAAATTTTTGCAGGAAACATAGCTCTCAATTGCATAATCCAAACCATTTACTTTTCCCTGCTCTCTGCATTCAGGATAACATTAAAAATAAGAAGTTGTTTACATTTCCATCCCATTCGTTTTCATGTGCTTTTGAGCGACGTGATCGCTCCTCTCGACGCTACTGCTTTCTATAGATCTGCCTGAAAGCTGCTAGCTATGGTTTAGCCCATCTATAACAAATGAAACTGACACAATAACAATTACACTCCATTCATTACCAATGTTTTCTTTTCTGTTAAGGAAACGTGTTCGACAAAAACCTATTTTCAGGAGGAAACTGTATACTGACTTTCTTCAGTGGTTTCCATGGCAATACCTGTTGTTGTTGTTGTTGTTGCTGCTGGTCTTCGTTTACGTACATCGTAAATGGCAAAGATGGTGGCGACAGTACATAGGGACCCTGAAGCCCAGCCAATCATGTATGAATACCCAAACTCGACATCTAATTGTTTATCTGAAACCGTCTTCTTCTTGATTCCATAAACAGTCATTGAGAAGATGATAAGCATACCTTGAAGGAAAAGAGTGAGTGTGTACAGTCGATTGTTTAGAGAGTTGTTCAGCGTTTTAATACCCAGTCTAAAAGTCCAAAAGCTTGTTATTCAAACGTTGAATGGAAAGGTCGAGAGCGTTTTAACACCTCTAACTGAAAATCATTGAACAACGCTCTACAAATGTGGAGCCATGTTAGGTCAAATATTAAGAGCGTTTTAACATAGAACGCCGCAGAACTTAAGTATTTTTGAAAAAGATTTTATTATTGTATAATTGATTGTATGATTTTATTGCAATTATCATTGAGTAGTTGCTTCGATTGTTGGTATCATTGAGTAGTCATGTAATGCAAGATATAAAGGTTCAATAATATTGTTTCATCAAGTTTTATGCAATGATATTTTAATCTCGCTTTGACAATTATTTATAACTAAACAGTTTATGTTTTCGGATCTCCCAGTAGAATATGTTTTAATATATTATCTCTGTTGTAGAATATTATATGCTGTAAATGTTGCAAAACATTTATTGAAACAAAATGTTGCCAAAAAATTATAAAACTAAAGAATGTTTACACTTTTCTATCAGATGCACAGCTAAAAGATATTATTAACAGGCTAACTTGTTACAGGCAGCGACGAATTTCCATGGAAAGACTGACTAAAGCAGGCACCAGAAATTGCACATATATAAGAAAAATACGTCACTGACTACGCTGATACTTATGAGAAAGATTTAAGAAAAGCAAGCTGTAATCGGTAAGCTTTGGATTTACTTACTTGTTATTAACAGGCCGCATGGATAGACAGCTTTAAGTTTAACAAATCGAAGAGCAATGAAGTAGAAGATGATTGCTATGCTCGATGTTAGAATAGACATGATCAGGAACCCTCTTACTGCTTGAGCCCATCCTTCTATATCTGCAAAATTGAAATAATAAATTATAATAATAAAAACACTTATGTTACGCCATATATCCACAGGGCTCATAGGCGCATAACAATTGAAAATATTAAGTCTAAATTAAAATGTATGTTAAAAAGAAGTAAAAGTTTACAATGTTTTTATTAAAATCTAAGTTAAAACAATTTATTCAATAAAATACTTTCTAAATAAATGTGTCTAAAAATAAGTTTTAACCGTTTCTAAAGTGTTCTAAAGTATTTCTAAAATGTTCTAACTGAGTAGGGAAGTCTGTTCCAGAGGGAAGGGGCAACATTTGTGAAAGCACGATCACCAGCCGTAACTATTTTGGTCTTTCCTACATCTAATGATAGTTCGTCACCAGCAGATCTAGTCCAACGAGAAGTCAACGGAGTACATTCTATTACTGAAAATCTGAATTAAAATATACTGAAACGTATCCAATCATTTGAAAAATATAGAAGAATAACTTTTCATTTCTTGATCAGGTATCCTTTTTTCTTTGACACTGATTTTATTACACTGCTGATAGACACAAGACGTAATGATTTATTTTACTTTAAATCGCAACTGGTCCCTAGTTTGTTGTCAAATCCCTAAACTATTTAAACCCTTCGTTCTTATTAACTGACGTCACAACATCTGCCAGTCTATAAACCCTGGATCTGAGCTATAGCCAAAAATCCTTAAACGAGGTTTTGTTTAAGTTCTTGAACGAGGCTGTTGTTGAGAGCGTCGCTAGTTTTCAATCCACGAAATGCCAGTCTTAAACCTTCAAACATAAACCCCCGTCAGTTTAAAGTTGCAGACGCGTGGGTGAGTATTTGAAGTAGAGAAATGCTGTTCTAGATTCCTTTAAGGGCCGAAATCTCTACTATGCAGGATTATCAGCCAATCACAAAGATCTCCGTCGTAGGATTTTAAAATTACCTTCGTGTTCATATCTGGCTTATCACGGCGATGGAGGGATAATCTAGAAAAGTATATTATATTGTCTTACAAAACAACGAAAATGTTTCATTTTTAAATACAGCTTGGTTTTCGATGTATAGGTATTGTGTTACAAAAACTAAATTGACAAAAGCATTTTACGAAAGGATAAACATCACCGTTTTAAAGAGAAGATATGGAACTAGAATGTTTTTTAGAGTCTGGTTTTGCTAAATGATTATGATAAATAATTTTATCGCCTTCAATTCAAGTCTGAAACGCTGAAGATACATGATGTTCCACGTAGTACACTCGTTGTTTTATTGCCAACAAAACAATTTACTGACTTGATTACCAACAAAAAAACTTCAAATAAAATCGCTTTCAAGGCAATAGGTCTGTGTCAGCCTGATCATGGTTTAGTGACGCCACATTGCAGTTTCTAGTACCCAGGCCCGTATTGAAACGTCCTCATAATGTTGTCTAAATATATGATTAGGAATTTTGACTTTGATACTAAACCAAGTAAATGTATTTTCCTATTTCCATATAAAAAACTGTTGAAACAATTTGGCTGAAAAAAACTGTTGAAACAACACTTTTTTCCAACGAATAAATTTTGGCTGCTTAAAAATTATCACCTTAATATGCATTTACATAACCGCTATATCGATTTTAATTTCTCGCGTATTTATAATTTGAAAAACAGATTTAGAGCGGGGTCATTTAGCTATATTTCATCTGGGTCATAATTTCTTAAAGATGACTAAGGCCATAAACTGCTCAGATATTTACAAAATCTTTGCCTAAGCTCCAAAGAGGTGTGCGAAAATTACCTTAGCCACACTAAATATCAACCGTCAAATGCTAAGCCAGAAGGTCATTACGAACAACTTTACTTAAGTCTTGCATATGCGTGTACATTTGACATCGTAAACAACTGCAAACGCCCCGAAAGATATCTTCTTTTTATAAGAAACTATCCACGATAGCGACTAGAGATATTGCTATTACCTACGCTACCAATTCGTAGTGAGAAAAGAAGTCCTTCACAACCCAGAATCTTTCCTTTTCTCTTCTTTGTTATTGCTTTCTCCGTAGCAGTGACAAAAGCTGCTTTCATTAACCTTGCGTCAAATGTTTTAACGTCGAAATGCAGAGTCGTAATATTGCGTTGCTCAAGAATTTACCAAAATTGAAAGCTTCAATGGGTGTTATTATAATGCCACTCCAACCCCCGCCTCCCCCGTTCCCTTACCCCCAACAACACATTGAAATCTTGCAATTTGACCGGTAAGTGGTGGTTTAAATTGCAAATTGTAAAAACTTCATGTGGCGCTATTCGCTTGTAGTTTGTTTCACAAAACTGCCTGATTTTTTGCAGTGTATCATAAGCTGTTAAGTTACCAGAGACTAAGTATGGTTGGTGAAAAAAGGTTAAGAAATGTCGCATAGAAAATAATCCAAAAAGGGGGAAGGGACTCCAGACAGGTTTGCGAACTCTTGTGGTAGTTTTCTACCTTTATCTTTGACGCATAACCTCAATAACATGCTTCAGCAACATTTTCAGATTTTGAAAACTTCTTGTGCTTTTACTGCTTCTCTTGAAATATCAAAAGATGTTTTTCATCTTAGTATATCAATAGATTACTCTTTCTCTTGAAAAAATCTGTTTGTGGCTCCGACAAAAAGTTTTTTGCCATAACTTTTAGTAATCTGTTACTTAAATACATCTAACAGCTTCAGAAACACTTACCTATAACTACCAATCGACGATATCTGATACTGAGCATGAAATCTTTCTCATACTGAGCAAGAAATCTTCTTCAGGTTCACGATAAGGTATGCAGCACATGACCTCAAACTTATATCACAGTTAGACAAAACTTTTACATGTCTATTCAATTCAATTTTAGAAAGAAGACTAATGACTCTAAAGCATTTTATGAATATCATAGAAAAAGGAGCTAATCCAATTCATTCAGGTAAGTCTCTAAATGATTATTGGTAATTTTTGGCGATTTGAGCCTTTGAATGCCTTTGTATATACATATCAATTAAGGTGTGTTGTACATCAGTTTTTTACCACTTATATATAGAATCACAGTAAGGCAACTATTACTGGGTTGTGCATGAGCCACACATTCACATGCATAAACCACGCATGCGCAATGTATTTTGACTGAAGCAAGGGCAACAATCTTTAAACACGACTATCTGCAAAAATTTTGAAAACATTCGTTCTTTCATGCTAATAGGATCACCAGTTCAAAAGCATCGGCGTTCTTATTGTCTATCGAAAATTCACCCTCACTATCTTTTTCCTTTCTCCATCTCATCTTATTCAACAGTCAATGTCTTTGAGAAATGACTTTACGTAACTCCAGCCAGCAGGTCACTAATGTTGGGTTTATATACTATGTTACAGTTTGTGGTTTTGGAATAAACATCCGCAAGACTGGTCAACATTTGTCCAAATTTTTATTTGTCCGAAATTTCAAAAATATGTCCGAAAATGTTTCCACTGAAGTTTACTGTTTACTGAATTTTTTTAAACTTAACGTAGTTCGCAATCGTCCCCGCGTCAACACAGTTAAAAGTTGCGTTTTATGCAATTTGTTATTGATAGAATGCCAGTTTTAAGCCTAAAGTCGATAAATCCATTGCTTTAATGAAAGTCGAAAATAATACCGTATTAGCAGAGGCATAAAAGCATTTCTTTAATCGCGATTTGCTGCAGTTTTGTAAAATCCTTAGAGGAAAGTATCACCTTAAGGTATACCACAAGATATAAATAGACCTCACTTGAAAAAATTGAGCTTTTCATTGTAAAATAAGAATAAAGAAGAATAAAGAACAGAAGAGAAGAAGAATAAAGAACAAACTTTCAATTTATATATTTTTCTCAAGGAATTCAACTTTAATTCAAATTTCTGAAAAATCAAATATGGTAGTCAAATAATCAAATAATCAAAAATCAAATAATCAAAAATCAAATAATCAAAAATCAAATAATCAAAAATCAACTAATCAAAAATCAAATAATCAAAAATCAACTAATCAAAAATCAAATAATCAAAAATCAAATAATCACTATGGAGACTAAAACAACGGGAAAACTTTGAGAAAAGATATCTCTAGTTCTGGGAATCAAAAGAGCCTGGTACACAATAACATTTTGCTGAAGAAGATTGATATGAGCAGATTTTTTGTCATCAAAGTAACTTTTACCATGGAAACCATCAAAATGTATTTTTTGGCTCTAAGAATGTGCTAGAATAAAATTAGAGATAAATATGGAATGCCTTAGAGAAAAGTATCACCTTGATCACAACTATTCCGTTGATTTCGAAGATTAAAGTTTGGTAAGAGGTTGACATTTATCTTCTTTGCACATCTAAATATTTATCTAAGGGCGCAGGGCATTGAGAATTCATATGAAGGGATGAATGAGTTTAAAGCTCTCATTTCAAAGTCTCATTTCAAAGCTCAAATATTCTTACGAATTCTTACGAATCAATGATAGCAATGGATAAGCCTATCTTTGGTTGGGAGGCGAGCAAGAGAGAGTTTTTCATTGAGTGACGCAGCCCTCCGTTCTGGAGTCAAACCAAGAGTATGCGCATGGAACGAAGTCATTTTTACGGATGTGTTCCGACTCTAGGACGTAGGGTTGCCTCATACATTTGAACACTTTCTCTCGTTCGTCTAACCAACAAATCTAGAATAAAGTCCTAATGTCTCCCTGCTGCCCCTTGCTGTTCTCAAACGGGAGCAGCTACCCTTATGGGTCCTTCGCTCAGGCCCGTCGAGAGCCAGCTCTGGCCCTGGGGCTATAGACAACACAGGTCCTTGTGCAAGGGTGCTGGTGCAGCGCCAATCCCCCCCCCCCTCGACAGTACTGCTAGTGCTCTTGCTTCAAAATTGGTTAATGGTTTTTTACTTCAAAATTCATGCAGAGCAAAACTTTATATCGTTACTTCCCAAGAAAAATAGAATTTCTTAGAAGATCAGTTAAATTTGTGGCAAATTCAGATTTGGCCTCATTGTTACCTGTTCATAGTTGTAGTGCTGTATTCCTTGTCTGGGTGTTACGTCATGATTTGCACCAATTAAAGAGGGCAAATATGACATATCTTTTCTCTTGTTTAAAATTACTAGTGCATAAATGGCATGCGAAACTTCAACAAGCTATAATAAAATTTTATTTTTTGTTTATGTAGCATGTTTTTTATACAGAATTAGGAAACGTATGATGTTACCATGAAAATTCTTTCATTCTCCATGTGAAATTTGTTAGAGAAATGGGTTGAAATGTTTCAAACTAAAGATAGCAGGGGTAACAACAACGGCAAGATTTGTTACCATTGAAGTATGGGATGGGGCTATTGGAGTTGTGTTGCCCCCATCATCTCATATTTCATGAGTTGTTTGTCAAAGTCTTCAACTTTTCGGCAATATCATTACACTCTATTTTTATAAGAACAACTTAATGAGAACACGAGCCTATAAATTGGTCATAAGTTAAGAACAAATTAAGAACGAACGGAGGCTTAGCTACTGTAAAATGCAATTTAGAACAACGTTTCTTCTCAAAAACGAAGATTTAAGCCATGTGAGGGTGCTTTTTCGGTGAATGTTAAAACTTTTCGGCAAATTATGGCTGTCTTACTCACTTTGTTGGCAAATGAGGCCTGAACACCTACCTAAAGAGAAAAGCTAGCAATTGCCCTGCTTACACCCTATTAATTTACGAACAAATCAGTAACAATGCAGCCTCAGATTTTCGAAAAAATTAAGAACAGTCAGCCTGACCTTAAATTAACTGGTTTTATAAAAATGATTGTAGCTGGTTTGTGAAATTGTCCGGCGGAAAAATATAGGGACAACATTTTCTTCATCTATCCCTGAATAAGTAAATTTTACATTACAAGATTCTTCTTCCTGTTAGTCTGGAAGTTCAAGGCACGATACTTGTGTTTACTTCTTCAGAATATTAGTCACTTTGCTCAGGTCGAGGTGTAGAAGAACTTTGCCCACTCTGTTTTGCATGGCTTGTCATAAGCTGACTCCATTGTTCACAAGCATTTGATTAAGTCCAGGCTTCCTAGAAGTCATACTTAAGCAAAGGACGATTCCTACCTCTTCGTGGCTCGATTGTTTCCATCGGTTTCTCCACATGAATAGCTTTCCATATTCTATAACTTTTATCTTCTTGCTAGTTATTCAAAACGTAAAAGCTTTTCTCCTTAGTAATTCTAGTTAATTTATTTTCTTATTCCTTGTATAGAGATAGATGCTGTGAAAAATAACTAATTGGAACTCCGAAAGAACAATGCACGTGGGAAGGTAAGAAGAATTCCTTAAAAATTGAATTATTTTTCCCTGCTAAATTGGCCGAGGAAGATTCTGATTTAATTGAATGCAATGACGTTTGTCTAAAGTATGACACATTATCACCTGCTATATATTTCTCCATATTTTCGAAAAGTTTTGCCTAGATCAAAACAGCTTTAGTATTCTTAATGACTTCACACGATGGATATTTATTTATTCAAATACTCACTGCCAGAGATTTTCTTGCACCTCACTGAATCGCATATTTTCCATAATCCCTCGTTGGTTTGCTCATCCTTTGACCGTTTAATGACATACCAGTAATCTGTTATCACACATACAATTAATGAGAGGCATGATATGATGCCTAGAAACAAAGGAAAGAATTTGAATCTTCCAAGAGCCATAGCGAAAGATCGTCAAACTAGCATAGGACTTTGAGAGTGGCCTGGACAATGTTACATCGATCAGTATAAGTTTTGCGATTTTCATGTAAATACATTGGGACACGGGGGTAAAGTACAAGATTTTGCTTAAATCCTTGGCAGGCCGTTAATTCAGGCTATCAAAAGGATAAACCTCGGGAGCGTCTTAAAACGTGCAGACTTTCATTGTCCGAGTGTCGTTCGTGTTTTTTACTTTCGACTGCTATAAAGAGATAAAGTACACTAGAGCTATGCTTTAACACAGCAAACGTTTAATTAAACATAGGATTTTTATGACAAAAACCAGGATATATACATAACAGATCTTTCTGATGATGTTCAACCCTTAATCGATGGTTTTTTCCTCTCTTATTGTATATTTGTTTTTTGTGAAATATATTTGCACTATCCGTTTCAATCATATCCACGAATTTCTTCAATAGTTTTTTTAGCTACCTCAAAATCTTCCTTTTTTTAATAAAAACACACTTTAAAAAAATTGAAATTAGATTTACTAAAATGAAATAAGAAAACCGTAAGAACCAGCGCAGTTTCAGGGGAATATTAGAAAAAAAAAACATGTTCCCTCTTGTTAACAAAACCGATCAGTTTTTAGCAGCAAATCAAAAGTAAATTAAAAATGTTCTGCAAAATTGTTGTTTAGTGATCTTAGATATAAAGTTGTTAACGATATAAAGTATTTTGTTCTAGAAAGATAAGAGCACCTAAGCATCAAATTATCCAAAATATAAGAATATGAAGCATCAACAAAAAATATATGTTTCTTTTGAAAAAAGGAGGAGACGGCCTTAGCTAGAAATATACCCTAGTAGTAGAGGCACGTAAATTCAAGCACGGGAATAGAAGACAGGTGCGGGAAGCGGAGGAGTGTCTATCTGAGACGAAGTGGCCTATCTGAGACGAAGTATGTGAGACGAAGTGAGATTGGCCCCGGGGGGGGGGGTTACTCTCATTGAGGCCTGACAGGAGGGTCCAGTCCGTTTGAGGGTCTTAGCAAATGGCCAATTTTCGATAATGACTGAACTGCTCAGTTTAGCTTGCGATTTATTATAGATAATGAACAAGATTTATCTTTCCCGAAAAAACAACAATCAATCATGAAGAAATTTGTCAAAAAAGAACCAGGAGAGCGCAAAGAAATGGATGCTACCAAGGAAATAATTTCGGTTTTTATGCTACTGTTTGAGGGGTTTTGTCAAAAAGTACTACCATTAGAGGGTAATTTTCTAAAATTTAAGCATTGGCCCTCTTTGACTCTGACTGGATCCCCCTGTCAGGCCATAATGGGAGTATCCCCCTCCCCGGGCTATGGGCGAACCAGAGAAATGAGGCGAACTCTCGCCCACTCTCGTTCTGGTGTTTGGTTTTTAGCCAATCAGGAAAGGGCAGTACAAAATTGGAATTAAAATCAGCAGTGTCTATGCCATCTTTTTGTCGATTTCAAAATGAGTTACGGATACTTTGTAGAAACATCTCACTTGGTTAGCTTAATCAAGAAATCGTTTCGATCTGCTCACACTTTGTCGTGTCTGTTTTGGGAAATTAATCCAAACCATCCTCAGGGTAACGCTGTATAAACATCTTGTCGATTCCATGAAACATGTAAGGTCAACTGACTTCCTGATATGTTTTACTACAGGACGACTTAAAGTCTTTGTCTGTATTCAGAATGGGTTTTCTCTGTTATCTGTCTTGTTTGCCACCTTTTTCAAATCTGTGTTACTAGAAGCGACCTATCTGGTATTGATATTCATTTGAAAATTTCCCACAATCTGTCAAACTTTCTGTACAAACTTTACAACAGTTGTGAAGTACTGGAAACCGATAAATCAGGAGGTCAACATTTTGTTAAATCACTAGTTTGATCCAACATGGACGCGTGAGTTCTAAATAATAAGTAGAATTAACGTACGACCTTGGGCAAAAGAACTCGAATTAAGACACGTCTCGTCTAAAACAGAAAATTATTTCGACAACAGCAAATCATTTCGTCAGCAACTTTATTCGTCTACAGCTTTCGGCGAGTGTCTCTAAAAACTACGCTACACGATAAATATATATGAATAAATAGGGGCAAAGGTTAAAAATAATGAAAATAATAGATTTTTACTAAATAGGTTCAATAGAAATATATTTCATGTTCATGGCCAATCAGGAAAGCGCTAGAAAAGCATCTAATGCAATGTACATGCACCTGGCACAAAGTACAACGTCTGATGCAATGCCGGTGTGTAACCGTCACGTGACATGCAGCAAAACCGATAATTAGAAAAGCAACAGCAACAGCACCTCAGCACATAACCTGAAAAAACATCATGAAAAATCACTAAATATGTGAGATCAGCTTAATGTTTCATATTGTTTGAGATATGGTAACACAAAATTTACTAAAGAAGTATTATATTACAAGACGTGTTCTTATGCGTTAATGGATCAAACCGAATATGAGAAAATTGGCCTATTCATCATCATAATCATCACCAGTTTATCTACAGTTGGGATTTACAAAGTTCTTAAAATAAATAATTTATAACAACTAAAAACTAATTAGCCTATTAATTGTGAGCACGCTTAACTATTATCCGGGGGGCTCAAGCTCCTGAAGGTCCCTGCTGAAATTTTTAAGAGTGGCTTTTTATACTTGTTCGGGAGACGAAACTATCAGTCCTTTGTTTCGAAACAATACCGTCTTGAACCAATCAGTGTTGGGGGGTCATAGCACATGCGCATTGATAACTGTATTCGCACAGCTGTTCTGTCTGCAACCATACAATTCTTTAACTTCCTGTCAGGGCTTCAAGTGATAATGCGCATGTGCAATGACCCCGAAACGGGGTCTAGTGCATGTCTGGAAGAGAGGCATGATTCATCTCCCGAACAAATGCTGTTTTAAAATCTGAACGAAGGCAGAAGGGAGCGCGCATCAGATTAACAAGGCTAAGTAAAACCAACCTGTACTTTAACAAGTCTTTGCAATTGGAACCATGCTTTTGATTGCTCTTCAATGTGGAAATGAACAATTTCAACGTGGAAAAACTCAAAAGAAATTTAAATAAGTTATTACCCATTGACCTCAAAAAATGGATAGCGCTCTTCGCAGCAGAAAACAAACATCAAACAATATCAAATTCAAATTTGCTTTGACAAAAATGTTCTGAAATACGCAGCCCCTCACATTACCACTCATTTTATGACATTACCACTCATTTTATGCAAGGCACTGCAAAAGAAATAGCCTCCCATTACAAAAGGATCATTAAAATGATAGATAGTATACACAAGAATACAATTAGCTAGAAACAACCTGAACATCAATGGACGTTGGAAACATGAAAATAATTCGAGAATTTGGGAAATAAAATGGGTTTGAATCAGTGGCGGACACCTGGGGGCGAGGGGGTTGACCGCCCCCAATATTTTAGAGGACAATGGTCCTCTGTTCTAAAACAATAGGGAAATGTGACGTCATCTTATTAAAAAACAAGCTTGCCCCCCCCCCCAATATTTGATCAAGTTTCCGCCCTTGGTTTGAATAAAGAAATGAGGCCAAGCGAAAAACTGTCTACAGATTTTTCACCTGATACAGAGGACTGCAAATGTTAACGGATTAAGAGAAAAATATGATGTAGAATAGAGAGCATTAAAACATTTTCAAATACCCATTTTAAAAATCCAAAGCTGTAAAAAAAAAGTTTCAGCTCAAACTCCAATTACCTTGCTCTTTTAGAAACATTTAATTGTATAGCAACAGATGTTAATGGCTGGCCAAGAGGTGGTTAAAGTTAATTTGTTTCACTGATTGACTTCTATATAACTTCCATCAATAACTTCTTGATTTCATCGGGACAAACATTTAAACATTTTATCCCATTCCAAAAAACTTGTCGAATTATGTTATATAGACCAAAACATACAAAAAACGATAACAAGAAAGGGATTAAACCATCAAATAGCTTTGAATTCGTGGATATTAATTTTAAGGTTTTATAAGAAAAAATTGCTTCAAAAGGTGCATTTTCTAGAGGGAGCATCAAAATTCGAAATTTAATGTAAATATAAAGCAAGCTTAAATATGCATGTTATTCGTTACTGTGTATGGACTATTATAATGTATGTAGTACATATTATAATTTTATTATTAGTTATATTTAGATACATGGCATATCCCAGGGGGCAGTCATGATACATTGCTCCTCCTGGGTTCCGCCCTTGTAAAGTGCACTCATTTTTTTATAAGAATCAAAGGTCGATGTTGAGTACTCCAGTTTCTTAATGTTCTGGAAAATACTCACTGTTTCTTAAGAGTTTCTTAATTATGATGTCATGAATGATGTTATGAAATGTTCGTGACTTTTTTCACGTCAAGAGATTCGCTTCCGTTCTAACGCTGTATTTAGAAGTGGAAAGTATATTTTTATCCCTTCTGTCTTAAATTCTAGGCCAACAGGGCAATCATGTTCTTGGATTTTACAAAATTTCGTTGTTCTCAGTTTTATCAGGATATAATAATTTTTTTGTTTCGAGGACTGAAGTTTATTAATTTTTTCTGACATTCCAGTACTCGTTACTTATAGCCAGTTTCTTATAAAAAAATGAGTGCAGTTTAGTAGTTCAAACGTAATGATTTAGGTAGTTTTTTTTGGTAATTTTAACCGAATAGAAAAAAAATGCGTTTGTATTTTATTTTTCTATATGTTCGCAGAGTTTCTAAGCCACCAGAGGCTAAGCTCTTCCAATGTTGCAACAGCTGCTAACTTTAACAGATAATTATTCAGGAAATTTCCCAACCATGCCTCCTTCAAGTTTATTACGTGTTTTCTCAATTTTTCTATTTACTTCCCTCGCAATAAGTCCAATAAAACTATTTACATCCGAATTTCGATTTTTTTGAATTTTTTTTATTCTTTTGAGTGGTATTGGAATGACGCAATCTTTTTCAAACATTCAATAATGTGACATTAAAAGCTGGTTACACACGTAGTTTTCTTGCGGAAGTGGATTGCGACAGTTATAAAAACGATTACAAAGTCTATTGTGTTCGACAGTTTATAGAATCGCAATCAAATTCCATTCTAATTCGAGGAATTCGGCCGAAAGGCAGTAGAACGTTTGATTGAATTTTTCATGTAAATCCGCAGGATTAGGAAGTTAATTCAAGAGTATTTCTCCGAAAATAGACAGAAATGAACCTTCAGACAGTACTATTTGCCGGTCTTCTGCTCGTTGCTCTTATTTTTCTAGTTGTTGCAGTAACAACAGATCATTGGAACGAAATATCCAGCTATGGAAGCAGTCACCGTGGATTATGGAGGATTTGTCATAAATTTACTAACACAAATACCAAAGTTTGCGTCACCTTCGACAAAGTTCCAGGTAAGCCCTCTATAGACATTTGCTTTCACACTAAACAGGCCAAACGTTTAGATTAAGAAAGCCAAATATGTCGTAGTAATTTTGACCACAGGAAGGCAACTGAAAAAAACAACATTTAATTCCATGATTGATAACACTATTTGCAGCGAATGAAATAATAAAATAGAAGAGATAAGGACGAAAAAACCGCCGAATAAAATGGAAATTATATACATATTTTGGATTGAAATATTTATGCTTTGGTTGAAAGCTTCTTTGGTATGATATCTTAGAAACAGTTATTGCGGAAAATTGCAAAAGGTAGTGAACTTGATAATCGTGAAAAATGTACACAACATGCCCCTTGAGATGGATTGGTTTTTATAAGCCCCCCCCCTCCCCCCTCTCGAATAAGCCTCCATATAACCAGTGCCTAGGTCAATAAGCACCCAGGGGGGCTAAGTTGAGGATTAACAGTATTCAGACCCTGAGAATATTATATATTTCTCAATGTTTATTTTGCATGTTTAGCTTCATAGCGTCTTATAGCGTTCAAGCACGTATGACCGTACCCCCAAAAAAGCTTGTGACTGCGCACGGGGAAATTTTTCACAATGTTCTACGTTATATAGCGTAAGGAATAAAATAACATTTGCGTTGGCCTTTAAAACTCAAAGCTAATCATCTTTCATGCACGTGTAATGACGTCATTTTGTACTTTGCCCATGTTCATACATTGTGTCGTATTCATTGAGATGAAGTCGTTTTGAATTTTAACTCCTTTCTTCAGTTGAATTGTTTGGGCAGCTCACACGATAGCAAATATAAATGAATACTGATTTTCGGATAATTCTTAGTTCTTCACATTGCTAAAAAACTTCGCACAACAAAATCACAGCCCTCGTTTCGAATAAGCTGCTGTAACCAAGCTTCATCGACCCACGTTGAAGTGACCAAACGGAAGCAGTGTCGTCATTTTTTCTAAGCTTCTAGATTTTCAGAAAAAACCTGTTAGGGTTATCAGTATAATTGTTTGGCCAGCTCCTTCTCCCTTGTACAAATTATAATGTACATGAACTCAGTGGCCTAGCTAAGAATTTTTGGTGGTTGGGCGAATTTTTAGTTAAATCATGACAGTAACTTTTAGTAAGAAAATGACATTATATTGGCTCGATATTATAGAATTTTTCTATCTTTAGCTTCAAAAACACAAAAGCAAATATTAAAACGATTAAGCATCCCAAAACAGTAAGATTCTTGGCATCTAAACATTGCTAACATGACATGCCTGCGCCTACCATATGTTCACAAAAACAAACTTCTTTGGAGATTAAGTAATAGAGAACATCTCCTTTCATTTGTGAACATCGGGATATTATATTAGTCTTTGATTTCTTACTGCAATGATAATCAGCAAGGAATAGATAAATCTGGCAAAGGAATAGATAAATCTGGCAAACGAGGTCCATGCCTCACAAGCATAGGTTGCAAATCTATGATTGGCTGAGAGACCAAGATTCTCCACACCCCACTAGCCAATTAGAGTTCATGAATATGACAACAAACGTGCCTCATAGCTAGATTTAGGCCTATTTTGGACGTTTTAACCACTACCCACAAAAATAAACGTGTAAAAGTTTATTCTTTGATAAAATTATAAAAAAAACTGCCGTTGTACCCAGTAAAATTTTTCCGCGGTCGTTTGTTACGAAGGCTTGAAATTGTCCCTTCTAAACCCTTTAAATAATAGAAATCATATCTTGAAATTGTCTCTTGCCTCGCAATATAATTGCGATGCTCATCCGATATAATTTCATTTTGAACAACAGCATAGAAACCAATATATGATTATAATTACGTAGAGCCTCGACGCCCTATGTTCATGAAATTTCCGACAAAATTATTCAAAACTTCTGGAGGGGATGTTTGCCCTTTTTGCCTACATGTGCCACCCCATTTTTCTAATGCTTTCCATGTCTTTGTATGGGAATCGAATTGCCCAGCATTTTCGACCTTTACCGGATGATAACAGATTGATTGAAAAGCCCTCTGCCACGTTTGCAAAATTGGAAAATTGAGAATTATTAGCTCAATCTGTGATTACTACAGTAGATGAAAATTTACGAATGCCAGAGTATATAAAGAGATACAACAAGAAATCCAATATCGAATGAGTTCGAGTGGCGTAACGCAGTTTAAGACACTTTAGTTCGAAAACTAAGGGCCCCCCACCAAAAAGGGCCCCCGGCCAGAAAGGGCCCCCGGCCAGAAAGGGCCCCCGGCCAGATAGGGCCCCTGGCCAAAAAGGGCCTCCAAATCACCTCTATATCCATTTTTAAGACTTCGCTCAAGTTCACCTCATTTTCAAAAACTTATGATTTCTTCAACTGAAGCTTCTGTAACTCAAGCCTCCCCCCGCCTCTCCCCTATTGGATTAGAAAAAATTTTCATTTTTTCATTTTTCTAATGTTTTTGACCTGCTCTACAGGGTCGAATGGGACTTTCCTGCAGTCAATAACATAGAGTCCTGTATCCGTATTTTTCCTTAGGGCCCCAGATGCCTCCGTTGCGCCACTCTGAGATCGTCCAGTTGTTAGGACTACAACTGTCTATATAGTGTACAAAACTGAATGATTCAATAAAAGAGATTTAATTTTTATTGCGAAAATTTTCTTCAGTAAAGCGCTGTTACCATACGGACATTGCTAATAGCTCAGCGAAAAATGAAGTCACTGGCAACTTTTTCTTGTGCTTGATGTCGGTCTTAAATCCATGGCACTGAATGCCTTAAAATTTAAAATGTGGTATCCATGAAAATCAATTTTTATTCCAAACCATTTCATTTTTATTTTTGTGGACAATTTGCTCATTTGCCTCATTCCATTATCGTACAAACCACTCTTCTAGCTGATTTAATTTTGATTGAATGTTTTGGACTTGGAATTCCCTTCCTGAGCAAAAAAATCTCCACAACTGTGAATCAATTTGAAATGCTAGTCAACAACTTATTCCATGAAAAAGAATTTCAAAAACGCAGTGCAGTCAATAGTTTCCATAATGAAAACATAGTTTTCCTTGATTTCACTGCGCACGACTAAGTATAATAGGTCTAGGTGTACATATTACTTTGAGTAGTCTTTTTAAATTCCTCTCGAGCTACCTGATGTTGACAAGAAGAAGGACATCAACAAACTCAAGGGAAGCCTTATCAGGCCAAACGGAAAGAAAGAACCTTTGAGTGTTAAAGCGAAGAGCAAAACAAAAATATCGTGCTACTCGTAGCGAGAATATAAACAGACTGACTATAGACTATCCCCTGTTGATGATCTATCCATTTTTGCACAAATTATTTGCTTCTGATGTTATTTTATGATGCGTTTAAGTACATTTGATTATACCATTGTGTATTTCTTTTTTCTAATTTTTTCTAGCAAATTTACATGTTGCCAGAGCAGGCCTACTTATTGCTACATTTGGGTATGCAATCGTCATGATGCTTCTGTACTTTGTCGAGAAACACGCGATGAAAAATTTTCGAATCCCAGCCTTTGCCTGCTTTCTGCCATGTGAGTTTTAATGCTTACTTTCCCAAAGGAAAGATAAAAGCATTTTTGAGAAAATTAGCTATAGATTTCCTTATTTCAGCTTAAATTCTGCTGTTTTCAAGATACGATTTCTAATTGTTTCTACACAAGTTATGAAACAGGAAAGGAATTTTTCCGTAAAATGTTTTTTTTTGAAAGACAACAAATATTCAGAACTCAAATGGTTCTTTTTAGGCCTGAAACAAATTTTTTAAAATGATATGCAATATGCTAAGTAAGATTGTATTTTTATTGATTATTGTTGTATTTCGTAACATAACATGCAACCCTTACCAGAGCTTCTTATGAAACTGTTTCTAATTAAAAAAGCATACACTTTGCTTTAAAGGCAAGAAAAACATTGGACATTTCCCAGCCTATTAAGCTAAAGGATGTGTCTACATGCTCTTTTGCTCCTCTCAGAAAAGTCTCTTGCGTTACTTGTAGTGAAAATCGATAATGAAAATTGAGAATCAAATTGTGTTTATTCTGCGCAGTGAAAAAAGCCTAAATTTTCAACAAGCAAGCTATCCTACTTAAGCAACGACTATTGTCTCCTCTCCAACAAATGAAACAATGTTCTTTGGCCTACAAATGTTTGCTTTTGATGTTTATCATTTATTCTAAATATAATCTAGACTTGCGTTATATCGAGTAAAACAAAATAATTCCGCCTAATACCCTTTTAAATGGAAATGGGTGAATAGAATTGTGAAGAGGTTAGAGGGGCAAATGCATTTATAGCTAAATGAGGAGTGATTGCATTCGATGAGACATTCACAGGATAGTGTCGAGGGGCAATTCACTCTTGCAAATAGCGTACGAGATTTTTCCGTAACAAAAGGATTTCCAGGGATTTTCATATAAAACAATAGGATTTTCACAAAAGGTGTACGAGATTTTCTTGGAGTGATTTGCCCCTCGGATAGTGTAAGCCAATATGTAGCTGTTTTTTGAATACAGTAGACTTTATTAAATTACAAAGCGGCATGGAAAGGAACTGGCCACCCCACCACACAATGCCACCACACAATGCCGTGGCCCAGGACGATGCGCCCCAAACAGCGCGTTCCCAAACGTTCAATATCTAACACAAGACTACCCTTTACCTTTTTAGACTTTTTACACCAAAACCTGTAAACAGAGCTTAAATTGGATAGTTTTGCGCATTTGGGTCGAAACTTCATTTGACTACAAACTGTTGTGAATTTGAATCTGGGTTGTTTTTAATATTTAAACCTGTGTTTCTTCACCCTGGTTCGTGGAATCCAAGCAGATAACACATAACTGAATACAACCCAATTCCAAACTTGACTCCAATAATTTTCTCAACTCAAAAAGGCTATTTACAAAAGAATAATATATACAACGCAAACGTAACTCTATAATAACTTTCGTATATCAAACTTAGTTCATAGTTTGAACTCCATAACTCTTCAACGTAACATAACTCCTTTTCGCAACATAACTCCACAACTCTGTTCAACAACTACCAAACAAAACTCTATAGAAATAAAATAATGTCACGTGACGTACGCTAATTACAACACCCTCCCCCCCACAAAATAAGAAAAAAGGGTACTAACTAAACTGAAAAGATGAGCAAGTTAAGCAATGTTCAACAAGTTTAATTTACAATGATCTCTGGTACGTCTTGATCACGAACGATAGTAATTTGAGGTTCTTCGGAATCTTGTTCAGTCACTTCTGATGAACTACGAATCTCGATCGGATATAACTTTTGTATAGGACGTTTTATTGTTATATGCTTCTTTGCACTGTTACTTGTAAGTAACTCTACTGCACGAACGACACCGTCCTTTCCCGGTAGTAATTTTGTTACTTTCGCCATTCGCCAACGTTGGCGTGGTAATTTACTTTCGTGTACGTATACTATATCACCAATGTTGATACCCGAAGTTGTCTGTTTTCCGCAATTATGAAACTCACGTTATGACGTGAGATATTCTCTTTTCCAAGATTTTCGAAATTTATCTATGACTGACGCTAAGTACCTGGAACGTTTACTCAGCTTCAAAACTTCTGAGCCCGTTTCTTCTTCCCCGCACGATGTTCGATCGAGAAGTCTTCGTCCCATGAAAAGATGAGCTGGTGTTAATGGGACTTCACCCAATTCATTATACACATAGGTTAACGGACGAGAATTGAGAACTCCTTCAATTTCAATAAGTTCTGTTTCCAGTTCCTCATAAGTTAATTTCTCGTTACCCAAAGATTTCTTGAGACATCTTTTGACCAGACGCACACAAATTTCAAAAAAACCACCCCACCAACTGGCCAGGGGAACGTTAAACTTCCATTCAAACTGAACACGTCTGCTATGAATAAAGCTGTGAACTTTCGCATCCTTGAATGTTTTCCCGTTATCAGATACGATAAGAGAAGGTATCCCTCGGCGACCCATAAGACGCTTTAAACAACGTATAAACGATTCTCCTTCGAGATCAGGTACAAGCTCGAGATGTATCGCGCGACTATTTGCACAAGTAAATAGAGCAATATAGCATTTATTCATATTTGTGTCCTTAGCATAGATGTCTTTGACGTAAAGCGGTCCGGCAAAATCGACTCCAATTTTTGAAAACGCATAAGTGTCTGAAACTCGAAACTCTGGCAGTGCCGGTGCTACTTGTGTACCGTACGCTCGACCTTCTATCTTTTTACAATGTACACACTTCGAAATTATTTTCTTCACCTTCTGTCGGCCCTTAATGATCCAAAACGACGCTCGTAATTCATTTAGGGTCTCACGTAGCCCGTTATGTTTGACAATTATATGGGATTCCCAAATAATCAAATCCGTGATATGATGCTTACGAGGCAACAATATTGGAAATCTCGTTTCATACGGAAGATCCGCGTTTTCGATTCGTCCCTTACACCGAATTATGCCCTTATCGTCATAAAATAATCCAAGCAAGTTGCTCGATTTCTCAAAATCCGTTTCTTGAGGAATGTAACTTTGAACCTCGTTAATCCAAAGCTCACGAGCTTTCTCGATTTCATCCAGAGACAACATTTGCTTCGTTTCAATTGAGTCTTGATTCAATTTGGATTTTAAATTCTTTATGAACCTGAGAATATATGCAGTAACACGAAGGAGACGTTGTAAACTACTGTACCGCTCGCACTGAATCAATTCCTGTAATTTCAATGAAGGTTTACTTTTAGTATAAACCAATAAAGCCATCACGCTTTCTTTATTTGTCCCCTTTAATTCATTTAACTCGTTACTCATGCCTTTTTTTACAATATCGTAACTCAACACGTTTGGCCACGTGGCCTCTGAACTCCTTAAAAATTTAGGCCCTAACCACCAAAGTTCATTTTCAACAATTTTTGTACACTTGATACCACGAGATGCAATATCACTCGGATTTTGATCGCTAGGACAGTATCTCCAATAATTTTTTGGCGCAAGCTCGCGAATTTCATTAATGCGATTTTGTACATACTGCTTGAATGTTTTGTTTTCTCCGAATATCCACCAGATGACAATTTGCGAGTCTGACCAACAAAATGTTTGGTCAATGTTCAATGTAGCGCTCAACGCGTCCGATACCGTTTTCATAAGTCTGGCAAGAATTAATGCCCCCATAAGTTCCAAACGTGGAACTGATTCCGATTTCAAGGGACTTACGCGCGTTTTCGACGCAATTAAATGAGATACAACTCTTGATGACGTTTCAACTCTTAAGTAAACGCTTGCTGCGTATGCTACTGTACTTGCGTCCGAAAAACCATGCAATTGAACTGATTTTATGTCTGAAACCTCGACCTCATGCATCACGGAACGAGGTAATTCGATTTTCGAAACCGATCTTATGTCGAGAATGATGTCACGAAATTTCTGTGCAATTTTATCATGCACTGGAGAGTCCCAGTTTTCTTTTATCTTACACAACTCTTGAAAGAGGCATTTTAAAGGCAGGATTACTGGCGATATCAATCCTAATGGATCATAGAATTTGGCTGTAGTGCACAGAATTGACCTTTTTGTAACCATAGTAATCGATGTATCTCTTACAATTTTTTCAAAGTCAAGTTTCAACGAATCTGTAATTAGATTCCAACCAATTCCCAATACCTTTGTATCTGGTTGTTCGTGATTGGGATCTTCCAGCACATTAGCGTTTTCTGACACGGGGGTGTACAAGGCCTCGTGTTTTTTAATTCTTTCTTTTAATTCCTTGTTATTTGTAACCCATTTACGAATGTTAAACCCGACTTTGTGAAGAGAGTCCTTCAGCTTTCTATACGTTTCGAATGCTTCATTGTTGGTAGAGAATGAGGATTGATAATCGTCAACGTATAACGATCTCAGTGTATTGTACACAAACACTGGGTCATTTTTCCCTTCGGTCATTATATGCTTACGCAATGTGGCGTTTAAAACAAATGGAGAACTAGTCAATCCAAATACGAGGCGCGTAAAGCGTAATTTTATCAACTCAGGATTCTCACTGCTCACGTCATTTACCCATAGAAGCCGTAGAAAGTCGCGTTGCTCAGGGGGAATTTCGATATTAAGAAAGGCCTTTTCAATATCGCCGGCAATTGCCACCTTATGTATTCGGAAACGTAGTAATATATCCAAAATCATTGGCGTTAATGATGGGCCTTGTATTAAACAGTCATTAAGGCTAACTTCCCCTGATCTTTTACAGCTAGCGTCATAAACTATGCGCAATTTTGTCGTGGTTCTATCTTCTTTTAATACTTCATGATGTGGAAGATATGTTACATGACCCGGTTCATAGTTTTGTTCGATATCCAAAGTCTTGTCAACTATTTCAACAACACCTTCCTTTAACTGATCGTGAATAACCTTATCGTACTCGTTTAAGATTGTTGGTTTGTTACTTAACCGTTTCAAAACTGAATGCAACCTGTTTTTGCATAACAGAAAATTGTCTGAAATAGGCTCGTGTTCGGGTTTAAACGGCAATTTTGCTTCATAACGCCGCCCATTAAACTCAATTTCATTTTCCATGTAATTATCACAGAATGCTGGTGATTCTGATTTTACGCCTATACTTTCATAGTCCCAGAATTTATGAATTTGTTCATTTACTTCACTGTCACTATTGACTACTAAACACTCCGCCTTGAGAATGTGTGACTCGGTTAAATGGGTCGAGAACCGATGATCATTTGCATAACTAGGAGGCGTATCAACAGGGCCAGAAAGTACGTAACCTAGTTTGTTTTTCATTGCAATGGGTCCATCTCCCATTTCCCCCGTGTGACTTGACCATCGATTAAGGACCAATAATGATCTAATCCAATCAGCAATTGAATTTCCAAAGAATCATTGTTATCAGATTGGTCTGCTAATGGCAACCGACGCAAATGCTCATATTTTCCATAAGCAAACGCAATGTTTTGATTTATAATGGGTTCACACACATGATCAACACAATAAGCAGTTATAACAACCCTTTCACCATTAAAACAATGAACCACTAATTGTACTAGTTCAGCTTCTAGAATTTGGCCTTCATTTCCAAAAGTGTTAATTAAAATTGTTTCCTTGCCAATCGGTGATAAATTCAAGGCCTTTTTTACCGACTTACTCAAGTACGATCTTTGAGAGCAAGAATCAAATAACATTCTCACCTGACAAGTACCATCCTCTTTATCAGAAGGATTCGACACAGATCCTTGTGCTGTTGGCATGAGAAACTGTTTTTTGTTCATATCATGATTTACCAATAAATTTGTAGTGGCTGGTTGTTTAGGTATCATACCCTTTGATGAGGCCTTATCCTGTCTAGCAATCCCAGATTGATTTCGATTAAATCTCCATTCCTATTGTTGCCACAAATCGAGGTATGATGTCGCCCACCGCATACTTTGCACTTGCCTGTTGTCATGCAATCTCTCGCAATGTGACTCCCCTTCATACATAGGAAGCATCTGCCTTTCTGCCGTAAAACCCTTCTTCTTGCAAATGGGTCTGTCACCGACGTGCACCGATCCCAGAAATGTAGGCCTCCGCAAAATACACACGATGGTTCCCGCTCACCTTGGTAACTTGCTCCTCCTTGGTTATAAAAAACAGAGGTCGTTGATGGTTGAATCTGATCAACTTTTCTTGTATTCCTCCTGCCCTCAGTAAACGAATTTGCAGCCCCAGCCATCGTACTGTACTCGCATCTTTCTCTTAACTGTAACTCCTTTCCAAATTCCTGCATAACCCCATCCAGATCCCATTCTTCCGATAAATTTCTTGTTGATGTTATTCTCAATTCTGGTGAAATCTTTGACATAAGAATAGGTGTTACAAATGTTCCATAACTATCGGAATTGATTCCAATACCTCTTAAACTCCGTATAACGCCTTCCGTTTTATCGTAAAGGGTCCTCAGCTGCTGAACGCTACTCGACTGTACATTCGGTAAATTTATCAAGGATTCCATATGGCGTGAAATAATTATTTGTTTATTTCCAAATCGTGATCTGAGCAACTCCAAAGCTTCAGTGTAATTCGCATTAGTTACATTAATGCCGGTTAACGTATCCTTCGCAATTCCACTCAAACAATTTAGTAGATACCGAAACTTGTCCACAGGCTCCAAACTTGGATGGCTATCAACAGTTGACAAAAAGCTGTCGTAAAACAGAGTCCATTTCTCCGGATCTCCATCGAATTTCGGTAGCTCGAGACTTGGGAGTTTACGTCTACATCCTTCTCCCGTTGATGATAAACGTGACGAAGACATAGATTCTGAGTTTTTCGATCTCTCTTTCTCATCACGACTGATTATCGATTCAATTATGCAGATAACGTCTTGTACATTGCTTTGGAATTCGCCCTTTTCGACGATTTCTTTCTCTATTTCTTCTTCATCTATGATGTCTTCAATTTTTTCATCTAATGTTTCTATTATACTCAATTGCTTTTCAAACGTAATTTTTGCCGAATTTAATTTTGCGATCCATTCCTCGGTAGGATTCGTATTGTTATCCATTAGGCCATTGACAGTTTGAATAGTGTTCCGCACGTGAAGGCGATGTCCGCTTCGCGATTCACCAACCTTCTCAGCTCCGCCATAACGTCAAAGTTCTAAATAAATGTTACTGTACAACTCTCTGAGTTCCTGGGTCACGGCACCATGTTGTGAATTTGAATCTGGGTTGTTTTTAATATTTAAACCTGTGTTTCTTCACCCTGGTTCGTGGAATCCAAGCAGATAACACATAACGAAATACAACCCAATTCCAAACTTGACTCCAATAATTTTTTCAACTCAAAAAGGCTATTTACAAAAGAATAATATATACAACGCAGACGTAACTCTATAATAACTTTCGTATATCAAACTTAGTTCATAGTTTGAACTCCATAACTCTTCAACGTAACATAACTCCTTTTCGCAACATAACTCCACAACTCTGTTCAACAACTACCAAACAAAACTCTATAGAAATTAAATAATGTCACGTGACGTACGCTAATTACAACACAAACGTTAGTGTGTCCGTAGTCCTCTGTATCTAGATGTTTTTCCGTTGTCTTACTTTAAAGGCAATCTGTCACGACGTTGATTAATTATAAGAACAAAGGGATTATTTATTGTTTCCAGTGCCCCTTTAATTTATCGCATTGTAAAAAAAATATGGCGGAGCGCTCGAATTGTGTTTACGCTATTGTTCCAGCTATTGTTCTGGTTAACCAATCCACAACGAGACAGATTGACTTGCCTTTAAGCTTTTTCTACTTAATTATTCTGTTTAATGATTGCAATGTAATTTATCGATATATTCCATTTAGTTTCCAGTACGTTGGTTGCAATGGCTGCTTTCACGGCTGGTGTATACAAAAATGCTGTGGTGAAGACAATTTCTTTTTCTTGGTCGTATTATTTCGGATGGACCTCTTTAGTGCTTTTAGTTGCTGCTATAATGATTGGAATAGGGGAAAGGCAGAGAATACACGCTGTTGCCGTCAGCTGATAAATCGTTAATACGATGTTTGATGTCATTAGGAAGTTTAAATTAATTTATTCATATAGAAAATTTAATGATATTATTCAATGTGCAAACGTTTTTTAATGTTATGTCTATTTATGTTGTGCTGTGTCAGGCATCTGTGAGAACTGAAAGAAGTTCTGTTCTTTGTAAAACCAACTCTATTGACAACGAGCAATACCATTGTTTATAAAAATGAAATTTAATGACAGTGACCCCAAATGCTGTTAGGGATGAATGCTATTAAAAATTTCTTTTCTTTTCCACAGAGGACTTTTTCACAAAAGGTAGCAATGCGATATTTGTCTGCCCCCCTGCCCCCCTTCCCTCTCTTCCCTGATTGACTAAGGTATTTCTCGAAGGTGAAAGAAGTTGCTTCAGATGACTCATCTAACATTATTGTCTTTAAACGAGTTTAGGTCTTTTGGTTGGTGTTCCAAAAAGTCCACTTGTGCTATAAATTGGAAGACTAATTGTTTCAACCATTGTTTCAACAAGTGCGTTTTAGAGGTTCCTCAATTTTATGGTAATGCACACCCCCGTCCTCTGCCCGGGGGAGGAAGAGAAAGGGAAATATTGGCATTTCTAAGAGTTCCATCATCCATAGCATTCAATCTTCAAAGTACCAATGATCTCAATCTAGCATTGTTGGAAGTTTTCTATATCTTGCAGAATTTTGGTGCAAGTTCATTATCTTCAATGCATAGAGTATCATATTCTTCAATATAGAGAAGTAATGACACACACACAACCCAATACTTCTCTCTCATTACATATTAACCCTCATAGTGTTGCACAGAGCCTACGACGTGAATTTGAAAGTGGGGGGGGGGGGCAAAGCTTCTTTCCCCTTTTACTGCAGCTTTAAAACTATTTGCTTCGCAAAAAAGGTGGGGAGGACCATGGCCACCCCGGCCCTGCGGGTGGTGTGGGCCCTGTTGCCACCTTCTATAAAGACCTCTCTTGCTCTAATTACACGTTTGGGTGTTTTCTTCCCTGCTCCTAAAAATTCTTAAAGGCTTCTGTTTTAACCCATTCCAAATCCAAAAATTAAATGTTCCTTGTACCCCTATACATAACCAGTCGTGGTCTCAGGGCTCAATAAGATATTTTTTCAGACAATCAAGCCACGAAAATATCCAGTCTAATCCGTGTCTAACAGAAAGTTCCGGAGAATGTTATGTATACTCCAAACTTCTAACAAAGATAGGTGATTTTGCAATGTAACCCAGAAGAAGATTTTTTATCTAAATTATTTTATTTTAATTTCGTGCTGTTTAGAAATGTTTTTGCATTATCAAGATCTCTTAAGATCGTGTAATCATTCCCATAATTCTGTAGTCAAGCATATTCAACCTTTAGCATATTTGCGATGCATAGAATTGGAAAGACGCTTTTGATGTATAGAACAGAACGGTTCTAAGAGGTGACTACACGTTCTTTTTATAAGAAAATTTCTTTCAGCCCAGCCCTCAGATTTTCATAGCTATTTTCTTATTTCAGCCATAAAAATTTTTTAAACACTTTCTTAACGAAAAATTGGACAGTTTTACATTACTAAGCATGCGCAGTGATGGAGAAGATGAAATGCTATAAATATGCTATATTTCTCAAAAAACCCCAACGTCATACTGTATTTATCTTTTTGAATAACCGAGCAAAACTTTCTTATAAAAAAAACGTGTACGAGTTTCACGCTTAATGCGACCAACAGGCAACTGTTCCATCCCTAATTGAATATAGAAAAAACCTCCGTTTGGATTCATTGAAAATCGCCAATACTGAAGAAGCTTTGAAGGCTATTCTTTGAGTTGAATCCCTTCTTCCCCCTGAGCTATATCCTCTGACAGGTACTCCAATGTAATTATTTCAATGACTGCAAGCTCATGAAACTTTAAATAGTAATCGTTTTATGTCCAGTTAAGCGAATCTGTTGCAGTATACTGTTGCAGTGTACTGTTGCAGCTTCTGTTAAAGGTTACTGAAACCAGTTCTCTCCAGATTTCTTGACGTTTCCTCGTTCACAAAGCCAGGCGTATTGTGGTTTTCATTTGCGGCTTCGCCTGTCCCCGAGACAATCAAACTAAGGCTGGCGGCTACACAAGAATAAGCAAACAAGATTCAGCACTTTTGAAATCAAGATGGCCTTCACCAAACTTGAGTTGGTGAGCATTCTTCTCATCGGGGTAGCGACAATCTTTATGATCGTTGGTGTCAGTACAAACTATTGGATTCAAACACAGGATGCAGAGGGGATTGTACAGAGCAGCACCGGATTGTGGAAAACTTGTACCTACAACGAAAAGGGAGAAGCGACTTGTTCGTCACTGACCAGTCAAAAGAACACGGGTATGTGCTGATGATACTGAATTTTGTTTGTTATCGGCCTTTAAGCTGTTCTTCCTAACATCTTCTATGTTTCAACATAATGCTGTAGCGTTCACGTTGATTGTTCGTGTAAAATTGAACCTATGAAATGTATCTTTGTCAGCTAGTTTAACTGTAAAATGAAAAGCAAACTTTATTGACTCGTCATACATTTGGTAACCGAAAGTGACTTGTTAAAATTTGGTTAAAATCTCTTGAACGGGTTATGCTCGTTTAGAGAACATCCCTCATTTATCAATTACATTGCAGTCAAACATTTGACACAAAATGATTTTTTGCAGGGTTCTTGTAATTATTATAAACAGATGGCATGTTAAAATATATATTTTACAGTGACAACTAGACATCATTTTGTATTTTCGTTACAATGAGATTTAACCGATAACCGATCGCTTTTTCGTTATATTCTTCAAATCGTAGAGTATCTAAAAAATCGATTTTCATTTCCCATTTCGCGTGCCTGTTGACGAAACCACAATTGATGGTATTCATAGAACCACAAGCCTTCGTGCGAGATTCCTTCTGCATGATGTGATCAAACGGTGATTTGTCTTTTTAAAAACAATATTTACATGCCTCGGAGATCAGTTCAGTCCTACTGAATGGTAAATCTCTAACAGCAAAATGGATCAAACCAGTCTACCGACATTATTGCTGCATAATACGTGAGCAGTAACAAAGCAATTTGACGGAAAATAACAAATAAGTTTTAATAGCAATTATATGAGTGAATTCAACCAAGTCACATTTTGTTCCGGCATACGGTGCTCCTGCAATCGTCAGAGTGAACGTGAAAACCTAGTAACGAACAATTTCAGATCATACTTGGTACAGTTTGTTTGAATCTGGGAATGTAGCCTTCACGGTTGAGAAATGAGTATAAGAAATATGCATAGAGTTCGAATACAGTTTGAAAATTACGAAAAAACTTCTTTTCAAGAGGGTAATGTCTCTAAAAATTTTTAAATAAGACCCCCTTCTCTAATAAGTCCCCGTTTTCTGATAATTCCCTTTCTCTGACGAGAACCCTTTCTTTAGGCCTCTTTCTAGAATTTACAGAAGCCCCCCCTCCTGCCCCTTGCCCCATGCCCTTAATTAATGCCTTGAAAGTATATTGAATTAAACTGTATTGTTACCAATTTTACTTTTGATAGAAAACTATCGAAAGAAAAAATCATGTAACAAAATAACTGAAAATTTTACATTTCCTTAAGTAGAAGGAGAAGAGCAAGGCTGCACTCAGGAAAATCAAATTTGAATGATCCTCTTGCGATTTATTGCTTCCAAAAATGAGCATTCTTCAGCCATTCATACTCACTACTGTCTAAGCAAAGTCTAGAAATAGAATTCTGTCATAAATGAATGCTACTCATGTTTGCCTTTGTCTACGAATTTGTCTCAATACCAAAGTGACGAGTTTTATAATCAAAATTTCGAACTAAAAGGTCCAATAAGTGCTTGCCTGCATCTATTTTTGCACTAACTAGAATAAACGTATGCTTTTTTTATAGACACATTCTATAATTAGCCAGTGTTAATAACAAACATGACGCAAACGAAGCTAATATAAAGCCCAGGTAAAGTCAAAGACGCTGGGGTTGAGGCAGTTCTGGACTACTACCACTAGATGGGCCTTACAAACGTCATTTTCAGGCAGGTCTATATGCATGAACTCAGTGACGAGATAGAAATATTCATAGGAGGGACATGAAGTTTAGATTTTCTGCCAAAAATCTAACAAGCATTTTATTTTTTCATACATTGGAGCAAAACATAGCGATATTGGTACGTAAATGAAGCAGGAGATAAACTCACCATTTTTTCAAAGTCTAGTTTCATAAATTATGCTACTAAATTATACTCTGTAAGTACCATACCTAACTGAAAGAGATTGCCAATCTGTTTCAGAGTAACGGCAGAAATTATTGTATTCACCTTTAAAACCTTTTTATCTCAAAATATAAATACGACAAAAAAAGATGTGTTATGTTTCCGAAAAGATCAGAAATATTCCGACAAAACAACAATTTAGCTTTACAGAGTGAACTTCCTCTCCCTCCCTCTCTCTCTACGTAACGTTACGAACTTCCATATTGCTGTACCTCCAGTCATTTTATGGAAATTTACGGAAATTTACTTTTCCAGACAAAAAGGGGATTATTCAGTTTCAAACAAAATAAGTTACTGTTATCATTCTAACGTTACATCATAATAAGCTATATCTCGGATGTGTCAGATAGTAAATGTGACTACAAAATCTGCCGTCAACTGCTTAAGGCATAGAAAATGTGCGCCCTATCTCTTCTTTCTTCAAGACAGACTATTAGATAGAATTATCGCATGTTTTAATATGACAGTAACAGATTTAAATGTGACATGAAAAGAAAGTATTGCGAATTTAAAGATTCTCGTTGTTTTGAGGCCAACACCCAAACCACAAAAACTAGGTGTTTTTTAATATCCTAGCATCTGTGATCTTCTATCTTATCTCCGTCTCTTTTCAATATTTCTCATAAATGATTCAAATACTCATCGCCTCAAAGCTGCTAAGCTTTTTAGAAATTATTTGTTTATGCTATATATTATTTAATCTTATTCATACATTTGATTTCAATTCTTCGATTAATCTATTAGTTTGCAATGAAAATTGATTTATGTAACGATAGTTCTGTTTCTGAGAAATTTGATTAAGAAAGGTTTAGTTGAAATTCCTTTTATTTTCCAGCTTAATAAAAACAGACCAGAATAAATGAGAAGTTGAATAATCAGCTTATGGAATAAATTTTCTTGGTTTTGCTTTCCCGCTCACTAAAGTTGTAATTTATAGCAAAGGGCGATTCACTCTTGAAAGAAGCGTGCAAAATTTCAACCAGAACAAAATCCCAAAGGATAACTAACGATTTTTTGATACAATGGTTAGATTGGTACAGTACTGTAGATACAAGGGAACCTTAAGCAGGATTTCTAGACAGCGTGTCTTGCTTGAGATATCGACTGTATGTAGTGGTACACGATCATATTTTTACTTAACCTAACTCTGATTTAATCAGAGTCGTGACACATTTTACCGCTTGCTAATAAGCCACAATTTTCAATAGGTAATGGCCTGGTCTGGTTGTAGAAAACTACACTATTTTGTTTCTATCGACATTTTGTCATAACTTCGACAAGATCTTAACTGTTTCACAATAACCTTATTTAGACTAGAATATAGATTTAGAAAATGAGTATACACGTGTGTAACAACTAAGCTCTGGATTAATTTTCGGTGTCTTAATTTTTTTTGTTTTAAAAATCCTTTTCAAAGTCTTTTGTAATAACAAGTGCCAAAGAGCTCATTTTTAGAGACATACACGCAAGTATTATAAGATAACGAAGGACAGAGCTCTTATTCAGTCGCGGGGTCATGCATTATGTTATCTAGGTCGATTGAACATGAATCTTTAATAGAATCATTTTTCATGAGATTGAGGGTAGACAGTACTATTGTTTTTTTATTTTTAGTCATTTTAGGGGCCGGGTGTATTTAGACGTTTTTAATGGGAAAACGTGTATGTACAAAAAACGCAAAATAATGACAATTCCACAGGTTTCGACTATCTAGAGGTCAGTCATAGGCAATTTAGTCGCTGGCTGTGGTTGAATTTTTCAAATGCAAGCCAGATTGAGAAATGTTAAGAGATCTGTTTGTGATTTTGTGCTTAGGTCATCGATAATCTCCAGCATTATATGCTGCGATACGTTTTAGTTCCAAGAATTATATGGCTTTGATTTCTAATGAATATTGTAAATATAAAGAGCAAGGATTTGGCGGTAACAGTGATGAGATAGAGTTGCTAATTCCAGTATTGTGATGTATTTATTGGTTTTTGAATGGAAAGATTATGAGGATCTAACTGAATTGTTCAAAATTATAATTACCCAACAAACATATCGAAAATTTTATAACTTTTGACGTGGTAGATTAGAAAACTTAAACCGTGAAAGATTCTTGTAGTGCAGTCTCGTTGGATTCTTGTAATGATAGCTGATCTGTACAGGAGACATGCCCCCGGCTAGTGCCTTGGTGAAATAACTAAAATTGTTAATCTGCAAACAAGAACTAATGCTGTTCTCCTACTAAAGATTTGAGAGCATGGCTGCCACTTGCTATTGTGCTCAAGTGGGAGGGGGGGGGGGGTCCCCGAGCCCATTTGCCGACAAAGTGGACGAGCCATCCTAAATTTGCTGACGATGCTCCCCCTTAATGGCAAGAAAGTCTTCATTTTTACCATACGTTTTTTCAAAGGGGTGTCCCACACCCTGTAACCCCACGCCCCACCACAACGACGGCTCTGCCGGAGAGTATGCCAAGCATGGTAGCCTTCTGCACTGCTACGCCATTATTGTCAGCATCTGGGTCGTTTGATGCAATCAGCATTTGTCCCAAACATTTCAAGGAAGTATCTCCAACTATCTGCTTATACTTTTGATACCCTTCTTCAAGTAAATTCCCTTGCCTTGATAAGTTTCAGGTGCCTGTTGTCTATTATGGCTTACATATCAATGTTTTGTTGCAGGTGATGGCGTTTTCATGGAATGGGCAGATTGGCTGTATGTCCAGAAGACAGTTGCTTTCATGTCAATCATTCTAGGCGTCATATTGCTCTTTGCCTTCTTTGTTTACCGATGTTCTGATGGCAAATGTGCAAGGTTCATCCAAGCTGGTTTGATCCTAATGAGTAAGTAACAGTCAATCATTATTTTTATGGAATTCGGAACATGGGGCCACAAGAAGCACATACAATCCCCAACGTATGCAAAAGTATCCATTTCTTAGAAGCGTCCTCTTTAGGATTTTTGGTAACGTGCATTTTAGATTGAATACAGGATTGCTAGTAAATACACATTTCAAGCATTTTTCAGTATTTATTACTCAGCATAGATTTTAACTCACTTTCATTGTAGTTCACAACATTATTGTCATCAGACTTTTGTTACATTTGTGACTTTTTTGAGGATATAATCCGCTTTTCTAAACCAGTGTGTAGTTTTTGGTGCATTAGTGATGCCTGGTACCTTGTTGAATGTAAAAACCCTCGCTATTTTTTCTTTTTATTGTAAGACCAAGGCAGTACCGACTCCTTTTCCCAAACCAATGCCAGTACAAAGAAAATTATCTTGTTGCTAGAACTTTTGGCATATGACAAACCTTTGTATATTTCTATCAGGGCCTCCGAAGAAGGGGGGGCCGGGGGCCATGGCCCCCTCACTTTTTTGCAAAACAATAGAGCTTTTTTAAAAACTTTTGTTATGATTGTTATATTTTCTCTTGGCCCCTCTACTTTCCAACCTGCGTCGCAGCCCATGTCTATTGTCATTCATTATCAAGCATTTTTTCTTTTTTCCAGCTACCACAAGTTTCCTAGCGTTTGGTCTGTTTGTGGTTCATATGCCTACAGCGCCACCATCTTTAGTTCGAGGTTATTCTTTCGTGTTATTCACGACAGGTAGTTGCATGACATTAATTGCAACGTGCCTAACAATGTTCAAAATTTGCATGCCTGAAAAGGACTCGAAAACAGGAAGAGCAAGACAACCACAGAGAGTCTGAGGATTGTAGATTTGGAAAGGCCTGCAATACAAAAAAATGTTGCAAAGTTTCTAGCTGGTGGTGTAATTCTCTTTAAAAGAGCGATGAAATTTTTTTTGATGATCGTAGAAATTAAACAGAACACTCCAAGGTAGATTCACATGATGAAATGAAGTTGTTAGCCTACTACTGGTGCAAGGTGTAAATTTTTGACTTTGTGATAGCAGATTGCATGTCACCTTTACGTAAACAGTTTACAAAATATTTTATACCTCTATCGTCAAGAGTCTTTCTTTTTTGCATAAGCTGCTATGCATAAGCAAAGAAACCAGTCTATCATAATACCATTTAATTGCTGTCATCGGTTTTCATGTTTTCTGTACATCTTCATATTTAACACTGAAGCCCTGTATTTAATCTTTAGGAATGATGGCTACTTCTTTGTGTTTGTTTGCTCAGAATTAAACATTTTTCTTCATTATGCTTCTATAGTCATGCATTTAGAAAATGTTGATATAATTCTTTTATTAAGTGTTAATCAGTGATTTTGCCTTGTAAATCTGGTCTTTGTAGTAATGGAAATAGATGTTTGTTACGGCTAATGTAAATTTGAAGGTTTTTTATTAGACCAACTAAAACATCAGTTTCTTCTAATTAAAGCACAGATAAATACGCAGGGACGCCGAGAGGGGGCAGGGGACAAACTACCCCAGGGCATCGAGGTCAGGGGTCCTCGTAAAGTTATGAATTCATTTTAAGAATGGAATTAATCAAACGCAACAAAACTTTGTTTGAGCAATAGAACAATGTTCTAAACGATTGTGCGAAAATGACTGCAAGAAATACTTTCGAATGTATTTTAGCTAATTTAAAGGGCGTGATCGCAAAAATGTTCTGCCCGAATTGCTCGCAGGGGCCTTATCTTTCACTGTTGCCCGTGGCTTCCGATACCTCTCGGTGGCCCTGTGAACAGGAATAAATCAGAGCGCAAATTAAGAAACCTTACAATATAAGCAAATGCAAGGCGCGGGAAAATTTGAAAGCCCATTCGGTAAGATTTTCAAAAGTAAAACTCTAGGTATTTTGGTGAGACTTCTATTACAGTGCTCGAATTTTATGTGGATACTGTGCCTAGCTTATGATATGCTGTAACCTCTACCAAAAGATTCTCGAGGCTGCTTTTCTCTGTCAGAGCATACATATGACCCTGGAGGTTATAGGGAACAAAGGAATGGTACATTATCTATCTTGTGAGTCGTAAAATATTTCTAATATATTTGAATAAATTTAAAATATATTTGAAAAATTTTATCTATTTGTTCGTGCCTTATTTAATCTTAATAGATAACAAGTATTTCATCTTTTGCTTCGTCAGTGGTGGCGCAAGCCACTAGGGGACCAAATGAAAATTCGAGGCCACGCCTTTTTTAATGTCAGAATACGCCCTTTTAGCAACATAAACCAACAAGAAACCCCTATGTCCAACTTTAGACTTCACAAAGAATACTTTGCAAAAATACTACCCCTTCCCTAATATTTTTTCATCAAATTTGGCGAAATACGAAACTGATCCGGCCAAGAACTGGAAAAGTTTTCCCCCAGTCCACCCTGTGACGTCGTCATTAGTTAAACAAAACAAAAACAAATATCAGAAGGGGCAAGTTGTCACCCGGTCGAAGTCGAAATGTCATTTATTGTTCCAGTAGAGAGGCTGTGGCAGCCTCTTCTCTATACACATTGGCACTTTTCAAGATGGCGAGCAAAATGCTCGTTCCAATCAGAGCAAGTTCACAAAGAATTTTCTACGGAAGATTTCAAAGAAAATCGTCAGGTAGCTTTCTTTTTTATATAAATCTTTATGCTACTAGCAGGATGTTCTTTTTCGCTTTCTAAAATTGTTCCTAGAGCCTTCAATTGGTTTGAAAGTTGTGCTTTTTAACTGGCCTAATTTTTTGGCAATTTCAAAACGGGTTGTCTGGCCAATTTTTCTTGGATATTGCTGCTATAGATTACTTTGAAAATTTACAATTTGAGTGTGAAAATTGAATTTATTTAACCCAAAGTCATTTTCCTCATAATTATTATGAAGATTGTGAAGTACTGAAGTTAGGGTTAAATGCTCAGTTTTAGCTATTACATACGCGTGTTTGTTTGTTTAACCTTATCAAAATTGGTTAATCTCAAGCTGAAATAAGTCAACTAGTCTCTACAAATATGCAGTACATGCGAATGAAGTTCAATTTGCAGTTGCGAATTCAAAAATCAATTATAATAAATGGTTCTTGTTTGTATGCCTCGCTTGGATTTGGGAAAAATTTGGTTTGCAGGCAAGTCTCAAAATTTTTCAAAGTTTTCATTTTTATCATTTGCATTGGTAATAGTTGGAAAAAATACAGAAGTAAAAAGAAATCAGTTTGTATTTTGTGCTTGTTGTTTGTTTGTTGGAAAAGATCAGCAAAGAAATTACCACATTTTCTTAAGGATATATATAAATCTAGTCCATAGGCTAGTTTCAAGTTAAGCATCAAGTTTTTTCAAAAGGTTTTTGTGAAAGCCTGAGTATCAAGGTATTTATTTGAGTTGATTCGATTGATAATTTTAGTTGATAATTTCGCAGGAAGCCGATTTAGGGAAACAAAAATTGTTTGCTGAAAACCGACAAACTCAATTCAGCCATTCCATAGAAATGACACATATTGATGAAAAAAATATTTTGGAATTTGAATGTGAAAAGTTGTTTTTTAAGTGGTAAAATACCTTGATTAAGCATATTTATGATTTTATTTCCCAAAAATTGCTGATAATGGGCGTGGCTATGGCTATACCTGACCTTACTATTGCTAAAGGTCATTGACAGACATTTGTACCATTTTAAGAAAAAAGCTCTCATTATTGACATAAATGAGATTTTGTTGTTATTTTCATGTTTGTTAATTCCTTTTATATGAGAGAATGTCTATGAAGTCAAAAAATTTTTTTTAAGTAATGAATAATTATGTAATGCCACACTGAAAAGACCCTCTCTGAATGGTCACACGAGTCACACTTTTCATAATAAAAGTACTCTCATTTTTCTCCCTTTAATTCTTGTTTCATTAATTGGAGCATAGTTTGGCTTTCAAATGAAAGTCCATGCTGACCTAAAAACTGAAATTGATCAGCCCAGTAATTTTCCCAAAAAATCACCCTCAAGTTTTGTCACGCGAGTCACAATACATCGGTCACATTAGACTAATGGGTTGGATTTAGGTCTAAACAATGTCAAGGAATTAATTTCTTTATTTGGGTACCATATATCATTTATAGACATGAATAATACTCAATGATATGGAAGAATACTAGTTTCTCGTGCAAATGAGGCTGTAAATCTCTTTTCCATGTTGGTACCCAGTGCCAATGAAGTTGAGAAAATACTAGAAAGCTATTAAGGTGGAGACATATCATTTCCCAAATTGATTGAGACCAATATAGGTCATTGGTATGCTGTTTACTGGGAGCCAACAGACTATTGGTTCCTGGGGCATGTAGTGAGAATTGACTCAAATGATGATGTCACAATGGAATTCCTACATCAGACTTCAGCTGATGCAAACAATTTCAAGATAAAAAATTATATTGAGTCTGTCTCTGTTTCTGATATCATTGTAAAAGTTGATGCCCCTATGCCAGTCTCATCATCGAGGTGCTCAAAAGTAAAGTTGACAGAGCAAGACTTTGCAAAAATAAAGGAAGCCTTTGATAATTTTCATGAAAACTGAAAAATAATTTTCAAAATACCAGATATGCCAAGCTATTGATTTGATGGCCTTTATGTATCATTTAGTTCTGTGAAAAAGTTCTGATTTTTATGTTACACTTCCAGACACTGATTTAAGCTGGGTTTCCTTTAGTTAACTCTCACTTGTCACGCGAGTCACATTTGTGGGTCACACGAGTCACATTGCATTGGTCTTTTTATTTCAAAAAGCAAAAATACCTCAATTGAAATTTTCTGCTTAAATGGTGACTCAATGAGTAGGGGCAATCTTTTTAAAAGCTTCTTCATAAAGGTTTTAAAATTTCTCAGATAAAGTAAGATAGGCAACTGCAAGTAAAGACTTTCAAAATGTGATGGTCACACGAGTCACACCAGATGAGCAAAAAAATTGCAGAGGTGAGCAAGTTTTTTCAGAACAAAACATTGCCAAGATAAAGAATGGCTCAAGGGGATTCTATTACTGTATCACAAGCTTTGGAAAATAATTCTGACTTTACTAGACAACTAAATATGTGTGTGACTCTGTCACGCGAGTCACTATGGAATGGCTGAATTACGATTCTATTTCAAGGTTCTAGTACAGAATTTAATGCCAAGTCCAAAACAAAAAACAGCTCTTTCATAACTTTTTTAGATTTTGAGATATTATCGATTTTCTTCGATGCGGTCAGAGAATGGGCCTATGCTGTCCTGACTTCCGCGGCATAACAGCTGTGTGCTATCTTTAGGCCTTTTCTACTGTTTACCTTTTTCATTCATGCTGAATGCCAAAACATATTTGTTTGAAATTTTAAGAGTTATTAATTTATATTACTAACAAGAGTTAATTGTTGTCATTTTTGCAGGTAGTTTCACTATTATCATCACCAGTTTCTTTGCTCGTTTCAGGAATACTTTTTCTCCTACTTCCCTTCTGCTTACTTTCCTAAATGATGGGTACTGGTGTATTTTCCCTTGCTTTCCTAACAGTCCTTCACATTCCTGTTTTTATTGTTTTGAAATCAGTTCTAATGGTGGCATCATTTCCTGTGGACTCCACTGTGATGAATTCTCTAAATCATCAAAAGAAATATTAGTGAATGCCAAAATTAGCCCAGCTTAACTTGACTTTTGTGGTGTCAAAACTCTAGATGCAGGCAATGCATACATGTTTACGCTATAATTAAGATTTAAAACATTGGCAGACACTTGGGGATGAGAAAAGTGGTTGCCCTCCCAGTATTTTGGAGGACAATGTTATTTTGTTTTAAAACAGTGAGAGAATGTGACATCATCAATTATCATTTAAGCATTTATCAAAGTAGCTATTGAGGCATTTCAGGATAAATACACAGATAATCAAACTTCACAATATATTTCATTGAGGTTGTCTAATTGTTTGCAGAATTGTTTCTTAAACGAAACTTATCACAGTTCAAACAGAATCTCAAAGAAGTGGAGAGTCATGCAGGAGAAACATATGTAACATGGAGAAAAATTGTAAGTTTCAAAAGAATTGACATCCAAACCATTAAGTAGTTGGTATTTGTATACAATATTTTCTACATTCAATGTTCTTTTAAACCAGGCAAACTTAATCTTAATTGATTAAAGCAGAGGTTACATCATTTGCTTGCTAAATTTTCATTTAGTGATCATATTACTCATTTCCATAATTTGCAAATCTCAATTTATAAAAACTGGTAATTTTTATTGGAAATAAATGAATACGATAAAGGATGTTATAGGAAGCTAATGGCAAACAAACAAGCTAAACAACTTGTGTTAATTTTCAGTCTGCTTTTCAAAGGTCTGGTATCTCATATCTCACAAAAATGCATTATCCCCATTTGGTTAGCCTGTGTGCAGACTCAGAATTTTAAAAGAGGAGAGAAAGTAGAGTCTGCGCAACAGAGCCGCTTTTCTTTTTCGCTGACATGAACAATTTATTCTAAGCACTAAAACAACAATTTCATTAGCCGGCAATGTTTTCTGTAATTTTAGTTGTTCAAAAGAACAAACAGACCTATTCAATTATCCTGATACCATTCATTTATACTTCTGCTCGAAGGCACCACGTTTAAAACTGAAAAAAAACAATTGAAATTCCCCAAACCAATCAAATTTGGTTCCTTGATTTTGAGGAACCTGTGAACAAGAAAATCAGCTCGGCTTCGCAGACTCTACTTTTTCTCCTCTGCATGCAAGCTACATTTGGTATACATGCAATAAATTTTTGTCATAAGTGTAATACATTGTAGTATTTGTGTATATCATTGTTTAGTGTTGACCTTTGTACTTTGTATTGTCATGCTGTTATTTGTATGCAGTCCCTATTGTAATATAATCAGTTCACAAATAAACAAGCTACAGTTCAATGGAGTGTGAACTCTCTCTTACTCAGAACATTACAAGAAGTTGAATACTTCCCAGAGAGTCAGAAATTTGCAGAAGTCTGACCCTTTTGTAATCCCTTAATTTTGTAAATAGCAAGAACTTATGTGTCAAAATTTTCAAACAAGACCTAAATATTGTTAGTCCACTTGAGAAATGCATCCATGGCTTTTTTAAGTTACAGTTTGCACATTGATTATATGATTAATGTTGTTCATATGATGATAAATTGTTTCTATCTAAATTTCTAATTTTTGAGTTAGTCAAAACATGTATAACTTACATCTAAGTTGGCTTTCAAATGAGTCAGACTATCTTTATCTGAAGAGATCCATCTGAAACAAATCTGAGTATCAAGAACTACACTTACACCTACAATTGATCATAAGAAAATGGAAAAAGTAAAGTTATTTTTGCAACTCAGATAAGACAGATAAGATTGTTTTTCAATACAAATAGTTGTAGAAGGTTTTTGATAAAAGCTTTTTTTGTCTATTGCAGTCTATATTTGTTGCTGTGCCTGTTTGCACATATCTTTTCTACAAACACATGATTGGTAATTATTTTTAAAATCTAATTTTCCTTCCATTTATCAATTTTTGTAATAAATTTGAGGTTAAATTTTTAGGGTGAAATTTGTATACTGCTTAGAAAAGAAGCAAACATTTTTTGTAAGGTTTTGATTTTAAGGTTGTCACATGTGTTAAGGACATTAAAATATGTAAGAAGATTGCAAGACTGCTGCTCAAAGGGTTAATTTAAACAAGAGTAATTTCAAGAGTGTATTGTGGTATTAGTTTCAAACTTAGGGAAGTCGTTGAAAATGATAGTTGTGCCATCTTAAATTCTTTGGTACGGTAAAACTATGTAGAAAATCGTTGTTAAGTGTTAATTTATTTATTTGAGTCTTTCAGTTTACAAATCAGTGTTCATGAAAGACCAATGTTAGCTGCAGGAGCAATTGTGTCCTATTTTTGTAGAAACTTTGACTTTAGTCTAATTTTCTTTGTGTCATAGTTGGAGAACATATGGAACCTCCAAAAGAGTTCATTGCGTATGATCATATCCGTATGAGAAAAAAGGTCTATCATTTACTTATATGCCTCACTAAAAGCTCTTAAATTGAACCATCTCATGCAAATATTCATGAAATTATGAGCTATGCTAGGAGCATGTGTAACAAGACAAAGTGATTAATCAAGAAATTCTTTGTCCTACCATCAACAGAGCTTCTATTGTTAAGGTGGAATTGTAAATTGGCTACATTTTTTTTTGAAGCATTAACATTTTGACAGATTATCTGAGAGAAGGGATGTATGGATTCATTTGATCTTGGACTACAGATTCTATTCATTGTTTTCTTAAATATTACTGTTATACATAAAATTGTCACTATTATGCGCCAAACTATCAATCTAAGTCACAATGTGGTGCCATTAGTTTAATAGAAAGTTACATAATGGATATGAATCTTTGCAACCGTGATCCAGCATATAAATATAGTTATCAATTTTAATGACTTTCAAAAATCAATAGCTAATTTGATCTTTATTTTTATTGTTTTTATAAAGCCTTTTCCATGGGGCGATGGAGACAAGAGCTTATTTCATAATGAGAAATTCAATGTCGGCCCTGATACTGATTTTGAGGAGGAAGAGGAACATAACCATCATGAGCAAGAGGTTTGCTACAGTTTCAATTTTCAACATGCCTTAATCTTTGATTTATCAATGGTTTTTTTCCTTGATAGTACGATTCTTCCTCTGTAGCAAAGCGAATAGCAGTAGCAAATCATCTATTGATGTCTCACCATGAGTGAAGTTAAGCTAATTGCAATTTAAAAACATTTGGACAAGGAAGGCAGTCAAGGCATCTTGACACAGAAAATTATAAACCATGGCCATCCACGTGTAACTTCAAAGCTTAAAGTACTATGTTTCCCTGACTTATAGTTTCTTTTTCTTTTTATTTTCACATTGGCTATTTTCTTTTTAACTTCAGTTTTTTAACTTTAGTTGTTTAACTTCTGTTTAACTATAGTTTCCTTGAAGTTTGTTAATTTTTGTATTGGGTTATAATCAGTTGCTAAGTAACATCCATTTTTTGCAGCCAATTATAACGAGATGGTTCCGCAGCTTAATGCCCAAAAGAGAAGACATGTTGGAATGGCGAGACAAGCATCTTAGACAAATGCAAATTGTTGCTGTTGGAAAGTATCCTTTCATTCATAATTTGAATTTTTCGCGTTCTTAAGAAAGAACGTTACACTACATTTTTGCAATGACTTACATTTTAATACCATCTATTTTGTTTTTTTCGCTGCACCTTATCATTTTTTGCAATCTTCCCTTTCATCTTCGTAATTTTCAAATTTCCCTCAGATTTTATCCATTATACACCTCTCCGTCTCCTTTTGCAACTACCGTATTTTTGCTAATAAACGGCCACGTTCTTTAAAACACCCCCTTTTACGCAAAGTAATCGCCTCTTTTTTAAATAGTTACGCCTCACACGCCATTCTCTAGAAGATGCCTCTTTGTGATACAGGCGTTTTTTGGAGATGTAGTTGTAACAATCTTCTTTTCACAAGAACCTTCTTGTTGATGCTAGCGATAATGACGATGATTTTGTAGTTATTGACTAGACAAGAGATATCACTGTTAATGTTGCAAATGACAGCAAATGCTTTCTATGAAGTTCTCCAAAAACCCTTCCATTTGACGCATATCTCTTATAAAGGCCCCCCAGAAACATCGATAGATTATATTTGCTTGCAGAGCGTTTATTACCCTTCTTTTTTCTCCGATCTTCCCTTTTTTTCTCGAAGGGGTTAATAAGCCCTAGCAAGTTGATGTTGAAAAATCATTCTAGTTGAAACGAGACAAACACAGATAATTTTGCACTAGACCATAACTGGAATAGGTTTTTAATTTCTAGCCATCCTTAAGATCTTTGTCAACAATTTTCCTTTAAACGTCAACTTCCTTTGTGTTGTGCTTAACTATAATCCAGCCTCGAATTCATGGAACAGCCAAGGAAACCTCCAGTCCCAATCGATGTATTTGGAATTTACGACAGGTCACCGAAGCCAAAAGTTATGCATGTCGATCATTAGGCTTAACACAAATTCCATCTGTTGACTTTTAAATTTTTGTTATGTAATTGTTCCTGCTTGATATCTGTGTGGTGAATAAATAAATGTTATCGGTACATATGGATTTCTATGTTATCAAATTGCCCATCTGATTCTATGTCATTTTTTGGTAAATTCTTGTGTAAGTGACATGACAGATATCATGAATAGTCTGGATACATTGTTACGCACTGTTAGAAATTGCTTGTCTCTGAAAATGTTGTACAAGCCTCCATTTTTGAGAACAGGCTTGAAGTCACTTTCTTTTATGAATCTTTGACTCCCATTGGACCATGCTACTCCGAGTTTCACACTTAATGCGCTCATCGCATCTAATTTCCGTGGAATCTCCCCGTTGTAACTTATAAGATACCAATACAGCGTACTAGTATTTGCTTTCCCAAGAGGCCTTCAAAAACAGTCAGATAAAGTAATACCCGTGTCTAAAAGAATTTCTTTTCCCTATTTGAATAATGTTTAAGAACAATAGAGGAAAGCAGGCAATAGCGACAAGAATAGGGCATATTGCATGGAGGCAGGTTGGTAACAAACGCACGCAAGTTTGTTAGTGAAATCGTTCGAAAATTTGGAACAGCAAAGGCTTCAGCTACTATACTCGTCCAGGAAAGTCTATATTATCAGGGAACTAGTTTCTACTGCACAGCTGGACATAGGTAAGTGAATTCATATTGTTTCGTAGTATTTGAAATTACTGCTCGGGAAGTTTGTTTTTTCTCAGAGCGCTTTTTACTGCGACAATTTTGTGAATTCATCAAGTGCTGACATTAATGGGGTACCAAGAAAGGTCGCCCTTTTCTCAAACGCCAATCTCCCATTTTAAGTTCGTTTGTAGAAATTGCTGTGCAAAGATAAAATTAGTTTTTTACAGAGTAATAGTTTTGCTATGAATCTGATGATCACGGGTTTTAAAATATGAAATAAAAATATCCCTTGGAAGAGAACGGCGCGCTAGTACAGGGCTTTGTGAACCTTTTTAGAGTTACTGACAGCGAGGTCTTTTAACAATGTAAGACGTTCCTAGACCTTGCTTTGAAGGTGTTTTCTAGATTAAAAAAAGTGCTGAACAACATGGGCTTGGGGGACTCTCTCAAGAATTTGAGCATTCTTGGCCAGAGGGTAATGTCTGAAATGAGCCAAATTATCTCATGAATTCGCCATAACAATCAATTTTACGCCGTAAAAGGGACGAAATTGATATCGAATGAACCAGTCCACTAGTCAAGACTGACAAGGTATCATCCTCCAGTAAAAATACCCTCAAATGATTTTTTGGGGCACAAATGACGGGGTTTCTTCCCTACCCCTGGCTTTCAATTACGATTTTCATATTGTGCTTATTCATACCATTATCAATACTGTTAAGCCGAAAACCCACTCCGGAAAATGATCCGCGGATCGGTTCAGATCGTGTTGTTCTTTCGATCCGCGGATCGTGTCAGATTGAAATGCACGTTGACATTATCTCCACGGGATTCGCGCCTCATAACGCAAGTGCTCTATTGTTTAAAAAGTTCTTATTCGATTTTTATCAAAAGAAAACTACTGTACCGGAACGGCTCAATAAAAAGTTGAAATGATTTCAACTTTTTTCCCGTTTCGATCCGTCGCGGACCATTTTTGCATCCAAAGCGCTTGCGCGACACAAAATCTGATCCGATCCGCGGATCATATTCCGGAGTGGGTGTTAAGGCTTAAATTTGTCATCCTTCTGGCCTTCGTTTGTAAATCACATCCTGGCAAGCCTGGCTGGGAGATCTGTGAAGCTCGCGTCGATTTCGACCTTTTGTTTACTTTTAAAATTGAAGTTGTGTTCGGTTTTTCAAAAAAATCTGATATTTTAACCGAGGTGTTGACCCCTGTAAAAACGTCTTGGAAATGAAGGTAACCAAATATCACTTAAAACGAGATGTTTGTCTCAGTGGCGTAGTGTGACCTTTCTCGCTGAAGGGGGTGGGGTGTAAGAGATACAAAAACATATTTTACCGACAAAAATTCTTTTGTTTCATTTGGCATAAAATTATTTTATTATAAATGTAATTTTACCGATGAGTTCGCCAGTTGGGTGGTTGCCTTTCATGCAGGGGTCATCAGGGTTTGCGGAACAACGGAATATTTAAGAAAATTTGCCACAACGACGGAATTATCCACACTTTTTGGACGCGGACCTCCGCTATAAGTGATTCACGGAATACGGAATTTTTGTAAAGTTTTACGAATTTGCGGACTTCTTTAGCATTCATTCTGACCAAGATAGTTTAAGAAGAGCAAAAACGTTTAAATTTCCCAAACTGTTGGTATAAAGAAGTGATTAGTGACATAAAACTGATTGATATTAACCTCAAAGAAAATCAGATCAAAAATATAACCAAAGAACAGTGGAAAAAGGTTGTTAGAGAAAAAATGATCATAATCATAGAGAATAACATTAGAAATAATAGTAAGACTAAACTTAGATTTATCAAGGGTAGTAAATTTGAAATGAAAGAATATCTGGGGTGTGAAGACGCGTCATCCCTGCTGAAATTAAAACTAAACATGGTTGACTTAAGAGCGAACTACAAAGGAAAGTACTCTGATTCTCTTTGCAGAAGATGTGGGGCCCATGAGGAATATATTGAACACTTATGGGATTGCCCAAGTTTTTATCAAAAACCCAAGATGGAAAAGACCTATTTAGTTACAAATAATTCAAAAATTCTAAAAAGTATCAACAACACCCTTCAAAAATTTCTTACCAATGGATGAAATAGAAATAAAAAGATTGGCTTAACGTCTAGCACCAGCTTGTGATACCCAGTAGTTGGGTAACTGCTCCGAAATGGAGACTTAGCTTCAATTATTATTATTATATTATTATTATTCACTTCTTTAGCTTCGATTGCATTTATTCAAAACTTGAACATACTTTTCAACAAAGCAATGATTTCTATAACATTCAAAGAGCTGACAAAATCTTTAGATTTGCAGGTTTTTAATGGAATAAATTAATTTAGGTTTTCCAGGAATTCCAGTTGGGCAAAGCAATTGACTATACCCTTAGGGGAGAGCATTACTTACTAAAATTGAGCTCAGCATCATTTTCACCAATCTTTAGCTTTAAAATTTCATTTGAGGTTCTATTAATGAAAAAGCAATACTGTTTTTGAGCTAACAAATAATTATTACTGGGCAATTCCTGTCAAAAGTCCTGGAACACTAGCATCAGTTTTCAAGGGCAAAACTACCCTTCTCTCTACCTTGAAACAATGTTGGTTTTACCATAAACAAAAAAGGAGACTAGGGAGTACTTTATTCCTATGATTTGTATGATATTTTCTCAACTTTCATCATTGCTCTGAGGGAAAAGGGAGGTGGGTGTATAATTATTCTTAAAAGGAAAGGAAAAATTAAAAAAAATAATGCAAATTGCTGGGTGTTCCAAGTACTTTCGCCAATCATTGAATCAGAGAAAATGCAGTGGCCACAAAAATTGATCCACTCTGAAGTTTGCTCTCTCTTCATAGCTGACAACAAAATTGAATCAAAATTTGAACTTTTGTGAAAAATTCCTAAAAAATGTGACACTAAGATAATGAAGACTTCCTCGTGAAACAGTCCCTAACAAGCAAGAGAAGCAAATGAGTCAAATAAACAAAACTTGCATATGAGTTAAATAACATGCTTATAAAATACACATAAACTTAACAAGTTCCAAAAAAGAATAAAGCAATGCCATATTATATAGCATGCCTCAAAAATGACTGAACATTATCTGTCAATGAAAAAATCTGACATCATGAATTAAACTTAAACAAACAAATATTTGAGTTAACATTAGTGTATAACATTATAGTATAAGTTCTTTGTTGCAGCCTTGTTCTCTGTTATTAGGCGCTGCTGTTTGCACAAAACTGCTTAGATTCTTGAAGAAAAACAATTATTCAAATTCTAAATGCTGAAGAAATGAAGCAATACAAAATGTTCATTAGTTACATTCACAACAAGTTTGACTGGCACAACTGCTTCGCATAAACCTTAAAAATCATCAGGAGCCTGATATTATCAAAAACTGCAATTAAATCTTGAGAGAACTTTAGTTGCTTAAAGAAATGTTGGTGCACAGTTTATGTTAAAACAAGTCTTTTGTTTATGTTCTGCACACAAGCCTCTACTTAAAACTACAAAAGATTTATACAACACTTTACTAAAATGTTATTATGTGCATTGTGTAGCTTGAAAATGTAGCCATTCTTGTTCCTGAAGGGTAATTAGCCTTGAAAGCGAATTTCATCAAGTTTTTATACCAAGTAGTAAAGGTCCCCTTCTACACTCTCCTGTGAAGCATCAATGCAACAATCCCAGCCATAAACGTCAGCAAGAGTCCAGCCCATCCCACCAGGTATGAGTAACCAAATCGAATTTTGAACTCTCTTGTGACATATGGGTTGCGGTTTCGATCCACTGTACGAGGAAGAGGTGCTTTGGCAGTGTACACAATCATGGCAATCAGAACCAACAGAGCTAGGGACGGACAATGAAATGAAATCATAATAATATGAATATGTATTAGTGATAACACTTTTCGTTCTTTCAAGCTTTGTTGTAACTTAGAGTCACAAAATTTTAACTAATGATAGGACTGAAAGGTAATACTTGGTTGACAAATTCAGAGTCTGCAAGCAGGCTAGCTAAACCTGGAACTAAAGAAAGCTCACAACTCTTCTCAGCTTTGGTGAAGTTCGGTAATGCCCAGGCCTCAAAAACCCAGACTTTTGGATCTGTAGCCCCTGATGCTAATAACTAAGTCATCTTTACACCTAGCTTGTTACCCTGTCTCACCCACTATAACACTACTTACAAGTGCTGCAACACACATAAGCAATGGCCTAGCCTATTCACATCAAAATGGTAATACTTCCACAGATGCCAAAAAGTAAGCTCAGAATTACAATCATATAAAAAATGAGTTACAAAAACAATCACTATGTCAATTTATCACAAATTTGAACAAACAATATATAGTTTGGAAGAAAATGGTTGTCCTGAATGGTCAGGAGCGTGGCACCAGAAATAAACTGTTTTTGGTCAGCCAAGCAGTGGAGGCATGGAGGGCCTCCAACTCATGTTTTTGTCAGGGAATTTGGGTTTTCAAACACCTGATATGTTGAGTCTGTTTTCTTATCGGAAATGGAAAATAATGTATAATTGGGGCATAGCTATAGCGATGGTTTTGATAGCCATACAAAATTTAATTCAAAACTACAATCCCCAATTCATTTCAGGCCAACCTCCAAAACAGCGTCTCAATTGCCAGTACAATTATGGGCTGCTACAGCAACAGGTTCTAAGGGCACAGCTGAACTTTGATGCACATCTGTTTTATCCATGCGGCCCCAGCAAAATTTCGGCTACTGCATTATTAGAAATGGTTTTCTAATAACAGGGCCATCAAGGACAGAAAGAACAGACCATCCTGGATATATTAGAGCTCTAAACAATACTTTTAAAAAGACTTGATAATTTTACCTTCTGAAAATTCTCCCATCACAAGACCCAGGCAACGAAAATAAGTATAATTTTTTATTTCTTCCCTGCAAATTCAAGGAAATGTCTCCCTAACACTGTAACGATCTTTATTACAGAAGAGAAGTCTTTAGGTAGGCCATCGTTTATAAGCAAAAAACTTGAGAAACAACGCAGTACACAGAGCCAGTTTGAATTATGGTAGTTCATTTGTTTGTGATTTGTTTCACGAAGTAAGCAGTCAATATCCCGGAATGCATTATTAGACAGAGGAGGCTAATAACGTGCGTGTAAAATACAATTGCCCTTTTTTCTATGCTGATACATATCATACACACAGAAATGCAATCCTAATAACGGAGTTGTTAGCAAGGGTTGTTAGCAATAACGGAGTTGTTGACATTTTCTAAAGGAGATTGAAGGTGAAAGAAATTCCATAAAAGTTCATTGACATGCGGAGCCTTGAGTACGAATTCAAATCAAGGTGTTTGAAAATAAACAATGATGGCCACTTCAAGCATATAGCTTTGGAAAGAACTGTTATTAGACTAAAAACACTAATAACGTTGTAAGCCACCCCTGTGTGTGGTTCTTTCTACTCAAGGGAGATACATTTGTAATTCATCAATCTTCCCCTAATTTTTTTATTGAAACCCATTTTATGGCATGCAAAAGTAATAATAAAAGCAGCTGCAAGCTTTGATTAACGAGGTGATTAACTCTGAGTTTCATGTTAAAAAACTGATGAGGCATGGAAAAGAATAATGAAATTCTTACCAGCTAGAAGTAAAAATCCTGCTGCAAGGCTTGGTTTGACATTTTTATTGATGTGGCTTGCAATATATATCCCAATTACAATAGCAAACAGAAGGAAGGCAAGAAGCTCAAACACTCTTACAACATACAACCAGGCTAGAAGAAAATCATAATTTTGAGATTAATAAATCCGTATATAAGTGTACAAAAAACACTACAATTTATATTCATTATATATATACGCATTATATTCAACTGTTTACTAGCTATGTTCCATTGTTGAATTTGAGGGACCTGAAAGTTAGAGAAGCATGTAAAAAAGTGTAGCTGGTTAATAGTAAGTAAAAGGCCTCATTTGTTAGAAAATGAAAACTCTTTGAAAGAGAAGTTTTATTCCTTGCTCTGTAAATCCCATGACTCAGGCACGACACATGATTGTTTTGAAAACTTGTCAAAATTGACATTTAATATTCATAGTGAGATTTTGGTTTGAGCCTTTCATTTCGCACAGAAAATTAATGTATATTTACTAGGTATAAATTTTCACTTTTGGGTCTCAAGATTTTGAGATGGGGGACATGAAGTTCTCAATTATGACTGAGAAAAGTGACCTGAGGTTTGAAAAAACACACTGAATTACTTGCGCAGTCAAATTTCTTGTTAATAAATATATACATTAAAAACATTTGACACAGGTAAAAGTGGCTTACAGCCACTCGACCACAAGCGGCTGACCAATCAAATTGCGCACAGAGAAAAACATGTGAATGGTTTCCGCCTTTCTGCAAATCGGTGAAATCGTAGAGCAGTGTGCAGTAGTTTCACGGGAGCAGGTTTTCAATACATTAATTGTGCGCATGCTCTGATCAATTTGGCCTAAGTTATTTTTTGATTCGCTGTACTTATGCTTGTCAAATGCCTTCAGAAACAATATCAATTAAAAGCTTGTGGCTGTGAGGTTTAGATCTTAATTAAAGTCACTTTAATTTCTGCTTTCAGAGGAGGAAAGTAATTTTAACAGGGGACAGTAGGCACCAACTGGAGGGGCTGTATGCTTGTTAATAAAATTATATATATATATATATATATATATATATAAATCACAGTTGAATAAACCCTGACCAGCTGCTTTAAAATAAAATTTTTCTCATATAGAGGGAGCTAAAATGGTCTCACCATCATTATATTTTCCATTTTTATAGCTTAGAACTTTAAAATGGACAAAGAAATTGATAAGTGTAGTTATATGAGCCAACAAAAAGAAAAGGTCTTGAACTAATTCAAAATAATTTGTTTCAGTGCTTTTACGTTTTAAAAAACAGCATTCCTGCTTAGACTTTCCCCTGTCACATTAGTGTCAAGCTGTAGGAATTTGGAACAGATTCAGGGTCACATTGCTCTGATTGAGTAAACCTAGATAAAAATTAAAGTTTTTCTATTTCACGTAGACTTGGAGATAAAACTTGGCACTGACAAAATCCTTCAGGCTCTTCTGATATATCTATATTTTAAAAGATCAGGTATATATATATATAAATAATTGGTTTCACAAATTTTTTTGAAAAAGCTGCAATACTTCTTAGTTGTTTTTATGGCCTAAATTTCTGACGCCGCCCTGATTGGGTGTGTTTTTGGTATGTAAATATTAGCATGCAGGCATAAAAAATCAAAAATAAAATAAGTGATGAAACACTTGCAAACACCTTCAAAACATCATTGCATGCCAATGTTTCATTGAATTATTTTATCCCCGGATCTGGCGCATGCAAGATTGTCACTTTCGCAAGAGTCAAAACAAGGGGAAAACTTACGGCTTTGACAAAGTGCAAGATTTTAACCGAAAATTGTATCTAGATGTATCAAATTTGTTTTAGAGTATTTTTGTTCAAAGATATTTAACAATTTGAAATTTGCAGGTTTTGTTTTGAGAATTAATGCGAAAAAAATACCGAACTGAAACAGCCATTTTAAGGTTCCTATTCAGGGCAAACTTTGGCCCCAGTGTGGAATCCATGTAGCTTGCACCTGAGATATCCGGCGTAGACTAACGATTTCCCATTGGTTTTCTATTGTTTATTGGCGTATGTCCGGCGTGAGTTTTACATGGATTGCATCCTGACTTAGGCCAAGTCAGTCAGCTTTATTTCACACCTCCCTGTGGCAAAACAAATTGAAAACTGAGCGATTTATGCAAATTTTCTTATTCCTCATGCATGATTTTTGCCTAAAATTGCTAGGTTAGCAGCTAAAATATACATGTCCCTTTAAAAAATAATTATGAAAAAATTAGTACCGTAAACATCCCACATAAAATGGCAGACACATACTTCTTCATTTCAGGTGAGTCATTTTCTTATCCAATTATTCTTTCATCGATTGAGTAATTGAACGTAAAATGTTTTCTTAACTTTGATCCATAACATAAACACATGATTTTGCGCTTTTTTGGTCGCAGCTTAGCCCCAATATCCAAATTTGTTCACAATAGTTGAAGCGATGCAAATGTCACGTTTCCAGGTACATACTCAATCAGGGCGACGTGACCCTACAAGACCACAGCCCTGATAAAGGAAGTGGGTGGTTTGCCATCTAAAAATCTTATCATTTGGCCTAAATGGCTGAGAGTGCGGCGATAAGTATAACTTAAATAAGTCTCTTTTTAACATGGATTTCTTGTTTTGCAAAAATCAATCGATTCGCACAAATTTGAACGCGTATCTATTGTCGTGCCATTAGTACATTGTGTATATTGAAATGGTTCGATTCGTCGGCGAGCCTCTCATAAATATTGACTCATCTCACAAATCATCGGAAACATCCTCGCACGCACAAGAAGTGCAAATGACAAAATATACCCCTCCACGGAAAAGGAAGGACCCAAAATCAGCTATTCCTTCTTAAAATTATACATAAAAATTTAAACTAACATGATTTTAAAAAGCTATTGCGGTCAACAGCCTTGGCGGGTAGAAAGGCGCTTAGCAAGAAGCGTTACGGCGGTAAACTGACAGTGATTTCCTCTAAATACTCACATAAACCAAGTCTTGGATTGCATTCGTATTCTTGCTTATCATAGCATATCTGCCATAAGCCTTGGTACTCATCTGGATAAACGAAATCCTTATAGTTGTCGACGATAGTCCATGATGTTGTTGACTGGGAAACGATGAGTAGAGTTAGGCCTAGGAAGGTGAGAAGATATACGACGATCAAAACTAGTAAATTAACTTTCTCTTTCTTCTGAGCTGCAGAATTTCCAGGTCCATATCCAACATTAAACCTCGCTTGATTGTTCCTCATTTTCAGCGTCAGACGATACCAAGATTCTCACCAAAAGCCAAAGAAGATGGGCGCTCTTTTCAATTTATTCGGTATGATTTCTTTTTATATCAAAACGAGCAATGCTTTGTTTTTCATATGCAAATGTAGGCGGCTCATCACCCTCGCCGCGACTTATGGCCGTACCTTTGTCTTCTGGGATCTACCATTTCTTAAGCAAACTTTGGGAGAAGGGCGGAGAACTTTATGTTACATGTTGTCGGATTTCCGGAATTTGTCGCATGTTGTCGTGTAAAAAGGGACCTGGTAGAATCTCAGTTTTTTAACTGGTCATCAGCATCCAGTGGCGGAAATTATGGAGGGGGCTCGCCCCCCCCCAATCAGCGATTCGGGCTTTGTCGGATAATTGAAAACCGTTTAACGTGTCGAAATTACTCCAAAAAATCGCTTTGAAATAAATCTGCGTATTAAAGTTATTTTCAAACGTATTTTCCACTGAAAAAAAATGCATAAAATGAATATCACAATTACAATCATGTTGTTATCATGATCGATTTGTCAAAAGTGTAATCTATCGACTTCTTGTGTCATCAGTTGCTTTAGATGAAATATCGATCTTGATATCAAAAATCAGAAATTCAGATTTTTCAAGTCCATAATTAAGACCACAAGCAAGGTTAACAATTAAGCAGTTGGAAAAATTTTTATAAGTTGATCCTCAAATGTTGAAACCAATGACAAAATTTTTCACTGAGTTTCACAAGAATCAATTCTGTGGCCATTTTTCTTTAATGTTTTTGCAAAAATTGGACGATTTCCCCCCAGCCTTTCTTAACTTTTTGAAGAACCGAACACAACTTTCTTATAAAATACTTTCTTATAAAAAAGCGTGTATCTCGCGAGAGCGTGCGATGTCCCCCTAAACCATATTCGGAAAAAATAAGAATACATTAAGAACGTATTCGGGTTAAAAACAAAAATTTCATAAGAACATTAGTTTTAAACATTAAGAAAATTCATTTTAAAGAATTTTTTAAGACCACTTTTTACATTTTGCTATAGCCAAAAAGTTTTTGAAGATCCCCAGGCTCGTTACACCTTATATTATATATGTACCTGTTGTTCGCCAGCAAAGAGGCCCTTTAAACGGGCTTGTGGCCGCAAACCTGACCGTTGTCTGTTTGTGAAGCGAGGGCTTTCAATTCTCGTTAGCAAATGCCAATCCCATTACGTTTACGACAACAGTCCTCCTCTGCAGTATCCGCATCCGCAGCAACGGCAAAACAGAAAGTGAATCATCAAGTTTTCAAATACCGTAAATCCTCGAATTAGCCCCCTTTGGGGCTGTTTGGGGCAATTAGCCTGTTTGGGGGCTTTTTCATTTTTGATATTTTTGGATGGGGGCTTATTCGAGGGGGGCTTATTCGAGGGTGGCTTATACGAGGGTACGAGGGGGCTTATACAAGGGGGGGGGGGCTTCTAAAATTATTGTAGACATAGAGAAGCAATGAAAACCTTGTAGATGAAAACTTAAATTGGGACGAGCAATACAAAGTTATAAAAAGAAAAGTTTGTGGAGGACTTAGGTCACTAAAAATGTTAAAAAATATAATTCCCCAAAAAGAACTTTGCAGCGTCTACTACGCCACTGTCGAAAGTCATCTACGGTATGCTAACGTTATTTGGGGCAGCCTCCCAAAAACTAAACTTGATACCCTCCAACGTCTGCACGACCGCGCTCGGTCAATAATTGAAAGCGCCAAATTAAAGGAAAACTGGACAGACTGGTTGGAAGACCGGTTGACCGTTGAAAATCTCATTCGACTCGATCGATCGGTCATGACGTATAAGATTATGAAGAAATTAAGCCCAGAAGCCTTAGGGATAAGTTTCAGCAAAGATTCTCGAAATCAAACTATGCAACAAGATACTATAGGGATCTGAATATTCCTAGAACAAATACAGAGCATGTGAAAAAAGTTTTAATTACTCTGCTCTTAAAGCCTGGAACGACGTTCCAATTGATATTAGAGAACTCTCGACTATTTGTCGCTTTAAAAAACAACTAAAGGAGTACTTGAAGAGCTGACAGATTCGTATATTTAAACACGACCCCCTGGAAGAACAGCATTTTAGATTGAAAATTTTTTTTTTAGTTGAACAAATGTATTTATATTTAATCGATATTGTATAAGGGTAGCCGAAGGGTTGAATCGTGTAAAAAGAAATATTATTATTATTGTTGAGACATTTTTTACAAGACCTCGTTTATCTTAGTAGAAATTTCTTTATGAGCATTTAATTAATTACTACCAAAAGTATGGATTTGTTATGGTAATTCAATAAAACGCCATAGGCAACCTCAGATGGCAAAAATCATCAAATGGAGGGGTCCAATTCGAGAATTTACGGTAGCAGTGGGGGCTTATTCGAGGGGGCTTATTGACAAATTGTAGTGCTAGGGTGGGGGCTTATTCGAGGGGAGACTTTTTCGAGAGGGGGGCAATTCGAGGATTTATGGTACAATGATGATTATTCTTTACCTGCCTATTGTGTAGTGATTGTTGCAGTACAAACAGCTGCATATAAAGAGCGTGAAGCTCCAGGCACCGCGCAGCCATTGAGCTAGCAGGGGCTATAGCCCCTCCACTTTTTTGCAATAACATATAAGAAAAGTTTTTACTCTAGAAAAGGTTTCCTCTAACTATGCTCCAACCCAACATTGGATAGTAAACTCCCACTCCTAAGTAGTCTGAGCTGTTAGAACATGAATCGTGCAAATTGTGATACCAGCATGAAAATGGGTACACTGGGGTAATTTCACACTCTGATGACGATACCGAACAGACCCAAGCCGAAAAATGCCCCCAAATGCTATTTTTAGACCGGGGTACTTGGCCCCAGTCCTCGAAATGGGCCAATCTCCATATGTCATTACTGATTTATGAAAAAAGTGGAAAAGGAAAGATTTAGGTGCATTATCATATATTAAAATATATTAAGAGAAAAGAAAATGAAAAATTGCCCCTTTATACTATTTTTAGAATATGAAATTGGTACCCATGTCTCTATTTGGGCATTCTTTTCTAAATAATTACTCTCTTTTATATGAATATGAAATGTAGCTTTCTCCATTCTTTCAACAAACTGAAAAGTAATACGAAAAGATGTAATTGACAATCTTACCCCTTGATGATATTTTTAGAATGGGGTACTGGAACCCAGTTCTCGAAATTGAGTTTTACCTTCGTAGTGTAGGCTCTAAGCACAGTATTTGACATGAATTGTGCAAATTGTGGTACCAGCATGAAAATGGGTACACTGGGGCAATTTGACACGTTGATATTGATGCTGAACAGACACAAGCTGAAAAGTGCCCCCCAAGTGCTATTTTTAAAACAGTCCTCAATTTGGATTTCATCCATACGTAGTTAACTAAAGTTTAAATTGAGCATGAAGGTATAGGTTTTAACACAATTCTACCCGTTTAAACACGAAAACAATATTATCCTTTGATTCTATTTTTAGATTAGGGCCGTTGCCTCTAGGCCTCTATGTAAACACTCTTCTACAGGCCATTACTTGCTTTTGAAGTAAACATGATAGTATGGCTGTCTACCTTTTTGGTTAACCAAACAGTATTTTTAGAAAAAAGTAGAATATTACCTCTAGATGCTACAAATGATAGACCCACTTTTTGGACTTGTTTCTATTGTAAGTTATTAGTCATTACTGCTTTTAACATAAAAAGTCTAGCATTCTATATTTTGTGATACACTAAAATATAACGGAGAGATACAATTCCGCCTAGTTTCTCTTTTCTGAATGGGATACTTAGATCAAAGCTCATTTGAATTTTTCATCTACTGTTAAATATCGCTAATTTTGATTTAAATACTAAAGTGTAACTTCATACAACTTATCAATCACCGAAAAATATTATGAAAAAACGCAGTTAATATATGCATAAAGCGATATGTTTAAATATGTACGCGTTTCCTGCCTCTGAAGGTCAATGCAATTTATCACAAGTACAGGAAAATGTGACTTTCACATTTCGCTACTTCTGAAAGTCTCATACAATTTGTATAAAATGCTGACTATCCAAAGTAGCAGAAATGTTAAGTACCCTTACTGAACTTTCAAACTCGAACATATTCGGAGGGGCGAAAATCGTTATAATTATAGGCTACTTTCAAATACGATTGATGGTATATTGGCAGCCAGTGCGAGTAGTTTGTATGATAAAGGCTAAACATCCAAGGTGCAATCTAATGAAGGGAACATGTGAAAATTTCATTCCTTTATTGCTTTAACTAGCAACAATAGCATTGACTCTAACAGTAAACCAATAATAGAATTGCACTGATTCTTTTAGCCTCTTGTGTTTTCCAAACTTCAATAGGTAGTTCTTCTATGCTTTCCTCGAAGGCCTCTGAGAGGATTAGTAGCAATCCAGAGATTTAATATTCACTTTATTTCGTATTCATACCAAAAATAGTAATGATTTATAAAAGAAGGCTTATAGAGGCCTGGGCTCCAGTAGCCCATTCTAAATATAGCATCAAGGGTAATATTTCTTTGTTATACTTTTATCGTGTATAGTTGTGTTTAAACCAATACCTTCATGCTCAATTTAAACTTTAGTTAACTACGTATGGATGAAATCCAAAATTGAGGACTGGGGTCAAGTACCCCAGTCTAAAAAAGCACTTGGGGGCACTTTTCAGCTTGTGTCTGTTCAGCATCATTATCAACGTGTCAAATTGCCTCAGTGTACCCATTTTCATGCTGGTACCACAATTTGCACAACTCATGTCAAATACTGTGCTTAGAGCCTAGACTACGAAGGTAAAACTCAATTTCGAGAACTGGGTTCCAGTACCCCATTCTAAAAATAGCATCAAGAGGTAAGATTGTCAATTACATCTTTTCGTATTACTTTTCAGTTTGTAGAAAGAATGGAGAAAGCTACATTTCATATTCATATAAAAGAGAGTAATTATTTAGAGAAGAATGCCTAACTAGAGACATGGGTACCAATTTCATATTCTAAAAATAGCATAAAGGGGCAATTTTTCATTTCCTTTTCTCTTAATATATTTTAATATATGATAATGCACCTAAATCTTTCCTTTCCCACTTTTTTCATAAATCAGTAATGACATATGGAGATTGGCCCATTTCGAGGACTGGGGCCAAGTACCCCAGTCTAAAAATAGCATTTGGGGACATCTTCGGCTTGGGTCTGTTCGGCATCGTCATCAGTGTGTGAAATTACCCAAGTGTACCCATTTTCATGCTGGTATCACAATTCGCACAATTCAAGTCAAATACTGTGCTAAGAGCCCAGACTAAAGTAGTAGCAGTTCTTCTTGACTGGTGAAGGAAATCAATTAGGTCATGTGATTGATGACATGCAATTCAACTCATCTAAGAAAAAGTAGTCAAGGGGAGACACGACTCGCAGGATGAACGCTACGCTAGAAATAATCTCACTCATGGAATATGTTGTTTTAATGTAAAGTTCGCAGTATCAAGGAGTCTTTTCATAAGTAAATAAATAGAACATTCGCAGTGCTTTTTCGCTTTTGTCTTTTTATACATTATTAACAAGGAACCGGGAACCTTTCTGGAGTTTCGTCTCTACTAGAGGTACGAGGCGTTTGTACAGCGCAGGGTCATTCACTTGATCCCCAACAACTGGAACCCTTTTGTTCATTTTCTAGGTGTTTTTCTTGATGGTTTATTATCCCCAAGCTAATTTCATCTTTTTTATAGCTATTGATAAATTCTCTGAACCAGATTGTTTACAAAACCCCAGTAGAAATAAGCCAATATTTTCCAAAAGGGGCGTTTTCCGGCGTTCTAGAGGGCATGGCCTCAAACAATTTTGGTCACGCCCTCTTCAGCCCTTCCACATTTAGACTGGTGCACGGTCCATGTGAAACTCGGGTTTGCGACCAAAGTGTATTAAAAATATCGAGAAAAAACATTAGATTCTGAAAAATTTCAAATATTATAGAGTGGTTGACAAATTCTTCTCTAGATTTAAACGCAATGACATCTCCGCTATATAAACTCTTTTTATAAGAATACACTTTTTAAAAGCACCGGAGCTCCATTTGCCAAAATCAGATAGAACAAGGTAAAAGATAACAAGGAAAATACAATTTGATTTGAAAAATTGACTCCCTTGTTAGCAAAAAAGCAGATTTTATCGGCTAATCGACTGTCCTATACTCTGGGCCTAAGAAATTGGCAGGGGGATAGAGATGAGATGAATTATTTCCCCCGTGCGAATCAAAATCCAAGATTTAAACAGCATGTTGAACTATGGCATGATAAAGGCAAGACATCTATCACGGGGGTAGTTAGGATTTTGACATTGGGGGGGGGGGGGGGAGGTATTATTTTACCAACATATAGAAATAACTATATTAATAATAATGTACAGAGGTTATGCAGAAACATGTAGAAACCTACACAGTAATGGCAGAGAGGGTTAAGAGGCAACATGCGCACATTTTCAAACTCGGTATGATCTGCAAACGTTTTGGTTCAGGACTCTTTAGAATATTGGGCTGCCAGGCCCCCTCTGCCCCCTCTGCCCCCTCTTGCTACCCTCTGACTCACATGCTTCGTGGAAGGCAAGATGAGACAGAAAACACAAAATTAATCGATGGCCAAGCAGCTTCTTTATTAATAACACAAATTAATTGACGAAAACTACAAAACCCAATTCAAAATATGATCTTAAAGCAAACGAGTAATTCAACGCACTGGCTCATAATCTACATCTGCAAAGAAGCAAAGGACTCCAGACACAACTGTGGCGATGCTGCCAGACCATCCAAGAACATACGACCATCCATATTCATATCCCGGCTTCAGATGGTACTTCCCAGTATAAACACTCATTGCGATGACCCCGAACATTGCTAAAAGATGATTCAATAAAAATGCTTAGAAAATTTAAGCAAAAATATTTGACACACTCAATTTAGTGTTATGCATTGGCGCACGTGACCAGCCCAGTGTAACCAGCACGGTAAAAAATCGTCCCTACCAAAAGTTTTCTGACCGTATAGTCCACTTTCGAAAAATTGAACTACCCAGCCTTTTTTCATCCCCCTGTCCCCAATGCAAGCTGGGACATTTTGCTTCCAGTCAGTCCTTGACAATTTTAATTCCCTGCCTTAAAAAAAAGGAACAGAAAGTTTTCCAGTTCACCTTGAGGACCACTTCTCCGTTCACATTCTACCCAATCCCTGCAAACCCATGACAAATTTTGCCATATGTAACTTCTGTGCCCCAAAATGCTCACATCTACACACAGGGGCTAGTAGAATAGCACGCGACTAAATTAATATAATGTCAGTTTCATTTTCAGATTCCTGTATCATGTGCGCCTAGCAAGAATCTAATTCGGGGTACCGGGTTCTATCTTACACACTTGGAAACCAGGTTGCACCTGACTGACGAGACAGGCCATTCTGTTAGACTATCGATTTTCAAAGACGTGGATCAAGATCCGAAAAAATTTCTGTGAAAAGAGACTCAAATCATTTCCAAAATGCTATCAATGCAACTTAATCTTCGCAATTGACAAGTAAAAAAGTCCTTTCAATACAGAACCGCGACTACTCATTTTTTTTATTTCTAGGTGCTTTAAACCATGCTTTGACGACAGAATACTGAAAAAGGTACAATTCTACTCGAAAAGCGATTTCAAATGCAATTTTCCAGGTTTATAAGCCTCCAATCCTGCCAAAAGTGTAAGGATACTGGAAAATGCCACTACGTGGAGGGCTCCTTCATGTAGATTATGTTAAAGGCCTATTCAGTCGCCTTGCAAAACGAGATGACCTCAATAAGAAATCGACCTTGTATAAATAAATCACAACCAATCGACTTCTTTCTTTTCCATGCTATTTCAGAGCCACAACCTTTCATCCATTGGCGATCTCTGAATGATGATACTGTCGTGTTGGGATTGGTATGATAAAGGTCTTCTCACTCCCAAAATGTTAGAATTGTATATAACAACTGGGGAAAGGGTATTCCAAATTTTGGCCCCATAGAAGCTTGGTGATTTTATACCACAATTGACAGGTATGTTGAAAGATTCTAAAAATTATTCCTAGTTTCTATTTATTTATTTATTTTTTAAACTGTGATTGTACAATAATTGTGATGATGAAAGAGGAATCCTTTTTTAGAGGATTCATTCTTAAAAATTCATTCAATACCTTTATTCTTCACGTGGATTTTAAGAATTTGATGTTTTCCATTTTATTGTTGGTGTATAAACCTTATAACTGACAAACCTTGATAATACATGTCTCGAAAAGAGAATATTTCAATCTCAAAAAGAGAATATTTCAGTCGCTAAAGCCCCCCAGCCCCCCTTGCTCCGCGGTGCCTGCACATATATAAGCATGATTTTATTCATATGTTTCAAGATGCGTTGGTCTCAACAACTGTGTCCAGGATTCCTGGAATTTATCTTTTTTCTTAGAAATTAGAAATAAGCATACCTGCAAAGAGTAGATCAATGCCAATAAATCGCACAGTCATGCCTTTTCCCCATACCATCATAATCAAATACAGGACAACAAAAAGGTACAAGATGATTGCGATGATCAAAAAAGCTTTCACGGCATTCAACCAATCTAGAAAAGAAAATAACAATTTCAAAACTGCATTAAAAACTAAAAGGGCCAGACCAAGGTGGGTGCTATTGGCGCTGCAGCATGGGGTCCATTCCTGTAATAGCCCTTTATGAAAAAAGAGACAAGAATTTTCCTGCAAATGAAGAGGCCTCACAATTGACAATGGTTGGTTCTCCAGGTCAAATTTGGGCTTTATCCGGCGCTGGGTACAAATTTCCTATCCTAGTGGCGGATCTAGACAAAAATTTGAGTGGGTTCCTACATGGGCGTTGTGCCATAACTTTCTGGCAACGCATTTGACTTTCGTCCAAAATTTGGCGATGCCCATTTTCGTTTTTGATAAGATTCACAATTGTAAAGTTTAATTTTAACAAGATAATATACTATATTGTCATGATTCCAAAGCAAGTAAGAAAAATAAGTCTGTAAAACAAACCAAGAATTGTGACAATGAATTCTAAAAGAATGGTTTCGATTTCTTGCCAAACACAGGATCTTGATAAATTCCTTTTGCTGGTTACAGAAGGAGATAAGCTTACTGAGTGTAGCAAGATTTCAGTGAAATTCATGCTATAAATATTACCAAATAATAAACAAGACAAATTTACAATTATTCACCAAGTTTGTCAAAAATGGAAAACGATGGACAAATTATTAATTGGAATTTATTAGACAAGCAATTATTAAAAATTGGAAATTATGACATATGAAATCATCTCATCCAATTATCTAAAGTCATTCACTTTATCTTGATAAAGTTCTTACTCTATAGATAAATATCTAATCACAGTAGATGAATATCACATATCAGATAAATATCACAGTGGCCACAACGCCACTGTGTTATCTTGGTAAAACGTATTCTAAAAAGAAAATTCGACACAGGAATTAAGAAACAAATCCTTTCCAACAATCTTGCTGAATTTTTGCGCTTCACTCAGATAAAGCTGCCTGACTGGAGATGGGAATGTGAGAAATTTTGTCTCAATGAGGGGGTTGCAGCCCTCCCAGCCCCTGTGTCTCCTGTCTCCTGTCCCCTATGCCTCGCATTAATATAAGTGATCTGAACTTGTAGGCCGTTTCATCTTCATTCAGGTAATAGCCAAAGACTGCAAAAGACTAAAATGTTGATCGCAACCAGTTTTTATCCCACTCGTAGCTCGTATCTCGAAAATTCTAAAAACTGCTTGCAGCTAAACGTAGTAGAGTACAACAAGTCATAATGTTTTCAAACGTGACTTTGCAAATCTCTGTCCTTTCAAGCCTATGTAATGCAAGGAGCACATCACTGCATGAAAATCTCGTACGGCTTTGGCCAAAATCCTCTGATAATCGAGCAAAATATCAAAAATCATTAAAACCCTTTTTTTTAAATGTCGTACGCTGTTTGGAAAAAGTGATACACCCTTCGTCATTATTATCGCAATCATTAAGGGGTGAGTTCTAAAAAAATCAACAAAGGGGGCTCCGGGGGCAATTTCATATGACAGGCTGTAGTTTCTTTTCGGAGGTAAAGTGCTACCAAAATAACTAGGAGGGGGGAGGGGGGGGTTCTTACACATAATGTTGCTAATAACAATAGCAAAAATATAAATTGGTTATATTTTGGCATTATCAAGGGAACTTAGCCCCCTGGGCCCCCCTAGCTCTACACCTCTGTTTCTTATGACCACGCCCATATTTTAGCATATATAATAGCTAATGCTCAAGCAAGCCGAACTGTATTGGCACTAACCACGAGAAAGGTCCCAATAACCATGGAAACTTGCAACTTATCATCACATCGAACTTAGAAAGCAAAACAGACCCCCCCCCCAAAGTCAAGATAATTTTCTCTCCGCCCCCTGCAACCCCCCATCTCAGAAATCATCAGTGGGTACATTACGAAACCATAATTCAAAGTAACGCATTTATTATTGCCAGAGTTTCAAACAAAATGCATGTTATTGTAAGTCATCAATGTCATTGCATGGTCATTGTCATTTTTGTCAGTTCGTCCGTGTAAACTGTCATCATCCTCGTCATTGCATTCACTTTTCGTCTGAGTTCCATTCTCTAGGGTTGGCAAGTTGGCCAGGTTTCCGTCACATACTGTTTACCTAATGTTGGTCATGAAGTATAACTTTCATGAAATATCTACAATCATAATCATAATCATAATTATTACAGTTATCGATCGTCTTTTTTAATGACAAAGCTCTATGACGACCCCGAGAGGATGGGCCTAAATTCAGCAAACATCACCTCTTGGTTGAACCGGGCTACACCTCAACCTGTTTTCAATTTCTACGCATTCTTTCCACAATCCTCTGTGAACTATTGCTGCTGTTTTGTTAAAAACTGTCTGCGTCCGACACCAATGGTGCGTTGCTGTGCTACTAATGAGCATAACAGCTCCAAAAAACCCAAGAATGAAGGAGCAAAATCGAAGAAATTCAATGTTTGCCATTACGGAAGTCGCATTCTGCTTTGTTTATCTGCCAGTATTTCCCACTGATGATGATACGTCGTCTATATTTTGATGTATAATGTTCACCAACAATCGTCTAGTTGTCTACCACTAATCAATAAAGTCGATCAGACATTGATCGTAACAGCAAAAGCTCGATCCAGTCTATTTTTCTGATCGTTGTTTTCACAATAAATTTACCGTGCCCTGGGTACCAGAACCGAATCTTCCATGTTTTTGCCGCCCTTAATCTTTGTGGCTCTGGTACCCAGGCTACGTTTACCGTAAAATCTCTTTTCACCCTGCCCCACTATCTCTATTGTTCCCATCTAACATCTAAGCCTATTGTTCCTCGCTAACCCTATTGTTTTTCTCTATCTTTACTTTCCAATCTTCATCAAGTCTCTGCTCGAAGAGGAAAAAAGAATAAGCCGCCTGGGTATCGAGTCCTCATTTCAAACAGGAACGGGGGTGAATACAATAACAAGAATAAAGAGTGATTATAACGAAACTTCTTGCGTAATATTTCATATTAATAGGATGGATTTTTAGGGTGCAGCAAATATTTTTACATGCTCCTCTTAGATTGTCAAAAATTTGATAGATACATGTAATATACCAAATGCCGAAGACGCCACATTTTTGGCATAATCTTTGCGATCATGATCATTGCTTATTCAAACGTACTCAAATGCAGAGACTTTGGCGTCAGGGGACAATGGGGGTAGGTGCCTCCCTAAGATTTTGCAGTGAACAAAAAGTACCCTTTTCAGAAAGTGCAATCAGTCCAATTTTCCCCCAACACAAAAATTTTAAGTAGACTGCAGGCACAATGCCCCCTCGAGCACTTCTCTATGAATATCTGGGTTTGAAAACTTTTTTCAGCTGTGTACCACATATTCACCCAGTGACCATCCAGTAAAAACGTGCTCTCAAAGTGTCGTGCCCCACCTCCCCCCCCCCCCCCAGAAAAATTTAAGATGCTCAAACTTCATGCGAATCCAACATGTTTTTTTCTACAGAGGAAACTTTGAGGTTTGTGGCTGTACTTATTTGCATTAATTTTCGACACATGTAAAATCTCACCATATGCTTTATTTCTATTTAAATCTTATGCTAGAGAACCAAAGAAAAATAGTCAGTTTAAGGTCTTTCTTTAATTTCTTTACAATTCACCTATTAGGAATATTATAATAACCAGATTTTGTCAACTTATACAGTAAGAAAAACCAGCTACTGTCGCGTGAAAGGTGATATAGAGTTCTAAAGTGATGACGTCAGAAAATCTATTTTTAAATTTTTTTAATTTGGATCCTATAACCTGAAAGAGCATCCTGAAATACCTCTAAATGTGCAAAATCAGGCAAGTGTGCAATGAATTGGCAGAGATATGGCTACATGTTTGTTGGTTCTCTCCCCATCAAACCTCTGTATTTTGGTCTCTGTTCGTAACTTTATGAACAGAGCCAAAATAACAGTGATTCGTTAGAAAACTGAAAATCTTTCATTAGCCATATCTCAACCGATTTTAGACATATTTGGCCAATTTTGCGTATTTGAAAGTATTTCATGGTGATCTTTTACGCTGTGTGGTTAAAATTCAAAAATTCTAAAAATAGGTTTTTGATGACGTCACACTTTAGAACTCTATTGGAAATAAAAATTTCGTGAACACAACAACTGCCTTCTGCTGGCGGTATGTTTCTGGCACATTTCAGAATGCGCTGATAGCGAAGGCGCCAAATGATGTAGATAACACTATAACACTGATGTAGACATTGATGTAGATAAATGATGTAGATAACACTGAGGAAAGGGGTGATGTTTGATAAATGTCAGTGCCATAGTGAACGGTCATACCCCTCCGATGTAAACTCGAAACTAAACGAGAAACGATCGACTTTAGGACAGTAACACATTTGTAGGTATCACACAATAGAACACGCTGATGTCTACCTCGCTGATCGCCCTCTTAGGAGTCTGGGTCTTACAGCGCGCCTAAAAATTATTTATGATAACTACAGACAGGAGAGATTGAATGTGAAACTAAATTGCCTATTCATTACTTATTTGCACATTTTAAAGGAAATTATTCTAGGAATGTTGTTCAGCATGAAGTTGTGTTTCAAAAAATATACAAATTAAGTGGCTCAAGCGAAAACAAAATTTGACTCCCTGATGACCATCAGTCCACCATTTTGGGGCTTGCCCAAATAAGGAATTACTATTGTCTAATTTATAGGGCTTTTTTCTTGTCATTTCCAGTATAGAATAGAACCTGTGCGCCTATTTGCAGATATCACCAAGTCGCTATGAATTAGTAAGCTGATGAAACACGACAACGCACAAGGAAGATCAGATTTTACCATTCCTTATGATAAACGTTTTGTCGTATTTTCCTCCTGTTGATCCCCCTCCCCTCCCCTCAAAAAAGTCTGCTGGTGCCCCTGCCAATAGTCTATAAAAGGTTATGGTGGTTTGTGCTTTAGAAAATTTGAATTGCTTTCTTTAACAATAAAGGCTAAGAAATTCGCTAACAATATGGGCGTGGCATGTATCCTGTATGTGTTGGGTTAATATCGAATTTCGGAAAAGAAGATGGAGCTGATTTCGGTAAAGAGGACGGATGCAACCAATTCAATTCTGCACTCTCTTGTTGCAACCAAGAATCATATATTAGGTAAACAACCTACTCATGCTAGAGAGATTGAAATAAAACGTTTAGTGATGCGCAAAATGACAATTTGTGCTTTCGGCTTCACCTAGAACAATCGCGGTTATACATTGAGGTACCGTTTCGCCCATTTATCAGCATGCATCGCTTACTGTGGCTACAATTAGCAAATCATGCTTCAATGTTGCCCATGATATCAAAAAAGGTCATTACGACGTCAAAAGATATTATTAATCTGGTGAATTCAGAAAACTTTGCACGACAACCAGAGTAGAAACTTTGTCGCGCGCCCGCAATGTATTGCCCGCGTATACATACTTTCCATCTGTGCGCCTTTGCATTTTGGCCACTCAAAGTAACATTTTACATTACCAACATTACAAATCTCTAAATGTGCGTATTTCAGGCGCACAGTCTCAAATGTCCGCGCAAGAAACAAAGTTTCCAGTGCGATACGGATACGACAAAGATCAAACGCAAACCAGAAACATTCAACTTCTGCCCGAGAATTGTGGGCAGCAAATTTATTCCTTAAACATATATTAGTCTTATACAGAGACTTTTATGCGACATCAAGCTCCCTTTTTTCTACTGTCGTAGGTACACCAGCGTGAATGTGTGGCTATGATCCACAATGAAGCTCAAAAAAATCCTTTCAGGTTGAATGGGCCCACCGGCCTACCGCGTTTGGATCATATTAATTCGCTCAGAGTTTAGTTAGTGGGTTTCGGGCTTCTACGTATAGAACTCGGCCCTTCTAAGCTCTACTGCCCTATATAGAGGGGGGGGGGGAGATTTTTATATGCTTTGAAAAAAGCAAACACTTGAGTATACCAAGCTTTTCGTCTGACACTCTTCAGAGTATAGAACGTCAGAATATAGATCTAGTCATTTTTTTAAGCTTGTACCACCAAAAGGTTGTCTGCATATTTTTATATGCGTAAAGAAAAACCAACACAGCGCTGCCATTTGCTTTCATTCATTTCAGTTCAGGGTATTCTACCCTGATTGCCAGAGCTGCAACTTATTTGCAGCCTCGCCTCCGTATATCTAATATTTTGTGGTAACGTGTTTTGTGAGCCTCGCACCTAGGTAAATGTAGCAAGTCAGTCTAGTTCTCGCAACGCCCTTTCCACTACTCACAGGATCAAAAGAAATTCAAGTCGCTCGATCTCCAGGACATTCTGGATTGAAAAAATTCACCTACTTATTTCAGGTCTTTTTGGTCAAGATAAAACAGATGTGGTCCAATCATTTATTTGGTCAACCCACAGAGAAAGAAATCCGCATTGTGGATTTTTGTGTTCGATTAATATTGAAAATAAGCAACCAAACTCCCCTAACGAGCATGTGCCTTTAAAAAACAAAGTTGTAACGCTCAACCAGACTCGGGTAAAGATGCAAGGTTTGGGTTTCTCTTCGTGAATACGAAGGAAAAACTATTAAGGGAGCATTTTTGATGCTCTTTAATCAAAGAGCCGACTCTGTACTGCTTTATTGAATCTAACCGCTATCTAATTACACGATTTACAGTAAACCCAATGGGAGCACATTAAACAGTCAATTCTATAGTAATCTGAGAATGAACAATTCCGTCGTTCGGAAAGACAACTGTGAGCCAAATAACAATGTCCTCCTAATTCAAATTTCATTGTTTTGCCATCAAACACCAAAACTCTCTAGCTTTTTCGCTCTGTCTTGTCCTTAAAATTGTAGACATTTCTCGTTCATCCTCTTAATTGATCGTAAAAAAGAGTTACGGTGTTTGATATAATCGCTAAACTAAAGAAGCTAATCTAAAGGTACAATAAAGCGTTGTAGAAATCGAGTTGATTTAAGATAAGAATTCAGCAAGAATGTACGTTAATATGTCAGATGACGCGGTACTGTTACCTGTAGTTTGAAGGTTTGAACATGAGTACATGCCATCAGTGTCTTGTCGGCAGTTCTCCCAAATACCACCATATATAGTATCATTGTTTTTCATCTTGTATACAAACCAATGGTGTGTTGGCGTTGCCACTATGATAAATAGTAGGCCTGAAAAGCCAAATATGAAGGCAAAAAGCCTGGCTAGGCCAACACTGTCAGACATTTCACTAGCTGTGGAAATCTTCCAGACACGATGTACAAGCTGCGGCCTTGAGGAGGGCCTAGTTATGCTCAAAGAATGTCACCGATGCAAACTAGTTGAATGTGTGTTCACATCTGTAAACTTCATTGTTGAGGTCAGGGACACTGGACTACAACTTTTTGTTTTTGTCACACTTCACTGGGCGAAGTAAGTCTATCGTTAAGGCAACTGGGGGATTAAGGACCAGGATAATACAAGGCCAGTGTTCATTGGTAGATCGCAGGAAAAAGAGCAAGGGGATCTATGTTCCGATGTCGTAGACGTAGGGTAAGGCAACATAAATGGGAGATTCCAATAAATGTTCAGTAAGGAGTTGGATTTAGTTGAATCTGCCCTTCCTGAGCAGAATTTAATTGAAATTCTTATCCCAAAATTGTTGAAAGATACTGCTGATTGGAAAATTAATATGTAATTCAATGAATCCGTAAAACACTATAATATAAAACGTAAAACGCAAGTTTGGAGAATCCGTCATTTCGTCGAGAAATTTCCAAAATTTTAATCTAAGACAAATTTAATTTATATTCCGTTGTACCGCAAATCCAGTAGCCAGGGTGGTAAGATTGGGGGGGGGGAAAGGCGAGTTGAGTGAGAAAAAAATAATTGTTCACATCTTTTTGAACGCCTGAAAACGCCCTTTTTCAAAGATACCATTTGGCATTCGGGGGTTTCCGCCCACTCTTGCCTCCCCCTCGCTACACTACAGCTCAAAGCCTTACGACCCCCATATGGCTTGGGCAACCTGGTTCCAGTGCCTCCGAGAGGTGGTGGAAAGTGTTTTTATTTGAGGGAAAGAAATACGGATCTCTGGTTGACGTTTTCCGAAAAGAAGGTGGACTCAAGTTGATTCACTCAACAGGAAGCTAACTCTTAAAAAAAGGAAAGGCCAATAAATAAAATTTGTAACAGAATTATCCTAGAACTAATTTTAAGAGAAAAGCAAATTATTTTTCCCAATGTTGAAAACCGTTTGAAAGCTTAACGAACGAAAACGTAAATTGAATTAATTGAATTGAATTCAATTAAAATTGAATTGAATAACGTAAATTGAATTCAGCCCCTAAAGCCATCAACTTTTCCACCACTGCCACAGAGAGGCCTTACTGTTTTTTGCTTACATTCTATTTTTCTATGTGATGTCAACAGGGTTAGTAAGCTGACACCAATTAAACACAAGGCATAAAAATGGAATTGGTGGGTCTTTCCAACTCTTTACCCATATAGCTTACATCATGTTGCTCAGTCTGCTCCAGTGACATATGTAGTGGCAACTACAGTATCTGGATCCTCTTTTTTTCAAAACTTTCAAAACAATGGTTTTCAATATTTGTCTTATAGAAAAGAAGGGGGAAGGGAAGGGGGCATTAAATTTTGGTGTCATTGAAAGATGCTTGATCTGTCAAACATGATCTGGTCAATAATATTATACAATAACTTGAGGGGTACAACTGTAGTGAAATCAGTAAGTCAAGCCTACAATAACCCCAAAATAGTATGCACACCTTTGAGGTGGGGAAGGACATTTAAAAATGGAGAAGGGAATAGGGACATGTGGGAGGGATGTATAGTAGTCCTGGGGGGGGGGTTACTTGGATACCAAAACGACAGGGGTGTGCACTCGTAAAATTGTTTTGTTGAACCGGCTTTAGAAAAATAGCTAAAAATGACACCCGGCTTTGGAATTTTTGGAAAAAAGAACAAAGGAAAACAAAAGCTTTGGTGCCAGTTGCCAGAACACCAATAAAACAATGGAGCCTCTTTGCTGTTATTTTTGAATAGAAAAAACGAAAATCAGGCAACCGTGGAATAAATTGTTGAAAATGGTACCCGGAAAGACGTGCACATCCTGTCAGCAAAATATACTAATTACCCCCTCCCCCCTCCGGGATAGTAGTGTATAAGGAGCAAGCAGCACATTGAGGTAGAGGAACTTTAAAGATTAAAATGGAGCATACATATTTTGTGAACAACCCTTTTTGAATTGGATAAAGTAAAAAACATACAATGCATGATCTTTTTCAAAATTAATTTAAAAACATAGCTTTTATACCTAGCTTTAAAGAGTAAAAAAATAAGGCTATCATACAGATTTTAGTCTTCAAATGTAATTTTGGTGCCAGTGAATTCAACAATGTTATTTTGCTGTTTTTGCATTTTCTTAGCTTGCCATGATGGATGCAATTTTTCTTCGCCAAGTCGTTTTCTTTGACCTTTATCATTGTTATATGTTCTATTTTCATGCCTTTGGTTACTATCTTTGTATCTCTTATTTTGATAACCTGGTTTTGCTGAAAAACCGCCTTTTCTTTGCAATGAAATTCCCTTTTTTACATGTTCAGCCTCACCCCCATATATCTTTTCCCATAATTCTCTTCTAGCTCTCTGCCCAAGTCTATTCCCATTTTTCTGTTTAAGTTTCTTCATCTTTTCAAACAGCAATTTCTTTCTCTTGTCACTATTTACAGCATTATTATCTCCTTTATTTCTCTTTCTCTCTTTTGGTCCATTGAAAGTCTTTGATGAAATCTTTCTTTCAAGTTTTGGCTTTTTTCTTTGCTTATCAGTCACTTTTTCATTCAATACTCTTTTATGATTTACTTCATTTTGCACTTTTATAGAATCTTTTACTTTCATTCTGAATGGGGCCTGTTGTTTAATTACAACTTCACTTTTACTGTCCATGTCTTCATGAGTGGCATCCATTTTTAATGATATAACTCTTTCTTCCTTGATAATTACAGGTGTACTTATAACTCTTTCTTCCCTGATAATTACAGGTGTACTTTCTACTTTATCTGGAAACTTTAATTCTTTTTGTTTACCTACATTTTTCCTCAAGATGCCATTCAACATATCATTTATGTGGGCCTTTACACCATTCTTTTCCAACAATCTCCAACACATCTCTGCAACTGAATTTTTATCATATGTGTTCTTTAACATTTCAACCCAGTTAAATTCTGATGAATCTGACTGCAATTTGTCAGACTTTGAAAAACTGACCAAAATTGTGGCAAAGCTACGAATTTCAGCATCAAAATCCATTTCCTTTAATGTGTTTACTCTTTCTAATAAACTGCTAGCTTTTCTTGAATTCTGTGCTTGCTGTTGAGCATTCCCTTTTTTCAGTTTAAGGATCTTTATTCTTCTTATCAGCTTTCGGATTTCAATCACTTTCCCAATTTTGATCAATTTCTTGATGTATTTGAAAACCTCTTCTTTGGTGTTGTCTGTATCTTCTAATGATGAATTTTCAGAGGAAGCTTGAACGATATGGTCTTTCTTTAAAACTTTCTTTTTCTTCTTCTTTTTCTTCCTTATCCTTTCTTTAATTGAATCTTGAAATCCAGAATCGGTGCATGTTTCCTGTACGTCGCCAATGTCCTTTCTGCAGGCTGATTTCTTCCCTTTTAAACTAAGATTCCCGTCTTCGATTGTGCCATTTGACGTTCTAATTTTTCCTTTTGGACGCTTTCTTACCTCTTGAACTGGTGAAGGAGATTTATCTTTTTCATTTACAATTTCTCTGTTTGATAAGCCCAGCTCATCATCGTCGTCTTCAAGTTGAAATCTTAAATCAGTAATAGGCAAGAAGAAATCGTCGTCCATCTTGAAATGTGCTCTTTGCAATGAAGCCTCTTGTGGAAATCGAGGCTTGCTCCACATGTTAGGCCATTTGCTTGAAGCATAGTTGCAGCACTGTGAGTAGAAGGAAGATACTTTCAGAATGGTGAAGAAAACTCCGAATAAAAAGACCAAAATTGCAAAAAGGTATTATCAAATTTTTACTTATTTGTTTTTTATAGTGCAGACGTTCCTTAAATATACGGTGTAAGGAATTCTATGGCACGATAAGTGATAGGTACTACACACACTGCACAGTAAATATGAAAAATGTACAGGATTTTTTTATAACGAACCACTTTTTTAGGAACCTACATGTAGAAGATAGAAAAAAACTATACAACCGTTAGTATTGATGGCAAAATCTATAGGGTACTTTTCAGTTTTGAATATTTTCATTGTTGCAAATAATCATGAATTAGGAAGACATTCACCATTTTGATTTTGTGTTAAAAAGTCAGATAAATTGTTTTAGAAGGTAGCTATCGGGTGTTTTGTTGTGTAAAACCCTTCTTTCTGATTTCAACTTGTTTTCTTTTTCTAGCTACAGTTAAGAATCTAGCAATTACAATTGCATTATTTTCAATGTACTATATGCAATTTTTTAGTGAATCTCAGTGAATCATTATTCACTACAAATCAATCAAAGTAGGTCCAGAAATAAGGAACTTCTAGAACTAGGCCTTGAGCTGTGCAAAATAAAAGTAAACAACAGCTAAAGAAACTTTGGTCTTTCCTAGCAGATGTTGTTTCTTCAAATGTAAGACACAACTTCCCTGGAGAAAACTGCTTTCTCTGTCTTTCAAATCTAAACAATATCTAAAAGTATGATTCTGCCATAGAGCGAAATTTAACCAAAAATCTAGACTGTGCAAAAACACAGGTACAACACAACTTGTTTTGGATGATTAGCAGAGCACAGTTGCCACATTATATATTTTGTATATTTTTCATGTTAATAAAATATTTAGGTATGAAAACTTTTGAGAACTCTTTGTGTTGTGATGGGAATTCAATACAGGTAGAAACAGTTTTCTATAATGTCAATAATTGATTAAACTCCCATTTTGTAGGAAGAAATTAAAAGATTTATCTACAGATGAGTTTTTTTCACATGGCCTGGATTCTGACATTAGCTCAGATGATGCTGAGGAGAATTCATTACAAGTTGCCAATGAAAATGAAAAGTAAGTGATTCCCTTTTGATTCTTTTATGTATTCTTTTATGTATTTATGATTCTAGCTGGTATTTAATCTATTAGCCTGGAGTAGGTTTTTCTCCAAAAAGAGATTTTGCTACTCCAAAAGAGTGTGGTTTTTCCTGTCATTTGCTGTTAACTACTGCGGCCCCATTTTAATCTTGTTGGCATATTTATCTATTTGCAGAATCCAGCTATATTTGTTTTCTTATAAGATTTTTCAGGCTTTGTAAAAAAAGAAATGATTTTGCATGGGCACACCTCAAGGGCGGCGGGCAGTGTTATTACCGTTATTACTGTAATAACACTTTTTCCAAAGTCTTTATCAGTTTGATGCATTCGTCTGCTAGACACAACCAATGACGTAGAAATAATATGGTATCTGTCCTCTATTCATCTGAAGGGGATGATAATTACCTGCTAATCCTTAACCACAGGAAGCCTATTATGTTTTTCAATGGTATTTCAAATCGTTCAAACTAGTTCGAGGCTCCCGGTCTCATTATTACTTTCGCGTTTCTAATAACGGAAACAGCAAAGTCTTTGTCACGGGACTCACCGATGACGTAAAATTCAATTGTTCTTGGTCCTTGAAATAAAGGAGCCTAGCAGCCCCGTTATTACTTCTGGGATTCTAATAACGCGGCCATTTACCTTTTGCCAGTGCTGTTTTATGATTTTGCTTGTAAGTTAGCTGTTTCAAATTGAATCGTGTTGTGGAAGATCAAGTGAATGACCATCGTCTGGGTGTTCAAAGTGTTATTATTTTGAAACGGGTGGAATTAACTCACTAGCAACGTCTCGAACTGAAAGGCCGTGCCAGATATATCTCGTCATGTATTTTTCTATAATAAATTTTAAGCCTGCATCCTTTCAAATTTATTTGTACATTTGTAAACTGTAGCTATTCAAAATGTTGCAAGTTGCTTATGTAGAGGCATTTAAAATGAATGATGAACTGAACTGAACCTTGAATGTGTTCAGAGGGCTTTCACGCAGCGGTTTCCGTTATTACAATTGGGATTCTAATAACGGGCCCACATGGTGGCTCAGAGGAAGTGGCCGCCAAATATTTTTCACGACTAATCACCGCTCACAAGCCCTTCTGACAAATGTTACAGCCCTCCAGTTTGTTTAAAAAGACCAACAGGAAATCAGGCTCTTCATAGATTTCTTTTTGATATGCGAGCAAGGAAGTATCTGCATTTATTTTCTAGGAGATACAGCACTAAAATTGCCAATTAACTTAAAACTTTCAGCATTCGCTCAGATTCTTAGTTGCTTACAAAAATGTGTATACCCGACCAATTTATGTCTTTTAGTGACTTTTTGTTTGTTGTTTAGA